TCCCGGTTTGGGATGCGATCGTTCGGCCATCGCGTTTATCTGCGTCCCCCTGCTACATCTATGGGTAACAACTCACTAGACACTCCCCTCTCAAAGAAAACGTCGTCAAACAAACCACGTCATCAAGTTGCGAGCGCATGTTCGAATCTCTTGAAAGGACGTCTTGATAAAACAATGCTTTATAGCGAAATAAACCATACCTCGTTCTACGAATATGCAATCCATTTTGAAAGCGTATACTTTCTTTTGCCAGACAGTTCATAAAACACTTCTCGATACAATATCTGACTAAGTTGTTTTAGCAAATATTAAACATCTGACATTATTACTATTGTTTTTTATTGTTTTATAATCATCATGATTGTTATTATTATTGATGCTATAATCGTTAACTCACATTTTAACATAATCAGCCTTCAGTGTACCCTTTAATCTGTAATTCATTCCTATTGCTACATAAACATTATCTAAAATGCGATGTGGTTTGAACGTAACAAAAATCTTGCCTAAGATACATTTAAATCAACTTTGCATCCATAGAACGCTTGTATATATGATCATTCAAACAGGGTAAGAATACAAACAATACATTATACCGCTTTGTCGTTTATATATAATCCCTGTTTTCTCCGTGCTATGCACGTATATCCCGTTCTGGTTTGGTTTTGTGTTGTGACGAGAAAAGAGGGCGTCGGCTCGCCTTCGTGATGTGACATGTTTTGAAAAGAGACCCCAATCTAGAATATTCCCATTGAATGCCTTGGAGTCTTTGTGTTAGGAGCACCACGTAACCCAGATAGAACGTATATACAGTTATATATCTAAAGGAACATGATCGCGAACTTCTGACCGTTGGATTGCAATGGCGTGACTTTGTCATTGTGGTTAGCGATCCATACAGTGAAAGAACGTTTCAATTATTAACTGTATAACCTGTCACTGAGGCCTTGGCCCATTTCATCGTGTTCCATCTATGAGTATCATTTATTGCTGTATAGTGTAAATAGACGTGTAACTGCCAATAAATATTGAGTATTCAGTAACGTTGTTTGTTGTTTAACGCCTAACTCGTGGCCTCAATCATGGCAATCAAGCGGGCTTCATTAAGAGCATGCAACAATTTCAGCAGAAAAGAAAGACACATTTTATGTAGGATGTCTCTAATAAATACACCGTTTTGATTTTATGTAACAAATGTTATATTTGGGATAACACTTTCTAATCGTCATCACATAAAGTCAGCGATCTAACCCACTCAGCCACCAAGGCTTCCACAAAAATGAAAGTCCGACAACTGGTAGTCTAGATCACGTACTTTGTGTACCCCTCTGACGAGTGTAAATTGGCACTGCTCTCATGACTGTATTCATAACGTTTTGTTTTGTTTGTTGTCTAATCCCACACTCAGCAGTAGTCCAGCTTTATGACGGAGCTCTGTAAATAATCGAGATTGGGCCACACAATCCAGTGGTTGACATAATGAACATCGATCCTCGCCATTGGGATACGATGACATGCATCAACCAAGCCAGCGAGTCTGACAATCCGATCCCGTTAGTCGCCTCTTACGACGAGCATAGTCGCCTTTTAAGATAAGCATGGGTTGCTGAAGACCTAATTCTAACCCGGATCTTCACGTTGTTTCATTACAGGAAGTCATGCTTAGCCACAACTTACTATCCACGACTGTCTAGGCCACCTGTCAGCTCCATACTTAAGCCACATACCAGTGTGACCAATGATTCACTCAATGAAATGTCCATCAATATTATAAACACCACTTTGTAAATGCTATGATTGTTGTCCTTATTTATCGAAATTGTTTGATCAATGTTACAACCATCTTCCCGTTGCAAGAGAGTTAACTGACTATAAAAGTCCAGTTTCCACCCTTGCCGAACTAGGCTGGAATTTTCCTAGCTATCAGTTAACTCCTTTACCTCGGGAAGATGACTCTCCTCTGAATCAAAACCATCTTCCCGAGGCAAGGGAGTTAACTGACTTTTAAAGTCTAGTTTCCACCGTTGCCGAACTAGGCTGGTATATGGAGTTACATTTTGGCTGGACCAACGAGTCTATGCATAGTTCAAACAAAATCGCGTAATGAAATCGAAACCCGTTTCGTAAAACTGTCATGCAGATTTCGGTCGGTTGCAGGATTTGCAAAGCATGTGCACCGCCAACTCGTTGTCAGCAGATATTTTCCAAATCTTTTCATGTCTTTTATCAAGGTGCTCGCGTGATTTCATGCACTTCGCGATGTATCACCGCCATTTTGTTTAAATCAAGTGCAAGTGATACGAGAGGTGGAACCTGATTGGTCTATAGGAGAGGCATAGAAGGGACATAACTCGTAATAGTCACTAGAGGCGCTACGATAGAGCCCAGGAATTTGGCAAGGGTCGAAACTGGACTTCTAAAGTCAGTTAACTCTTTTGCCTCGGGAAGATGGGTTACAACATTCAAGGCCTCAGTAAAGCTGGGTAGACATGTGGAAAACATTTCCAAATTTGGCGCATCAGTGACAAAAATGATGTCCGATGCAATTCCCTATATTGATTTGTACCATATGTTCCCGTGTTTTTTCAGGTGAAAAATTCACTTGCCTTTGCGTGTGTTTGTGATGTGTGCCACCAGTGGGACAGAATACGCTCACCTTTTCGCAAACACCTGGTATCATCACTATTTGGTAGTGATTTATAAACACGTGCTCATGATATAGTCGGAATCGTACAGTCGACTCTGCTTTATGCAGAGATTTCTATTGGATATGGAAAGGCGTGTCATTTATGAAGGATTAAATATATTTCTCCATTCAAATGAACATTTATATATATTCATCAATATACCGCGACCCCAGTCATAATATTTAATAAATGGTTCCCGTACACAATTCCAGATCTATGGGCCTGGGACACGTCATGCCCCACCGAGCTTGACCTTTCCAGACATACACCGTGTGACCGTGTGGTGCATTCTTAGAACTTGCCAAATGAAATTGAATCATCAAATACTGCCTTCCTTAGTTAACGAAGATAGCTGAATATATTCTAATATTTATAACGTGAAAACAAGGCATTCCGACGATAAGGAATATAACTTAAAGTAATGACAAAAATGTAAAGTGTGCTTTTCAACAACTATCCATTTTGCTAGCGATATTGTCATTCAGTTCTATCACGTGGTTGAGGACGTGAGGACCGGCAGTCAGGTGACTGTGAGAGGTTATTGACAGCAGTGGGTGCTTCTCGAACTAAAGTAGGTCAATAAAGACTTGCTGGATACGAACCTGCAACCTCTTGATTTGTAGTACTTCATACTAAAACCTGCGCTGCGAAAATTGTTGACGTCACAATATTGTATGTCAATTTGTGTAGTCACCATTATCTGAGCTTGAGTTTGTTTGTATAATTAATGTTAATATTGCATCCACTTTGTCGCACGTCCTGTGGTAACGCAAGTTCCTGTGAATCTGATTGCACATCTAATTTCAATATTTATGGTGAGGTGAGGTGAAATTGGGTTTAACGTCGCGTCCAAGATTATTGCACTTATATAGCGACGTGCATGTACGTGTGTGTGTTTGTGTTGGTGCTTGTACTAGTCCGGACTGATGCCGAGTTATAGTGCTTGCTCACTGAGATACCATGCCGCAGTTTAACATGAATACCCCACTCAGACAGAGTATACTGACTCCGAGCCGACCAGTCCTTGTTTTAGCCCCTTAATGCCGAGCGACAGACAGGGTAACAACAAGTACCATCTTTTAACGTCTTTTGGTATGACGCGGCCGGGGATCGAACCCCGGACCTTCCGCTCTCCGGGCGGACGCTCTACCACTAGACCGCGGAGGCGGTCTTTAATATTTATAATACATCTTAATTTATATTTGACTTATGCCCAATGATATGCATTTTTATTTAAACTGCATGCACACGATTTCTAATCGCCTTGTCAGTAACTTGAGCAAGTGATCAGCGATTTGATTGGCTTTTTGGGCTTGATTTCGTAAAGCCTTGTTTCTGATTAATCGATCCTTGACTTTTGTTGCTGACCCTGTGTGTACTGTGCGGGGCCAATCATTTAACATTTTGTCTGCAGAAACCGGTTCGAAAGTCTGCAAGTCACAGACTCAGGCACATTTAACATTTTGTCTGCAGAAACCGGTTCTGAAAGTCTGCAAGTCACAGACTCAGGCACATTGAACATTGTGGCCAACTCTCGCGGAGTTCTACCGGTATGCAGCTTGTCGTGAGCCTCAGACGTTCATCACATTGGACACAACGCTTTTCTATCTGATCACAAATACTGTATTAAAGCAAGTGTAAAGAGCTAACGAGTTACTGTAGATAATGGAATCAACAATACTAATAGCTCAGAGCGATTTGACGACATTTCACTGATGTGTCAAAATCAAGAATGGCCTGTGCACGGAGGGATTGCATTATACGAGTATTGGGGCGTTAGGTTTTGGTCCGAAACCGTCAGATCATTGTTTTCATTTTTGAAAGGTGAGATATCTTCTGATGACCGTTCATAAGATTTAGATTTTCCTGATCCTTTTCTTTTCTTTGAGAGAATATTTAGTCTCACCTGACAGCCAGCATGGGTGGTTGGAGACCAGTTCTAACCCGGAATCTCAAGTTATGACACAACGCTTCACTGTCAATGATACAATTGTATAATTGAATGATTATGCATGAGGCTTCCATAAAATAATCTAAAAAGAATCACGTTTTCTTCACCCAAATATGTACATTATTCGTGAAAGTAGATTAAAAGATTAAACACACAAACCACGGTGCTGCTAGACAAAGGTACACAAGTGGGAAGAACCCAGGATCAGCGGGTCCTTGCACGGCAAAGGCACGCAACTCAACTTGTGTCCATCCCTCAATCAGTTTTTGTTCATTTTGTAACTCAGGTTGTGTTCGTCCCATTTTGTTTTTAAATATCCTGAATTTTAAATAATATTTCATGTAATTATACTTATTCCGCAGATATAGTATGTGACACGGAACTGGGTATCGCCACTGGGAGCCTACCAGACGCCAACATCAACGCCACGTCATCAGCACCAGGAACCACTCCCTCTGATGTCAGATATGGATCGACTGGTGAGTAAAGTGATATAGAGCTACCGTTCTAAATGGTCTCTTGAAAGGTTTGTGTGTCTCTCTTCGAACGGGCTATCGCCGTCATTGTTTACATGGGTATAGAGCACACACACACACACACACACACTAACACACACACACACACACACACAAATCCACACACACAAACATTCACCCTCTCACACACTCTCACACACACAAACATTCACTCACACATTCACACACACTCTCTCTCTCTCTCTCTCACACACACACACACACACACACACACTCACAAACACACACACACATTCACACACACACACACACACACACACACACACACAAATTCATATTAACACAATTATATATATTTCGTCAGATGCAGACGGCATTTGGTTTTTTTAATCGTTTTTACACATCAACAAAGTGCACGCATAGTTAACCAGCTTTGGAACCAACACAGTTGAGGGACAGCGTGTTGAAATAGGACAACAGTTGACATGAGGACATAACAAGGAAACGGTCAAGGTTATAAAAATATCGTGTGCCCAGCATAAGCGCAGCATGAACCAGGACGAAATGAGAGCACGAATCACAAATTCGGAATGTCAGTCCAAAGGCATGAAGTCCATGGCCAAGCTGTTGCAGTGGCTGAGGTTCGTGATGACTCTACCGTACGCGGCAATCACACTCGTTCGAAAGTTGGTGTATTGGGTTCAAACCTGGTGATTTAGAGGGATGACCTGTCATGGTTCCATTGCCAACACCTCCTGTGTGATGACGGTACACCCTGGTTCTCCCTGCAGCTCGATGTAGCGTAAATGTTGACTCAGCGCTTTGTGTGACTGGCATCAGTGAAGCCGCAGTAGACGATGTTGTAACAGGCCGCCCGGCGCGGAGACCTTCTTCACCCATCTTCCCGAGGCAAGAGAGTTAACTGACTATAAAAGTCCAGTTTCAACCCTTGCCGAACTATGCTGGTATTGTGGAGTTAATTTTGGCTTGACTAACGAGTCTATGCATAGTCCAATCAAAATCGCGCACCAAAATTGAAATCCGGTTCATAAACTGTCGTGCAGATTTCGGTCGATTGCAGGATTTGCAAAGCATGTGCACCATCAACTCGTTGTCAGCAGATATTTTCTTCTCATGTTTTTAATCAAGGTGCTCACGTGATTTGATGGATTTCGCGATGTAAGACCCGTTTTATCACAATTTTGATATTGATTATCGATCAGATCGTCCCGACCGGGCGCAACCATTTTGTGTGAAGCAAACGCAAGTGATACGAGAGGTGGAATCTGATTGGTCCTTAGGAGAGGCTTAGAAGGGACATAACTGGTCATAGCCACTGGTGACGCTACGATCGAGCCCAGAAATTCCAGCCTAGTTCGGCAAGGGTGGAAAATGGACTTTTAAAGTCAGTTAACGCTCTTGCCTCGGGAAGATGGGTAGTTATGCACGTGTGGACAGGTATCCTTTGCAATCGTTGAATTGCTGCTGTTGTTGTTGTTTGTTTCTTTGTTGTTTAACGCCAAATTCAGCAATATTCCAGCTATATGACGGCGGTTGAATTGCTGCTGTAGTAGACGAGGTAATTGTACACCTTTACCGCGAATGACGTAGCCGTATTTTAAGCGGTTCTGGGCAGCCGTTGTTACATGCGGTCGGTCACGTGACGTACCATGCTGTTGGTACCGATACCAAAGTCTAGAGATTTTGCTCTGGGGCACTCTGGCAGTAGCCGGTTCCCTCCGATTCTCCTGCTTCCAATTATCTGACGACGTTGTTTCGGTGTGCTTCAGGAGACATGCATGACGACACAGTTTTAACAGACAACCGAGAAGCATGTGCATTGATGCTGTGGTTTTACGGTGGTGTTACCGACCCGTAAATACCAGGGTTAGAATAGGTCTTCAGTAACCCATGCTTCTCGTAAAAGGCGACTATACTTGTCGTAAGAGGCGACCAACAGGATCGGGTGGTCAGGCTCGCTGACTTGGTTGATGCATGTCATCGATCCCAATTGCGTGCACGTGGACCGATGATTATATCAATCGCTGGCTTGTCTGGTCCAGACTCTATTGTTTCCACATCTGGACTGTCGCCTTAGAGCTGGAATATTGCTGAGTGCGGCTTTAAATAACAAACAAAAGGTTGCGGTTCTTTTCTGAAGTGTTACGTAAGTGTTATCGTTAATGTCTTAATGTCTGTCATGTATGCGTATCCTTTTTTGAGGAGTTCATCTGAACTTAATGGTCTGGTACATATCTGTCTTAAGTCTGATTATGAACTGTTCAACTGAACTGTTCAATATCGTGCATGTCTGTTACCCAGGTTGGTGCCCGGATGCCGCTGACAGTGACCCGTGCATCGAGTTTCGGTTCGACAGCCTCAAGGCCCTGAAGACCTTCACATTCGGCCGTAAAGATGGCGGAGAGTACATGAAGACCTGGGACCTCCAGACACGCGGCCCGGGAGAAGAAGAATTCGAGACCAGATTCACCGTGAGACAACCCCATCAATCTCTCTTTCCATCAGAACTGCTCTCTCTCTTCATCAGAACTGCTCTCTCTCTTCATCAGAAGTACTCTCTCTCTCTCCACCAGAACTGCTCTCTCTCTTCATCAGAAGTACTCCCTCTCTCTCTCCACCAGAACTGCTCTCTCTCTTCATCAGAAGTACTCTCTCTCTCTCCACCAGAACTGCTCTCTCTCTTCATCAGAAGTACTCTCTCTCTCTCCACCAGAACTGCTCTCTCTCTTCATCAGAAGTACTCTCTCTCTCTCCACCAGAACTGCTCTCTTTCTCTTCATCAGAAGTACTCTCTCTCTCTCCACCAGAACTGCTCTCTCTCTTCATCAGAAGTACTCTCTCTCTCTCCACCAGAACTGCTCTCTCTCTTCATCAGAAGTACTCTCTCTCTCTCCACCAGAACTGCTCTCTCTCCATCAGAAGTACTCTCTCTCCACCAGAACTGCTCTCTTTCCATCAGAAGTACTCTCTCTCTCCACCAGAACTGCTCTCTTTCCATCAGAAGTACTCTCTCTCTCCACCAGAACTGCTCTCTCTCTCTCTCTCCATCAGAAGTACTCTCTCTCCACCAGAACTGCTCTCTCTCTCCATCAGACGTACTCTCTCTCCACCAGAACTGCTCTCTCTCTCCATCAGAAGTACTCTCTCTCCACCAGAACTGCTCTCTCTCTCCATCAGTACTCTCTCTCTCTCCACCAGAACTGCTCTCTCTCTCCATCAGAAGTACTCTCTCTCTCCACCAGAACTGCTCTTTCTCCACCAGAACTGCTCTCTCTCTCCATCAGAAGTACTCTCTCTCTCCACCAGAACTGTTCTCGCTCTCTCCACCAGAACTGCTCTCTCTCTCCACCAGAACTGCTCTCTCTCCATCAGAAGTACTCTCTCTCCACCAGAACTGCTCTCTCTCCATCAGAAGTACTCTCTCTCTCCACCAGAACTGCTCTCTCTCTCTCTCCATCAGAAGTACTCTCTCTCTCCACCAGAACTGCTCACTTTCTCTCTCCACCAGAACTGTTCTCGCTCTCTCCACCAGAACTGCTCTCTCTCTCTCTCTCCACCAGAACTGCTCTCTCTCCATCATAAGTACTCTCTCTCCACCAGAACTGCTCTCTATCCATCAGAAGTACTCTCTCTCCACCAGAACTGTTCTCTCTCTCCATCAGAAGTACTCTCTCTCTCCACCAGAACTGCTCTCTCTCCACCAGAACTGCTCTATCTCTCTCTCTCTCCATCAGGAGTACTCTCTCTCCACCAGAACTGCTCTCTCTCTCCATCAGAAGTACTCTCTCTCCACCAGAACTGCTCTCGCTCTACCAGAACCCCTCTCTCTCTCTCCACCAGAACTGCTCTCTCTCTCCATCAGAAGTACTCTCTCTCCACCAGAACTGCTCTCTCTCTCTCCATCAGAAGTAATCTCTCTCTCCACCAGAACAGCTCTCTCTCTCCGTCAAAACTGTCATATCTCCATCAGAACTCCTCTCTCTCTCCCCCCCCCCCCCCCCCCCCCCCCCATCAGAACTGCCGGACCTATCACTGTCCATTTTCACAATGTAAAGCTCCCTTATATCAAATATTCGCATCTACATCCGTCGCAGTATACGAATGGCAGTTGTCCCTCCAAGTCCAAATACTGAGTCGCCATGATAACTAAACAAAGGATAATATATATATTATTGTATTGAAATATGCCAAACGCTTACCGGGAATCTTAAATCAACAGCAATAATATTTTTATTTTTTTAAGAACATCAAATCTCTGACAGACACAGCATTCTACAATGTGATCATCAAACCACCGATAGTAGTACAGGCGTTCAGGATCTGCCCCAATCAGGTGGTCGGAAACGCCTGCTTCCGGTTCAACTTGAGAGGATGCGCGGACAACAATGGTGAGATTATCTCCCCTTACGATTTCAAGATATTCGTCCCAAAATGGAGACAATGGATATATAGACTTTCATATCGGAGTGTTTTTCGCATTGTCATATAAAGACAATGTTGAAATATTCCCCAGACAATATTGCAGAACCAAATTTGTTAGTAAGAATCTTGACAGAATCTGTGAACACATAATATCAATTAATTTCACAAATCTATATATGTCTAATTATTATGTCTCTGGAGGTCGCTTTGAAGATCGAATATGTTTTGTACATGTGTACAAATTACACTTGTCGTTGTAGATAAATGTTTAAATGATTAAGATGGAAGTATGAAGTTAATTTACCATTACATGCAATTATGTTTACAGCTGATGGTATTGTCATTTTGGCAGAATGACAAACCTACCATATTTATTATCTCACAGTAATACACATTTCGCCGCGAATAGCTGCAAGACTGCTAACAATCACTCACAATCCAAAACACTTTCATGGTGCAGAAAAGGCATTCGTGACCAACTCGTGTTTTTCCGGACAAGCCGAATAGCGACTCGTGCCCATCTCATGGCCATTTTTGCGACCGGAAAGGGTCGAGTGGTGACGAATGGCAGAAATAGCCATTTTTAAAGAATGATTTCTACAGGGGAACTAACTCTAATCGATGCTATACCAAAGTTGCTGCTTGGAATATGGGATAAATGTCTTTCCAAATTTCGACAGCTAGGTTCCTGGCTGTAGGTGTAAGGTACTTTTCTCTTTTCCATTCTTCCTATACTATGAGATATGTCCCGTGAGATGCCTTGTTTTGCGCAGTAGAGCGAAACTTTGCGCTGTACAGGTGTACAGACGGCGTTTCGTACGACCCGAGCCGTGAGACAGTACGAGTAGGTCGCTGAAGGTTTTAAGTTATCTCCCTTTGTATTGTACGCTGGTCCGGAATCCGAATTGTGTGTGAGTGAGTTGGGTTTAACGCCGCTTTTAACAGTATTCCAGTTATATCGCGCGCGGCGTGTCAGCTTAATGTGGGAGGAAAGCCCGAAGTGATGCAGGTCGCAGACGTTTACCACTTCGGTGAAACCCACGAGCACGGGTATGGTGCTGACAAACCTAGAAACATAATTGGGGCGAACCGGGATTTGAACCCACAATCATAGGTTTCTGGCGTGCCCAAGGGAGGCAACTCTGCACAGCGATCCGCGGCGCCTTAGACGACTGGGCCACCCGTGCCCCCTCCGAATTGTGACATAAGCGTGAGAGAATATATTACATTAGACGCACCAGGGGCGCATTGCAAGCCCCGAATCACTCAGAGTAAGCAAATTTATCCCTCACCCCGGGCCTGGGTATGATGGTGTGTTAGCTACCTTTGCTCATGTCCCAGTTGATCCAGTCAAGAATTTCTTGTTCCGCTGTTCAACTCAGCCGCAATAATTTGTTTTGAGAACGAAGCGACTGGTCTGATTGCAAGCGGCTGAATCGCAGTACATCGTTTGCAAGGGATTGGCGCTTTGCAATTCACCCCAGGTTTTTGTAGATTCTTCAGTAAAAAAGACTGTCACCGTTGACGAGCCAACATTATCAAGTGGACGATGTTAATACGTTTAGACATCCAATCTCATTCAAATCAGATCTAAGTTCTCGCCGCTGCTGAACAAAGGTCTGAGGACATCCCATTACGGGTCACGTCAGAACGACCTTTCGCCAACTTTGACCGACCACTAATGACTAACAAGAAGTCGACAGCCAATTAGAAAGACGCTTTCTCGAGCTTTACGGCACTCGTTTCAACCTGGGGATTTCCATTTCAGACATCGCTTGTAAAATATGTTGACACAGTTTGCGATCAAAATTTTGAAAACTGAACAAACGAACATTCCGGAATGACTAATATATGGTTGAGTTTGTATAGCAGTGCTTCCCACATACTGTGCAGCGCCTCCACCGTTCAAATGTTTATCCCACGGAAGCAAGAGACAGACGATCATTTTGACGGAATCAGTCGTACGGGTCGTAACTGTCGTTCGGAATACCCCGTGTCAACGTTTTCGAGGTATCATGATTAGAAAACACATTCCGGCTGTCACTTTCATTATCTGGTAAGCGACGCTTTGATGAAAGGTCGTTCTAACGTGACCAGTAATGAGATGTCATCAGATCATTGTTTATCTATAGCGAGAACTAAGATCTGATTTTAATTAGATTGTTTAGACATTTTAATTTAATTTTGACTTTGACTCAACCGACTTCACGCTCGAGTTCGAATCACTGAGATTTTATGGTCGCTTCTTTTGAAGAACAAGCGCGTCGAAGCAGCTGCATGTAGACTACTTTGATTAAAAAATTCCAACATTATACCAAAAATAATAATAAATGTAATTGTCTTAGCATTTCAATGATTAACGTTAAGTTGTGCTTTAATTTCACTGATTAACTTTGACATGTTTTAATTTTTTTAAGTATCATATTTTTAGTTTTACTTATAACATTTGCCTTTCTCCAATATTCACATGTAGACCAATGCTCTTTATATCAATCACTGGATTGTCTGGTCCATATTATTTACAGGCTGCCATCATATAGCTTGAATATTGCTGAGTGCAGTGTTAAACAACAAACAAAACAACAACAAAAACATATGCCTCATATATAATAAAGTATATATATATCCCAGAATTGTCATTGATCATGCTGGTGAAGGTAGTTGACATGCAGACATAAGAAAATAACGTAACTCTAAAAGAGATTGTAGGTTTAGTGGTATCACTAGTGGTATTTTTATGGGCCTACTTTCTGTATTGAATATTACAAAGCTCTTTCTGAAAAGTATCAACAATATTTATTTATTTTCATACATCTTTTTCTTGAAATCAATTTTGAAAACAAGATATATTGAACTTAAGTTAACAGCATTGTAGCAGAGGACTGACTGTAGGCATATGTAATGTCCTGTTGTGTGTTTCAGAGCTGTGCCCCAATGTCACGTGCCCAACAGGAGGCAATTGTATGGGCCCCAACTACTGCACGTGCCCTGATGCACAGTATGGGTCAGACTGCAGTTATGATGGTAAGTACAGGGGTTCTTTGTGAAGTTTTCACCTGAGGAATGAACAGATCCCCAGTGGCGCTTGCAGCCTTACCATGAGGACCCCGGGATCAGAACTGATCTAAATACCACCTGCTTGTTCTCCCATAGGTATTCCTAAACAGACTAGACCCAAAGTACCCAATGCTTGTTTCCCTGTGAGGATATCAGAACAGAATACAGATCCCATTTACCCCTTTTGCTTGTTTCCCTGTGGCCATTCCATAACAGAATGCATCCCAAGTAGCCCATGCTTGTTTCCCTGTGGGGATTCCGTAACAGAATGCATCCCAAGTAGCCCATGCTTGTTTCCCTATGGCCATTCCGTAACAGAATGCATCCCAAGTAGCCCATGCTTGTTTCCATATGGCCATTCCGTAACAGAATGCATCCCAAGTAGCCCGTGCTTGTTTCCCTATGGCCATTCCGTAACAGAATGCATCCCAAGTAGCCCATGCTTGTTTCCCTGTGGGGATTCCGTAACAGAATGCATCCCAAGTAGCCCATGCTTGTTTCCCTATGGCCATTCCGTAACAGAATGCATCCCAAGTAGCCCATGCTTGTTTCCATATGGCCATTCCGTAACAGAATGCATCCCAAGTAGCCCGTGCTTGTTTCCCTATGGCCATTCCGTAACAGAATGCATCCCAAGTAGCCCATGCTTGTTTCCATATGGCCATTCCGTAACAGAATGCATCCCAAGTAGCCCGTGCTTGTTTCCATATGGCCATTCCGTAACAGAATGCATCCCAAGTAGCCCATGCTTGTTTCCCTATGGCCATTCCGTAACAGAATGCATCCCAAGTAGCCCTTGCTTGTTTCCCTGTGGGGATTCCGTAACAGAATGCATCCCAAGTACCCCATGCTTGTTTCACTGTGGGGATTCCATAACAGAATGCATCCCAAGTAGCCCATGCTTTTTTCCCTATGGCCATTCAGTAACAGAATGCATCCCAAGTAGCCCGTGCTTGTTTCCCTATGGCCATTCCGTAACAGAATGCATCCCAAGTAGCCCATGCTTGTTTCCCTGTGGGGATTCCGTAACAGAATGCATCCCAAGTAGCCCATGCTTGTTTCCCTATGGCCATTCCATAACAGAATGCATCCCAAGTAGCCCATGCTTGTTTCCCTATGGCCATTCCGTAACAGAATGCATCCCAAGTAGCCCATGCTTGTTTCCCTGTGGCCATTCCGTAACAGAATGCATCCCAAGTAGCCCATGCTTGTTTCCCTATGGCCATTCCATAACAGAATGCATCCCAAGTAGCCCATGCTTGTTTCACAATGGGGATTCCGTAACAGAATGCATCCCAAGTAGCCCATGCTTGTTTCCCTGTGGGGATTCCGTAACAGAATGCATCCCAAGTAGCCCATGCTTGTTTCCCTATGGCCATTCCGTAACAGAATGCATCCCAAGTAGCCCGTGCTTGTTTCCCTGTGGCCATTCCATAACAGAATGCATCCCAAGTAGCCCATGCTTGTTTCCCTATGGCCATTCCGTAACAGAATGCATCCCAAGTAGCCCATGCTTGTTTCCCTATGGCCATTCCGTAACAGAATGCATCCCAAGTAGCCCATGCTTTTTTGCACTGTGGGGATTCTGTAACAGAATGCATCCCAAGTAGCCCATGCTTGTTTCCCTATGACCATTCCGTAACAGAATGCATCCCAAGTAGCCCATGCTTGTTTCCCTATGGCCATTCGGTAACAGAATGCATCCCAAGTAGCCCATGCTTGTTTCACAATGGGGATTCCGTAACAGAATGCATCCCAAGTAGCCCATGCTTGTTTCACTGTGGGGATTCCGTAACAGAATGCATCCCAAGTAGCCCATGCTTGTTTCCCTATGGCCATTCCGTAACAGAATGCATCCCAAGTAGCCCGTGCTTGTTTCCCTGTGGCCATTCCGTAACAGAATGCATCCCAAATAGCCCATGCTTGTTTCCCTATGGCCATTCCGTAACAGAATGCATCCCAAGTAACCCATTCTTGTTTCACTGTGGGGATTCCGTAACAGAATGCATCCCAAGTAGCCCATGCTTGTTTCCCTATGGCCATTCAGTAACAGAATGCATCCCAAGTAACCCATTCTTGTTTCCCTGTGGGGATTCCGTAACAGAATGCATCCCAAGTAGCCCATGCTTGTTTCCCTATGGCCATTCCATAACAGAATGCATCCCAAGTAGCCCATGCTTGTTTCCCTGTGGGGATTCCATAACAGAATGCATCCCAAGTAGCCCATGCTTGTTTCCCTATGGCCATTCAGTAACAGAATGCATCCCAAGTAGCCCATGCTTGTTTCCCTATGGCCATTCCGTAACAGAATGCATCCCAAGTAACCCATTCTTGTTTCACTGTGGGGATTCCGTAACAAAATGCATCCCAAGTAGCCCATGCTTGTTTCCCTATGGCCATTCCGTAACAGAATGCACCCCAAGTAGCCCATGCTTGTTTCCCTATGGCCATTCCGTAACAGAATGCATCCCAAGTAGCCCATGCTTGTTTCCCTAAGGCCATTCCGTAACAGAATGCACCCAAGTAGCCCATGCTTGTTTCCCTAAGGCCATTCAGTAACAGAATGCATCCCAAGTAGCCCATGCTTGTTTCCCTATGGCCATTCGGTAACAGAATGCATCCCAAGTAGCCCATGCTTGTTTCCCTGTGGGGATTCCGTAACAGAATGCATCCCAAGTAGCCCATGCTTGTTTCCCTGTGGCCATTCAGTAACAGAATGCATCCCAAGTAGCCCATGCTTGTTTCACTGTTGGGATTCCGTAACAGAATGCATCCCAAGTAGCCCATGCTTGTTTCCCTGTGGAGATTCCGTAACAGAATGCATCCCAAGTAGCCCATGCTTGTTTCCCTGTGGGGATTCCGTAAAAGAATGCATCCCAAGTAGCCCATGCTTGTTTCCCTGTGGGGATTCCGTAACAGAATGCATCCCAAGTAGCCCATGCCTGTTTCACTGTGGCCATTCCGTAACAGAATGCATCCTAAGTAGCCCATGCTTGTTTCCCTGTGGGGATTCCGTAACAGAATGCATCCCAAGTAGCCCATGCTTGTTTCCCTGTGGGGATTCCGTAACAGAATGCATCCCAAGTAGCCCATGCTTGTTTCACTGTGGCCATTCCGTAACAGAATGCATCCCAAGTAGCCCATGCTTGTTTCCCTATGGCCATTCCATAACAGAATGCATCCCAAGTAGCCCATGCTTGTTTCCCTGTGGAGATTCCGTAACAGAATGCATCCCAAGTAGCCCATGCTTGTTTCCCTGTGGGGATTCCGTAACAGAATGCATCCCAAGTAGCCCATGCTTGTTTCCCTGTGGGGATTCCGTAACAGAATGCATCCCAAGTAGCCCATGCTTGTTTCCCTGTGGGGATTCCGTAACAGAATGCATCCCAAGTAGCCCATGCTTGTTTCCCTGTGGAGATTCCGTAACAGAATGCATCCCAAGTAGCCCATGCTTGTTTCCCTGTGGGGATTCCGTAACAGAATGCATCCCAAGTAGCCCATGCTTGTTTCCCTGTGGGGATTCCGTAACAGAATGCATCCCAAGTAGCCCATGCTTGTTTCCCTGTGGGGATTCCGTAACAGAATGCATCCCAAGTAGCCCATGCTTGTTTCACTGTTGGGATTCCGTAACAGAATGCATCCCAAGTAGCCCATGCTTGTTTCCCTATGGCCATTCCGTAACAGAATGCATGCCAAGTAGCCCATGCTTGTTTCCCTATGGCCATTCAGTAACAGAATGCATCCCAAGTAGCCCATGCTTGTTTCACTGTGGCCATTCCGTAACAGAATGCATCCCAAGTAGCCCATGCTTGTTTCCCTATGGCCATTCCATAACAGAATGCATCCCAAGTAGCCCATGCTTGTTTCCCTGTGGAGATTCCGTAACAGAATGCATCCCAAGTAGCCCATGCTTGTTTCCCTGTGGGGATTCCGTAAAAGAATGCATCCCAAGTAGCCCATGCTTGTTTCCCTGTGGGGATTCCGTAACAGAATGCATCCCAAGTAGCCCATGCCTGTTTCACTGTGGCCATTCCGTAACAGAATGCATCCTAAGTAGCCCATGCTTGTTTCCCTGTGGGGATTCCGTAACAGAATGCATCCCAAGTAGCCCATGCTTGTTTCCCTGTGGGGATTCCGTAACAGAATGCATCCCAAGTAGCCCATGCTTGTTTCACTGTGGCCATTCCGTAACAGAATGCATCCCAAGTAGCCCATGCTTGTTTCCCTATGGCCATTCCATAACAGAATGCATCCCAAGTAGCCCATGCTTGTTTCCCTGTGGAGATTCCGTAACAGAATGCATCCCAAGTAGCCCATGCTTGTTTCCCTGTGGGGATTCCGTAACAGAATGCATCCCAAGTAGCCCATGCTTGTTTCCCTGTGGGGATTCCGTAACAGAATGCATCCCAAGTAGCCCATGCTTGTTTCCCTGTGGGGATTCCGTAACAGAATGCATCCCAAGTAGCCCATGCTTGTTTCCCTGTGGAGATTCCGTAACAGAATGCATCCCAAGTAGCCCATGCTTGTTTCCCTGTGGGGATTCCGTAACAGAATGCATCCCAAGTAGCCCATGCTTGTTTCCCTGTGGGGATTCCGTAACAGAATGCATCCCAAGTAGCCCATGCTTGTTTCCCTGTGGGGATTCCGTAACAGAATGCATCCCAAGTAGCCCATGCTTGTTTCACTGTTGGGATTCCGTAACAGAATGCATCCCAAGTAGCCCATGCTTGTTTCCCTATGGCCATTCCGTAACAGAATGCATGCCAAGTAGCCCATGCTTGTTTCCCTATGGCCATTCAGTAACAGAATGCATCCCAAGTAGCCCATGCTTGTTTCACTGTGGCCATTCCGTAACAGAATGCATCCCAAGTAGCCCATGCTTGTTTCCCTATGGCCATTCCATAACAGAATGCATCCCAAGTAGCCCATGCTTGTTTCCCTGTGGAGATTCCGTAACAGAATGCATCCCAAGTAGCCCATGCTTGTTTCCCTGTGGGGATTCCGTAACAGAATGCATCCCAAGTAGCCCATGCTTGTTTCCCTGTGGGGATTCCGTAACAGAATGCATCCCAAGTAGCCCATGCTTGTTTCCCTGTGGGGATTCCGTAACAGAATGCATCCCAAGTAGCCCATGCTTGTTTCCCTGTGGAGATTCCGTAACAGAATGCATCCCAAGTAGCCCATGCTTGTTTCCCTGTGGGGATTCCGTAACAGAATGCATCCCAAGTAGCCCATGCTTGTTTCCCTGTGGGGATTCCATAACAGAATGCATCCCAAGTAGCCCATGCTTGTTTCCCTGTGGGGATTCCGTAACAGAATGCATCCAAAGTAGCCCATGCTTGTTTCACTGTTGGGATTCCGTAACAGAATGCATCCCAAGTAGCCCATGCTTGTTTCCCTGTGGAGATTCCATAACAGAATGTATCCCAAATAGCCCATGCTTGTTACCCTGTGGGGATTCCGTAACAGAATGCATCCCAAGTAGCCCATGCTTGTTTCCCTGTTGGGATATCCGAGCAGAATATCGACCTCAAGTACCCCATTCTTGATAGTCACCTGCCTTATACAATACAATATCACGATACAACAATCAAATGTAGCAGAAACTATTCTAATTAACAGAAACAAAGAATTGTTAAAGCCCCACTGACATGGACACTGTTTATTTTTTCCAGGAACCAGTGACGTTCGAACCTATGTGAGCTTTGCTTCTTCGGAAATTCTTGCCAACAATACCGTGATCTCTGCCCGTCTGCCCACACTTACCCTGTCCGGTGTAGATGGCGTTAACGCTTCTGCGTCTATTATGGAGGGCTACCGTGCTATGGCTGTCTACTTGAAAGGGGAAAATGTCTCTGCCAGTCTTCCTGACCTATCCTGTTTCGATGATCTGCAAGTGTGCACGTCCTTCACCTTGGCGATGGTAGCAGCTGTACAGTTCGAGGAATCCAGCTCCACGTTTTCCCTCCTGTCATCGATCAACCTGGCCAGACAACAGGGTGTTGCTGTGTCCGTGCGCGAAGGACATCTGAACGCTCTCGTCCTCGCTGGGCAATACATGTGGAATCTCACTATAGAGAATGTGCTGGGTAAGTCAGCAATAAAGTCTACCTTATGTCCTTGAATGTACCTAGGCATAATGAACAGCATCTTCCCTAGGCAAGGGAGTTAACTGACTATAAAAGTAGAGTTTCCTCCCTTTCTGAACAAGGCTGGAATTTTGTGAATTATAGCGCCACCAGTGGGTATTACGAGTTATGGACCCCGCTATTTTGTGTGAAGCAAACGTAAGTGATATGAGAGGTGGAATCTGATTGGTCAATAGGATGAATATACCGTGAAGGGAAGTGTGTGTGTGTGTGTGTGTGTGTGTGTGTGTGTGTGTGTGTGTGTGTGTGTGTGTGTGTGTGTGTGTCTATGTCAGTGTCTGTCTCTGTTTTTGTCTCCGTGTGTGTCTGTCTGTCAGTGTGTGTGTCTATGTCAGTGCGTGTGCATGTGTCTCTGACAGTGTGTGTGTCTGTCAGTGTGTGTGTGTGTGTGTGTGTGTGTGTGTGTGTGTGTGTGTGTGTGTGTGTGTGTGTGTGTGTGTGTGTGTGTGTGTGTGTGTGTCTATGTCAGTGTCTGTCTGTGTTTATGTCTCCGTGTGTGTCTGTCTGTCAGTGTGTGTGTCTATGTCAGTGCGTGTGCATGTGTCTCTGACAGTGTGTGTGTCTGTCAGTGTGTGTGTTGTTATGTGTTTGTATGTCTGTCAGTGTCAGTGTGTGTTCGCACTTCATGAAAACAGGTCATGGCTTGAAATCCTATTGCAGTGAATGATGTAATTATTTGTGAAATTATTTACTTGTTTCTTCTGACTGAAAAAAATGTTTTCAAGTTAAAGGAAATAGTGGTGTTATCTCTGTGAGTCTTCTGCAGGGGATGTCTGCGTGATGGAGAGGGATCCCGGTCTGTGCAAGGCGCTGAAGCCCCGCTGGTACTACTCCCCTCGGTCACGGCAGTGTCTGCAGTTCAACTACGGGGGATGTGGGGGAAACGGAAACAGGTTCGCCACTGAAGCTGAATGCGAACAAGCCTGCAAGGAGACTAAAAAATGTGAGCATTTGACTAAAAATAAGTAATTCCTTTGGTTCAATTCATGTCACTGTGTGTTCTGTGGTTTTACTTCCCCATAGTGCTGAGATGACCGTCACTCTGATATTCAGCTCCAAGTCTACATCAGATGTCATTAAAAATTACCAAAATGGAATTAATACTTTCTCAATTTATGATAATATATGTAAAATATAGCTAATTTTATGGCTTTGTAGAAATACCCTGTATTACAATGATAACAGGATGAATAAATAGGAACAGGTTGTAATTCTCAGTTACTAGTAAAAAGAGAAAATATTTATGGATGTCAGCTTCTTTATTATGAGGAAAAACGGCAGTCGGGTAGCCTTGTGGTTAAAGCGTTCGCCTGTCATGCCGAAGACCTGGGTTCGATTCCTGACATGGGTACAATGTGTGAAGCCCATTTCTGGTGTCCCCCGCCGTGATATTGCTGGAATATTGCTAAAAGCGGCATAAAACCACACTCACTTACACACTATTATGAGGAACACAACTATTCGGAATCCTGGATAAATCCCTGGGTAGTTGTAGCACTCAGATTGCTTTGGGGACTATCCCTGGGGCAGAACGTCCGACATATGTTTGTATCTATACGGGAACCCTGAGTTTTTGATCTGCCAATTTCAACATAGGTTGTCGATTTATTCTTTTTTTTAATTTCAACTACGAGATTGGTACTGCTGCTAATGTAATTACATTAAAACAAGTTTTCATTTGGCAAGATACCAAAGGGTAATTGATTAGTTTTTTTGTTAGAAAAAAGTTTTATACATATTACTGGTATTCTTACGGGACAGTGGTGATAAAATATATGCGGGTTTTTTTTTATTTCACCTGATTGTAAAATATTTTTCTCAATGGTTGTTTCTTATTTCAGGTTTTTTTGGAAAGTAGGTCTTGTAAGCCAACGGAAAAATATAAAGCCTAATTAGTGTTGTTGATGACTTTCTGTTGACAATCGATTTAATTTGAAACTGTCGTTCTGACTTGCCTTAATTTGGTTTAGGAAAACTGATTCACTTATGAGTGAATGAGTGAGTGAGTGAGTTGGGTTTAACGCCACTTTTAACAGTATTCCAGTTATATCGTGGCGTGTCAGCTTAATGTGGGAGGAGAGCTCGAAGTAATGCAGGTCTCAGACGTTTACCACTTCGGTGAAACCCACGAGCATGGGTATGGTGCTGACAAACCTAGAAACATAATCAGGGCGAACCAGGATTCGCTACCACAATCATAGGTTTCTGGCATGCCCAAGGGACGCAACTCTGCACAGCGAATCGCGGCACCTTAGACGACTGGGCCACCCGGGCCCCGATTCACTTATGAGACACAAAGTAACCATCAATGACCTGGTTGTGTTTCAGTCACTCTCATCAGCGGACTGTGGTATCGCTTTGTTCTGTCCTGGAACTCAAGAGGAGGTCTGGAGCTGTACGCCAATGGTCGACGCATTGGAAGAGTACCCAGTGCAGACGTCATTGGCAACGTTGGCTCTGATGTAGCAGCAGCTGCAACGTCTGAGTTGTATATTGGCTACACCATCAGGGATACTGTCTCCACGGATCTCAAGTTTGAGAGTATTGAGTTCTGGCCTCTGGCATACAGTGAAGTTCTTGTTATTGGAAATTTCAACGGTGAGTGGACATTGTTTGTTTCTTATTGATTAATGCACGTTTTGTATACTTATTATATTCATCATATAAATTTTTGTGTTTTCCATGCAGTAAACTAGGTGTAATGATCGAACATGATATGCAAATGAGGTCATCCAACAGGAACTACTTTTAGTAAGCTCTATGAATAGATTTGGGCTTTACAGAACGTTCCCTAAATGACCAGATAGTAACTTCCCGATGTGTAAGTGCTGATGTAAACAGCCATGGCTGCAAGTCATTTAGCACTGTATCATAATGGGGCAGTTTACTCAGACTTTATATTCCTGCGCTGGTCTCAGACTTTATATTCCTACGCTGTTCTCAGACTTTATATTCCTGCGCTGTTCTCCGACTTTATATTCCTGTGCTGTTCTCAGACTTTATATTCCTACGCTGGTCTCAGACTTTATATTCCTACGCTGTCCTCAGACTTTATATTCCTACGCTGTCCTCAGACTTTATATTCCTACGCTGTCCTCAGACTTTATATTCCTATGCTGTTCTCAGACTTTATATTCCTACGCTGTCCTCAGACTTTATATTCCTACGCTGTTCTCACACTTTATATTCCTGCAATGTTCTCACGCTTTATATTCCTACGCTGTTCTCAGACTTTATATTCCTGCACTGGTCTCAGACTTTATATTCCTGCGCTGTTCTCAGACTTTATATTCCTGCGCTGTTCTCAGACTTTATATTCCTGCGCTGTTCTCCGACTTTATATTCCTGTGCTGTTCTCACACTTTATATTCCTGCGCTGTTCTCAGACTTTATATTCCTACGCTGTTCTCACACTTTATATTCCTACGCTGTTCTCAGACTTTATATTCCTGCGCTGTTCTCACACTTTATATTCCTGCGCTGTTCTCAGACTTTATATTCCTGCGCTGTTCTCACACTTTATATTCCTGGGCTGGTCTCAGACTTTATATTCCTGTGCTGTTCTCAGACTTTATATTCCTGCGCTGTTCTCAGACTTTATATTCCTGCGCTGTTCTCACACTTTATATTCCTGCGCTGTTCTCAGACTTTATATTCCTGCGCTGTTCTCCGACTTTATATTCCTGTGCTGTTCTTAGACTTTATATTCCTACGCTGTTCTCACACTTTATATTCCTGTGCTGTTTCTAATGTTACTCAAGTGAATAGCAATATGTCATAAACTTTAATTGTTTTAATAATGACATTATGTGATAAAGAGATTCTTTCCCTTGTGTGCTGTTTGATTGGCATTCTAGACATTGGTGAGTGAATTAGAAAACATACAACTTTATGGATAACATCTTCTGGTGTATTAATTGCATATAGCAGGGCAAGGCTTGGATAATGCAATTTATTTCCTAGTATTTGATATGAAAACACAAAGCTAAGAATCTCTGTGTCTTCAATGGGGTAATAACTGATAGCTACATGTCTGCAATCGTAGTTTGTTTTTTTGTTGAATATTGCACTGTATGTATACTCGATTAATGTCTTCAATTAGATAAGAGACCTGTGCAGATCCGGGGTAGAATAGGTCTTTGGCAACCCATGCTTGCCGTAAGAGGCGACTATGCTTGTTGTAAGAGGCTACTAACGAGATCGGGTGGTCAAGCTCGCTGTCTTGGTTGATGCATGTCATCGAATCCAAGTTGTGTTGATCGATTCTCCAAAGGATTGTCTGGTCCAGACTCAAGTATTTACAGACCACCGTCATAAAGCTGGAATATTGTTGAGTGCAGCGTTAAACAACAAACAAACAAACAAATTAGATAAGAGGAGTTGAAAGAAAGCTCTCTGGCCATGTGGCAGAAAACATGAGGAGAGTTACTTCCCTTAGTTTGTTTGTTGTTTAACGCGCCACTCACCAATATTCCTGCTAAATGGCGATAGCCGAACCTGGACCAGACAATCAAGTTATTGACATCACAAGCATTGATCTACGCAATTGGAATACGACATGCATCATCCAAATCAGCAAGCCAATCTTGTTTGTCGCCTCTTACAACAAGCATGGGTTGCTGAAGACCAAATCTAGCCCGGTTCTTCACAGGGCACTTCCCTTATTGAAACTAAACAAATGGAAGAGTAAAGCTATCCTTTTTGGTCATTGTGGAGTGTATATTTTTAGTATTCCCAATTTCCCACAAACAAGTCTGTTATTTAGTAATATTTACACTGATCCATAATTCCCACTGACCACCTCTTAGCAGAGTTGAGAGTTATCTCCCTTAATGCATCCTACCAGTAGAGGTCAGTGCAAGAGGAGTTACCTCCCCTTTCTGCTTGACACTGATAAGTATTTTCCCATAATTCACCTGTGGAACTGTTATATTCTTGTTTCAGGGAAGTGCGATGTATCTGACTGTGATGGTATGGGCAGCATTGGTTGCTATGACAACACCACATGCAGTTGTCGTAAAGGTTTCCTTGGAAGACGTTGTGATCAGACAGGTATGAGGCGTCTCCCTGGTTTTTAATCAATACCACATATGTTGTCTAGTCAAGAATACTGCAGGCATTTGCAACCTGCACAGCAACGTGTTAATTTTTTCTAGCCTGCTATAAACATGATATTATGTTAACTGATAAATAGGAATATAAAAATAAATAAATATAATTATCTCACCTCCATGAGATGTTGAGATCTGATTGGTTCACGTGATCTTGATAAAATACTATGTATCTGACCTGGCAGGGAAATAAATTTCTGAGCAGGGGAATAAATCCCTTATACCTCGTCACAAACAGGCTGCACATTGATTTCTGAGCTTGAGAATAAATCTCTTGCACCCATCTATGAAGCAAAATGTTGCACTTTTTTTATGAATCAATGAAAGTCAAGTGACAGAACACAGTTTAACCTCAGCTGAATCGAACAGCTGTTTTTTTGTCAATTTTTAATTGTTATAATTCTTTTACAATGACAGATTGAAACATGTCAGCAAGATGAATTCATTGTAGCACTATCATTAGGGGTATCAAACCTAACAGGACACATAAAACCACGTATACCCCTTGTGATACTGCAACAACGAATTCATCTTGCCGACATGTTTCAATCTGTCATTGTAAAAGAATTACCGTATTTGACGTAATAAGCGCCCACGGCGATATTTGCTAATATATTGGCTAGTGAACAATCCCAATAAGCACCCCCTTCCGATTGATCAATGTACACAAGACTTATTTATTTGCGTATAATACGCACTAGTGTCTTATATGCATTCTTAATTATGGGCAATTAAATTCTGGAAAAATATATTTGTCGCATATAAACATTTCAGTCTGTCACCACAACAGCAAAATTTATCTCTCAACTCTGTTTTTTCCACCAAAATAATGTTCTGATAAGAGCCCCCTATTTCTTATTTTGAGAGCGCCCTGGGCACTTATTACGTCGAATATGGTAAATCGAACTTATAATGTACCAACTATTTTGAGATACAGGAATTTGGATGTCATGAAAATCAATCAATTCCCAACCACTCTGACATGCCATGGTGTAACTGAAATTCTATTCAAAACTTGAATGTCTTTTACTAATCTTTTATTTTATTCCCCTTGCAGTGGACAGTGCTAACATCAACATCTTCACCTTCGACAGAATCGAGTCCAGCACTCTGTACTCCTCACTCAGCGAGCTCTCTGTGTCGGGTACTGTCTCCGTCACCACTCAGAACATGAGTCTGTCCATTCTGGAACTGGCAGCTGGCGTATCCTATGTGACCTTGACCTCTGACACAGCCTGCCTTGGTGACCTTAGCTGTGATGATGGCTACACCTTCAGCGTTCAGGCGCAGCTGATGTCTGGATCCGCAACACTCTTCTCAGTATCGTCAGCTGTAACTAATTCCAGTTGTTCCCTCGCCTACGACGGCACGTCTCTGGTCGCCGTCACAGTCATCGGCAACAATGAGTACAGCTTGTCGTATCCCTACACAGTCGTCAGTGACAGCTGGGTTAGCCTTGAAGTCAGCTTCTCAAAGGAGTTCGGCTTCAGTCTTGCCATCGATGAAGTCGTCATGGCATCTACCACCATGTTCGTCGAGGTTTCCCAAACATTTGAAACATACAATTTGACAGTGGGATCTCGGACTGGATCCTCGGTCCTTCTTCAAGTGACAAGTTTCAGCTATGCAGCCTACTATCGCTCACAGCTCCAGTTCTCTGGCATCAGCATTGCAAGTAAGTCAGCTAATATATAACGTATCTGACGTAATAAGCGCCAAGGCGCTGTCAAAATTAGAAATAGGGGGCTCTTATTAGAATATAATTTTGGTGAAAAAAAAACAGAGTTGAAAGATCGTAAATTTTGTGGTAAATGCTGACAGCCTAAAATGATACAAAGAAAACTCTGTGCATATTATACACGACAGATATATTTTTCCAAAATTTAATTGCCCATAATTAAGGGTGCATATAACACACGAGTGCATATTATACATGAATAAATAAGTCTTGTGTACATTTATTGATCGGAAGGGGTGCTAATTGGGATTGTTCACCAGCCGATATATATTAGCAAATATCGCAGTGGGCACTTATTAGAGCGGGGCGCTTATTACATCAAATACGGTAAGTTGATATTTCCAGTATTCTGCTCAACCTTTAATAGGAATATTCTTCTTGTCCTTGAGTTCGAACCCACAATCATAGGTTTCTGGCGTGCCCAAGGGACACATCTCTGCATAGCAAATCCTGGCGCCTAAGATGACTTGGCCACCCGTGCCCCCCTCAAACTAGTGAATGATCCTTGTAAGTTGAGTGATGTTTGTTGGCCACGTGACATGACTGACATCTCCTTGCAGATCCCTGTCCACCCAACTACTGCAGGAACGGCGGGGTCTGCACCGACGTGGCTATGTGCGCTTGCACCGATGGGTTTTTCGGAGCAGCTTGTGACCTTGAAAGTGAGTTGTCTATCACAGCAGAAGTCTGATATTAATTTTTGAAAGCATGGAGTCGAATGTTTCTCCTTTTTGTGGCGATCTGTAGGATGGGTAATATCTTAAACCATAGATGGAGATGTTGTTCAGGAGAACTAGTGATGTACAAGTTCATTTCAACACTTTTTTATTTTATTATAATTTTATTCTCAATATCATTCTGCAAACCTGTTTTCCATTGCTACAATGTGAGTACAATTGAGTGGCCATATTGAGACAATGGGTATTTGAACAGATACTGTTTGTCCGGCATACGTAGCGTTTCATTGTGATTGGCCACAGAACTGGACATTCACAGAGATTCGGTAATAAATATATTGTATTGACTTCACTGTCTTCACCTGTGTTGCAATGTTGGCACAGATTTATCTGCAATATCAAACTAAGTGCTCCTGGCAAGCAAATTGAGAAAAAAATGTGATATTGTTTAAAAATTAGATTTTTTAATTGGAATTTTTTTACTGTTATTTACTGCAGATATGAAGCCAAATTTCAGCCTCTGAGCAGATAACTCCCTGTTTGGGCATACACAAGTTACATTTTATCCACAGATCTTGATATCTTAGTTTAGAATATATCTGAAGTCAATAACAAACAAATCTATAGCTGTTTGACTGGGGCATTTTACTGATTAATGTACCGTGAAGATCTGGGTTAAAATTTATCTTCAGCATCCCATGCTTGTCATAAGAAGCGAGTAAGGGGATCAGAAAAGTCACGATATGACTGATATAAGTTGTTAATCTTTGTTGTTGCTACTTAAATAAGACCATATTCATGATCAGTGAACATGTTTTACAGAGAAGGATGACGTCATTGTCCGAGACATTACAGTAGCAACAATAATGAAATCTGGACTATCGGCGACGATTGAAGGAAAGTATATCATACAAAACGGCAATGCCCTTGAACTTGACTCGACCTCTGAGAGGTCATACGTTGAAGTGGACTTTCCCAGCAGCGCTTCCTGTCTGACGCGGCCCCAGCACTGCAGGAACGGCTACACCATGTCCGTCAGCTTCTCCATCACCAAGATGTCGGCCAACAGCATCGTTGTCCTCCTCTCCACCGGCGGCGATGGTGGCGCCAGTGGCTTCTACCTTGCATATAACCTTCTCCTTAAACGATACGAAATCGTCATGCAGACATTCCGTCAGCGTTGGACTCTGAAGGTTCCCTATGAGCTGTCGACTAATAAGGAGTACAACATCGGGTTCTCGTGGAGTTTCCAGGAACTTTCTCTGTTTGTGGATGACGTCGTCATCGGTAGTACCACAACGTTTGAAAAGTTGGACAGGGGGGTTGTTACCATGGGTGCCGGCAACCTGCGAATGGGGTCATGCTACAGCGGTATTGCGACGACGACGTACGTTCTGCGACTGTTCTCGTACAAGTCCTACTCAGTTTCCAGGAGCCTTCTTTCAACATTCAAAATTATCACAAGTAAGTAGCTGAGCTGGAAACCTGTGTTATGTTGCCAACTTGATTGATATATATATGGACAGCCATTCGGTCATAAAATACTAAGTTGAAATAAAGGCCTAGGACAAAAGTACGCAATAATAGTCAAATGTTACTATTAAAGAATTAAATATTAATAATACAGGTCAAAATACGCCGGTTTAAAGGCACAAAGTTGAAATAAAGGTCAAAATTATGCAATATGATAGTCAAAAGTTACGAAAAGACGTCATATGAAAAGAAAAAACAATGTGTATTGAAGTTCGTCACACTGCCAAAAGATGTTGACAATAAAGAACGCCAGATGGCTGCAATTTGTAAAACATTCCCAGTTTAATCGGCTTGTTCCTCTGTGTTTATGATAACTGCATGCCGAGGTGCACAATGTTTTATGTCATTTTCATTACATCTGAAAAGTGAATGCTGTGCGAGAATTGCGCTCTCGCGGCACTGTGTCAACTTCAGACTATAAAATTACGCAGAGATGTAAAATGTTCACCTTCCTGTCTGGTTGTGTGGTGTAAATGTAACTGCAAATTTTTAACTGATTTAAAAAAGAGACACTGCTAAGTGTTATTTGAGATTTTATTATGCGTAAAAAAAACAGCAAATGGCGCCACTTATTATCATACACTGATAAAAGTACTGTGCGACAATTTGTTTTATTTAACAGCTTGACGAAAATTGAGCGAACAAAATGCTGCCTTAAATCTGAACGACAAAAATATATATCAAATTACCTTAGCCAGTAACACCCTCTACCAACATCACGACTAATGCACTGCCGTGTGAGAGATGTTTACTGCATGTATTCGAAAAAAACAATTGTTGTTATAAACTTGAAAAGAATCTCTTGGAGTACCTCATTTGCAGTATAGATAATTGTAAATCAATATTTGTCATATGGTGTTATTTTGTAAATGAGCACATTGCAAAAATATAATTTTACCCAATAGCTAGGTGTATTGGAATAGTCATCATTTAATTATAACATGTCAATAATGTCAAATAACATCAAAAGGTGGTCAAATTTCAAAATGTTTCCAGAGTAAATGAAAAAAGTGTTGCTCAAAATTGTTGTAACATTTTTCAAAATTCATATTGAAATGTACTGTTTTAGGTCTGAGTAAACAGTTGACAATATTTAATTTTTTATTCTATCTGAATGTTTCTTGTATTAGTGGGCAATGACTATTTATGTACTTGGTTTTGTGACCATTGTTTTGTTTCCTTTATTTCAGTTTTAGGAGCAGCTGAAGGTATGGTTATTAATACACATCACTCACTTGTAGATGTACATGCTTGGTCTTCTCCACCATCAGACCCTGTAGCAATCAAAATATGTACCGTATTTGACGTAATAAGCGCCCCGCTCTAATAAGCGCCCACTGCGATATTTGCTAATATATTGGCTAGTGAACAATCCCAATTAGCACCCTTCGTGTGTTATATGCACCTTAATTTCGGGAAATTAATTCCGGAAAAATATATCTGGCATGTCTAATACGCACAGACTTTTCTTTTGTATCATTTCAGGCTGTCATCCTAAACCACAAATTTACGATCTTTCAACTCTTTCACCAAAATTATATTCTGATAAGAGCCCCCTCTTTCTAATTTTGAGAGCGCCCTGGGCGCTTATTACGTCGAATACGGTAAATAGTATTCAGGGCTTTACCTGGCTTATGTTTAAGGGTCCTTGCAGGCAATATGAGGGTCGTGTAAAGTAATGAAATGGTGCAGTGTACTGTCTGTTTAGATAATTACTTTAGAGCCTGGAATGAATCATGTGGACAGTGGTCATGATTGATGGAGGAAATAACAGACACCATAAATGCTATTAATGCGGTGTAGGTACAATGTATATTATTGTGCATCCCTTGAGACGCAGCATTTTGTTTTTCTGCATCCATTCTCTACATTTGTGCATCGCGTAAAACCCTGGTATTTAAGTGATGATGATGATGATGATGATGATGATAACAATAATGATTAAAAATGTTTTGATGGTAGTGATAAAAATTATGTTTAAGAAATGAAGAAACATTAATATGTAATAGAAATGAAATTGGTGACAAAAAATTGTTTAAAGCAATAGAGAAATATTTACATGGATAAGATGATGGTGTGTTTCTCTCCGTGACAGATGAAACCAAGCCATGTGACAGCGACCCATGTGAGAATGGCCAGTGTGAAAACAAGCCAGGAGACGCATTTGAGTGCAAATGTTACTATGGTTACAGTGGTGACAAATGCCAGACCAAGATGGGTAAACAAAGTTTTACTTAATCATTTACAGTATGACAAATCCTAATAAACTAGAATAATACTTATTCCATGGAGTGAGTGAGTGAGTTTGATTTTAAGCCGCTTTTAGCAATATTTCAGCAATATCACGGCAGGGTACACCAGAAATGGGCTTTACGCATTGTACCCATGTCCTTGGCGTGACGAGCGAACACTTTAACCACTGGGCTACCTGACCGCCCCCTTATTTCATGGAAAGGGTTCGCAAGGCATTCACTGAGCAGAGTCGTGTCCCTTACCCGCACAATGATCTGCTTCACATGGGTTTAGAATCTTCCTGATTATGATCCTTGAGCTGTCTGGTCCGGACTCAATCAAGTATTTACAGACCGCCTTCATACAGCTGGAATATTGACATGAAAAGAAACAAAAAACATTTCAGCTGTACATTATGCTGCTGTTACATTGTTTCTTGGGACTTCTGCACCTTAACTGAGGTCACAGGTTGGGGTTTACTGTGTCAGTGTGATTATGTTTGTTTGTTTGTTTGTTTGTTTGTTTGTGGTTTAATGCTTCACTCAGCATTATTCCAGCTACGTGATGGCGGTCTGTAGATAACAGAGTCCTCGACAGAATGATTGACATCACAAGCATCGATCCATGCGATTAGGACACGATGACTTGCCGATTCCATTAATTACCTTTTATAACAAGCATAATCGCCTCAGACCCAGGATGGACATTTTAATATTATTTAGTTTATCGATTTAGTTAAAGATTTGTCAGTCAGAGGTTTCAAATAACAATAACATGTCTAACACAAGACCCAGGTTGCAAATTTTAATATTATTTTATGTCAATTCCAGGCACGCTGATAAATCGATTTAGTTAAAAGTTAGAACTGATTCCGATTTGTCAGTCAGAGGTTTCAAATGACAATAGCATGTCTAACACAAGACCCAGGTTGCAAATTTTAATATTACTTTATGTCAATTCCAGGCACGCTGATCAGCCGCTTTACCTTTACATCGCTGAAACGTATCAAGGACTACTACTCAATCCTGACCTCCGCCTTCCCGTTGATTGGTCATGGAAACATCGAACTCGTCAAGGAGGGCAACAGAAAGTTTGTTAAGATTGGGGGAAGTAGAAGCAGACTTGAGATCACCTTCAGCCGATATCGAAGCATCAAGTCGATATTTACATCAGAAACTGTGTCCGCCTCATCAGCATTCTCTTTCAGCTTTGAGACGAAGCTTACAACAACCAGAGTTACCACGGCAACCCGAATCATCTTGTTTTCTGTTGGTTCGGTCACCAATGGCGACCTGACCTCTCCCGGGATGCTGGTGTATTATGAGAATGGGATGATGACGTGTTACCTGAGTCTGAGACAGAAGAAATATAAGGTTCAGTTTGCAATTACTTTGCAAGACCTTGCCATACTGAGGACAGTCGACTTCTCATTCAGTCTTGCCACAGGATTTGTCATCCGAACCAAAGAGGCAACAGCATTAAATTACACAGTTCTTGGCACGGCGACCACTTCATCCATCCAATCACTCGAGGCGGTAGAGATTGAGGAGGCCGTGATTGGTTCCCGTGGCGACGTGGATGCTGAGTATGACCTATACGTTGGCACCTGCAGTATTGCCGATGCCACCCCAAGCCAGATTGACACTGAAGGCCTCACCCAGGGTGAGTTGGGTTTCTTTGACTATGTTTAACCCACTTCATTGTTGCAATCTGTCTTATAAACCTACTGCCACTTTTGCCTGTTGTACCTGTCTCATAATTACCTCTTGGGAGGTTTTACTTTATCCTAGGAAAACCTCATCCCTGCTGTGAGGTTTTACTTTTTCATAGTAAGACCTTGTATGAGGTTTTACTTTTGCCTTCTAAGACCTGGTATGAGTTTTACTTTTGCCTAGTAAGACCTATTATGGGGTTTTACTATTGCTTAGTAAGACCTGGTATGCAGTTTTACTTTTGCCTTGTAAGACCTGGTATGAGGTTTTACTTTTGCCTTCTAAGACCTGGTATGAGTTTTACTTTTGCCTAATAAGACCTGGTATGAGGTTTTATTTTTGCCTAGTAAGACCTGGTATGAAGTTTTACTTTTGCCTAGTAAGACCTGGTATGAGGTTTTACTTTTTCCTTGTAAGACCTGATGAGCCAAGGAGTCGATGAAGTTTGTACTTGGTGTTTCAAATGTCCAATGTTCTAAAATCGGGTTTTCAGTATGGATGACGTGCATTGAACCTGCTTTATCATGTTCATTTTTGTAACACACTGTTTTCCCACTGAGCCACTGGGGCAGGTGATGAAAAGTTGTTCAATTTTATATTTCATGAATCCAGTTGGTCCATGCTGCATGCAGTTCTTTTCTCCCACGCTTTGATCACTGTTTCACGATAAGGCATCTCGATGTTTTCTTATTTTGGGGGGGTATTTCATGCATTTAGACAGTTCCTAAGTTGGATAAAACATGACTCCGAGGTTTTAGTTGAAAATTAAAATCTTGAGCTCGCGAAAAGCCCTCTCGGAGTCATGTTTTATCCTATACATCAAAGTGCAAGTGTGTATTAAAATGAAAAACCCTGTTTGTACCCAGTATGTGAGCATGAGATCGGCCAGGCTTCTTGTAATCTTAAAACATTAACTTGGTCAGTGTTAAACAATACATGGAGTCCTTGGATCATCGAGGCTTACTTATATAGTACTTGACAATAGGGACCCCTGATTCTTAAACATTCAACATTAGTTGACTTTAGATGCATAATTTCGAACATTGAGAAGAGTAATCTTTGTGTATTTAATTTTAGTGTTACAAAAGTAGAGCCATGACAATATTTGTTCATGAGACATTATATGTATAATGGTTTTTACATAATATGTCATAAATATCATCATCAAAAGGAATGATAAACAATGAAATCGAAACATATTTTGTCAATTTTAAAAAAATTACAAATTTTGAAAACTCTTTTCCATACAGTCAGAATAAAATAACATTTTATAATTTGTTTCATCCCGTCCTAAGTCACATTATGACACAAAGTATAAGCAGGAACTCTGTAGAGAATCTACAACCCCCTTAAATAAGGAAGAGAACTTTTGCTGTGATACAAGACAACAAGATTGAATCTGATGGCTTGAATTTCCTGTACAGCCAAGCAAATTGTAGAATGGTTGGATGAGCATATATGTTGCCTGTCATCTCTAATGTGATGCTTGTCTTGACAGAGCTGTGTTCCGATGGATTCTGCAAGAACGATGGTGTCTGTGACGGCGTGGACCACTGCATGTGTGACCCAACAAAGGACTTCACAGGACCAGACTGTTCTGTAGCAGGTACACTATGTCCTTGACCTTATCAGTACAACATGTCCTTGAACTTTTGGGTACATGTCCTTGAACTTTTGGGTACAACATGTCCTTGAACTTTTGGGTACATGTCCTTGAACGTTTGGGTACAACATGTCCTTGAACTTTTGGGTACATGTCCTTGAACTTTTGGGTACAACATGTCCTTGACCTTGTGGCATGTGCATGGTGAAAGTCAGTGAAGCTGAGGTTCGTCAGTTTAACCTGGTCTAGACTCAAGTCCTCCAACAATGACTGATAAAAAATTTGAAAGATTTTTTGTTTACTCTAAAACAGGAATTTTAACTTTTTAATTTTTTGACGTGTACACCATATTTGTTGTGGGACAAATACTTAGCATTAATCTGCATGTTCTATGTGATAAATAGATTTATGTGTTATTAATCATGGGGCGAGGGGCTAATGTGGTTGAAAAAGGTGATCAGATCACAGTCATATTGCTCCAAAGATCTGTGTTCAATTGTTTTCTATGTCAACTTTTAGGGAGCAGCCTCGTCCCCGAGACAAACACATTCACCAAAAACAGCGATGGCACTTTCTCCACCTCCAGTGGCAACAACTGCACCATCCGCGGCAGTGTCAGCGTCACAACCACAAGCACCACCATCACCGCCTCCAGTCAGGGCAGCTACATCGAGGTGGACTCTAGCGCCAACACCTGCCTCAACAACCTCGCTTCTTGCACCGCCGGCCTCACCTACTGCATCCAAATGACCTTCACCTCCCTGGTGGAGGACTCCCACATCTGTCTCATGTCAACCGGAGGTGAAGCCATGTATGGCCTGTCCTTGACCTATGACAATCATGACAAGCAGTTCAGCGCCAGCGTCCGTGTGCCTTTCAAGACCTGGGAGCTGGAGGCCGACTTTAAGGCGAAGCTGAATGTTGAATACAATGTCTGTTTATCCTGGAGTATGTTCAGTGGAGTTTCTATCGTTGTCAATGACAACAAAGTCGGTGCCAGTAATGTCTTTGAGGTAAGTGTTTTATAGTCAAAGGATTTCAAGGTAACATGGTGATAAGATTGAAGAAGAGTTGTTAAACTATCAGGGAGAGTTTTTTAATATGTGGCCAGACAAAAAAATATAAATATGGATTTTCTGATCAATATTACAAGAGGGAGGAGGTAACAAAATTGAAAAATGTAGGGTTGATTCCGGCCCTCATGTTTACCTTAAACGTACTTCCACATACCTTACATGTTAGAATAAGGATGTGATAGTGATAGGTGATTCTTCTTTGTGAAGCAAGGGAGTTATCTGACTTAAGAAGTCCAGTTTCCACCCTTGCCAAACTAGGCTGGAATTTCTGGGCTCGGTCGTTGCTAGTTTTGTCCCTTCAAACAGACACACACAGACACTGACACTGACACAGACACAGACACAGACACACAAACACACACAGACACACACACTCACACCTACAAAGACACACACACGAACACACACACAGACACACTGACACAGACACACACTGACACAGACACACAAACACACAGTGACACAAACACACATACACGAACACACACACACACACACACACACACACACACACACACACACACACACACACACACACACACACACATCCCTTTGCTCATATTACTTGCATTTGCTGCTAAGGCACACCCAGTCAAGGCGATCATCGATAATCAAGATGTTTATTGAAATGAAACGGGCTTTACCTCGCAAAGTGCATCAAATCACTTGAGCACCTTGATTAAAAACATGTGGAAACTATGTGTCGGCGCCCAGTTGACGGTACACATGCTCTGCAAGCCCTGCAATGGAACGAACTCGGCAAGGCAGTTACCATGTTGTTTATGAACCAGATGTCGATATCATTGCGAGATTTTGATTGGACTATGTATAGACTCGTTAGTCCAGCCAAAAAATAACTCCATTATTCCAGCCTAGTTCGGCAAGGGTGGAAACTGAACTTTTAAAGTTAGTTAATTCCCTTGTCTCAGGAAGATGAGGTTAAGCAGGACTAGTGAGAAGGGTTCTCAAGGAGTCTTAAATCTAGTCCATTACATATCAATATTATTGATAATATATTGAAAATATTACCCTAAAATACAAAACCAACCCCTTGTTTCACAATGGTGATGCCTACGTGTTGTAGACCTCCTTGACCGTTCTGCCAGGAGCGCTCAGTCAGAAATTGAGATTCGGCAGCTGCTACAGCGTGGTCCACACTGAAGAGTGGAGCTACTCCATCACCAGCTACAACTACTACGCTGCCAGCATACAGGCCCTTGCTGCTGTCAACATCACTCAAGGTGAGTTGGTCGGATCCCCTGGCCAAAAGTACATTGGTCTTACGTTAAGGTTTATCAAATGACCTTGAAAGAAGTAAGGTCTGCCCTTCAGTGTTACCAGTTTGTTACCAGTAAAATTGGACCAGTAATTCATGAGACTGTCAGTCCCTGTGCACCGGTAAATCAAGTACCATTTTAATCTTTGTTGTTGAACAAACGATTGTGAATAGTCAGCTCGTCTGTTACCATCATTGTGTCCTGTTGTCTATTTTTAGTGCAAGGAAATAAGATTTTGCTTTGCTTTGAGGTTAAATATCTATTTTTAAACACTTAGTCTCGAGCCTAAGTGAAATGATGTTGAAAGAAGTAAAACCACGTAATTTTCATACATTTTATTGTTTGTTGAAAGAGAAATTTGGAAAGAACTGATAATTTTTTTAGTTGCCAGCAGTTTCAAACGTCAGCGGGAACCCAGTCACTGTTGTAGCATTCATTCACTCAGTTATTTGTTGATCCTTTCTCATTGTACAGACCCGTGAAGATCCGAGGTAGAATAAATTTTCAGCAACCCATGCTTGCCGTAATGGCAACTATGCTTGTCGTAAGAGGCGACTAATGGGATCGTTGGTCAGGCTCGCTCACTTGGTTGATGCATGTCATCGATCCCAATTGTATGGATTGATGCTCGTGTTGTCAGTCACTGAATTGTTGTGTCCAGACTCGATTATTTACAGACCACCATGATATAGCTGGAATATTGCTGAGTGTGGCGGTAAAAACAAACAAACAAACTCATCAAACATTCAGTTCTGTTTCTTCTGCAATAAAGAGAAGGCAATATTGCTGTTTCATAATTTGTATGTTTTATTTAACAATAACATGTCAATAGGTTGAAGTTGTCCCAAACATTTGTGAAACATAGCTCCAAAAGAATATTTCGATAGATCTGTACACCTTGGTGATGAGGTGATACACTGTGTTGACAATGAAGTAGCTGTTGTGTAATATTATCTCTACAACTGTTTCAGTTATCAACAAAGAGCCAGAACCTGTGGGTGAGTTTTATTTATTCACAATTTGGGTGTGATGATCTACAGATCCCCAGGGTCTTCATCTAGTCCTACTTTTTGCTATAACTGACTTCAAAACAGCCAGTAACTGACTTCGTCATAGCTGATAGGGCTGGGACGAGTCCAAATTTACTACCCGGGTACCCACCCCCCTATTACCTGACCCTACCCGGGTACCCACTGTAGGTCTCAAGAGATAGGTAAAACATGATTGGGAATAGTTTGACCGTACTCCTGTGAAAATAAATTTAGATACACGTATAATCCGATCTGGTCATGCATACACTAACGTTGACTGATGTTTTTTCATTATGCAAACATATAAAGTCAGAAGGAATGTGTGCGAAGTCAGAAGGAAATGAGAACATTTTTCTCTTATAATGTGACCATAGAGTTCTAGATATTTTTTGCCATTAAACAATATAATCACGTGACTAACCACGGGTCCGGGTAGTCCTGTGGGTATACAGGTCCTGCTCAGTACCCACCCGACCCGGGTACCCGAGTTACCCGTCCCAGCCCAAGTAGCTGACTGTTTGTTTTAATCGACTGTTCATTATCATCAACTTTGTTTTAGCTGAGGGTTCATATTAATCAACTTTGTAGAAACTGACTGTTCGTCATAATTGACTTTGTTACAACCCACTTCATTATTATTGACTTTGTTATACTTGACTGGTTGTTATAATTCATCACGTTATAATCAACTGTTCATTATATAATCAACTTTGTCGCAACAAACTGTTCATTGTAAACAACTTGGTTATCACCGACAGTTCATTATGGCCCACTTCATAATAGCCAACATCGATCAGTAATGTCCGACTTTGTGGGCAATTGCTATAGCTGTTCATAGTGGGCAGCTAACTGTATAGCCAAAAGGTTATGCTGACTTTATTACAGCCGACTTCATGATAGCCAAACTTGTGACTTCTTTGTAACATTGTTGTTGATGTCTGTGCTGCAGTGGAGGAAGTCTGTGATGTTGCTGTCTTCAGGACAAGCATGACCTCCATCGTCAAGGTCGGTGTCAGCCTCTTCAGCGTCGCAGCCAACGCAAGAACTACAGCGTGCATGTATGTATACTTACATTGGTATTGGTGCTGCCACTGTTATCTGTGTGTTATTATTGTTACCGACTGACTGGTGGTCTAGTGTATAGTGCCCGGAGAGCTGAGGGTCGGTGGTTCGATCCTTGGTCTCGCTATACCAAGAGATGTTGAAAGGTGGTACTTGTTGTTACCCTGCCTTGCTCTCAGCATAAAGAAATAAAACAAGTACTGGTCGGCTCAGAGTCAGTATACTGTGTCTGAGTTGGGTATCCATGTTAAACTGCGGCATAGTGGCTCACAGTGGGTGAGGTGAGATGAAATGGGGTTTAACCTCGCGTCCAAGATTATTGCACTTACATAGTGACGTGCTTCTACGTGTGTGTGTGTGTGTGTGTGTGGCTGCTTGTTCTAGTCCGGACTGATGTCAATTTATAGTGCTAGCTCACTGAGATACCATGCCACAGTTTAACATGAATACCCCACTCAGACACAGTATACTGACTCTGAGCTGACCGGTCCTTGTTTTAGCCCCTTAATTTCGAACTAGACAGGGTAACAACGAGTCCCATCTTTTAACGTCTTTTGGTATGATGCGGCTGGGGATCGAACCCCGGACCTTCCGCTCTCCGGGGGGACGCTCTACCACTAGACCACAGAAGCGGTCGCTCACAGTGGGCTCGTACTATCAAATCAGCATATGTCCAGTGCAGCCCAAGCACATGCAGGTGCTCTCTCACACACACACACACACACACACACACACACACACACACACACACACACACACACACACACACACACACACACACACACACACACACACACACACACAGTCACACAGTCACATAGGAGCCCTGTGATGGGATTTACTCCACAGACCATCTCATCCAAGGTCAGGTGCCTTGTACACAAGACCAAGTCGTAAGAGGCGACTGATGGAATTGTGTGGTCAGGCTTGCTGACTTGGTTGATGCATGTCATTGTATCCGAAACACGTGGATCAATGCTCACGATATCAATCACTATATTGCTGGTCCAGAATTGATTATTTACAGACCACTATCGTATAGCTGGAATATTGCTGAGTGCAGGGTTAAACAACAAACAAACAAACATGCCCAAAGAGAGCCCCCTTCAGCAAGCTTACAGAGTGAGGATGTCTTCTGTAGCCCGACTCCTGCCCTGCTGCAACAGGCATGGTCATATTCTGCACCACACAGCTCACACTGTCTCATGTATACACCCCAGGGAGTTCACCACGGCCATCGCTACAGCGGAGAGCTCCATCGCTGGATGCTGGAACGAGAAGGATGAGTCTGTGTCGTCCTCATCCCTCCTCTCCTTCGTGAGGTACTCGCTGCGGCCCAATATCCTGGCCTTCAAATCTCTGAAGACCCTCATGTGCGATGGTAAGTACATAAGCCAGCTCTGTGTACTATTTGAATAGGGGTGGTGGGGTAGCCTAGTGGTAAATGTGTTTGCTCATCATGTTGAAAGAGTTTGATTCCCCGCATTGGTAGAATGTGTGAAGCTGATTTCTGGTGTCGTCCACTGTGATATTGCTGAAAAAAATGGCGTTAAGCCCAACTCACTCACTCACTCTATTTGGATATGTAACATTCACATTTGGGACAGTAACCATGGTAACATGCAGGACAAGACAGGATATTAGGGTTTTTTTACTTAGTTTAGGGATCCACCATTTATGTTTCCCCAAATATGCAACAAAATACAATTTTGAAGAACTTTTGAATATTGTATCAAATTTCAGCACAACTAAGCTGGCTGATATTGGAAGGGAAGTAACTCTTTGACTTGTAATTCATATCTTTTTTTCTTTTAAACCATTCTCACCAAAAATTCAGAATTATTTTTAAACCAATTTTAACTTAAAACATCATTTTATTTTGCACAGTGACAGTGGTTTTGAAAATGTACCTATAAACTAATAAGAGACAAAATACCAAAAAGCCCTATTTGGTTAAGAATTGACCTCAATATTTATTTGTGTTTAGAGAAGTTTAAACGTGCAGAACTGTGTGCTGACTGGAAATCAGTGTAGCGTAGTGGATTTACATAGGAGTGGGAACTCTGGCTTCTGTGTTCCTAAACATATTAAAGTCAATCCTTATACATAAATAAGTCAACAATAATAACTTCACAAACTGCTTATTTAATCATTACTACACACAGAAAATGTTTACAACTACCGTATTCACCACAATAAACGCCCAGGGCGCTCTCAAAATTAAAAATTAGGGGCTCTTATTAGAATATTATTTGGGTGAAAAATTAGTTCAAAGATCGTAAATTTCATGATTTATGCTGACAGACTGAAATGTTTATATATGACAGATATATTTTTCCGGAATTTAATTGCCCATGATTAAGGGTGCATATTACACACAAGTGCGTATTATACACGAATAAGTAAGTCATGTGTACATTGATCAATCGGAAGGGGTGCTAATTGGGATTGTTCACTAGCCAATATATTAGCAAATATCGCCGTGGGCACTTATTAGAGCAGGGCGCTTATTACGTGGAATACGGTATATGCAATCAGCGAAATCGTTTAAGCGACATACACCCCCCATTCTGTTGGTGGGCATGACATAATCTTATTTAGGTTTATGTAAATTTTTATGTAATTCCCCTATCAATACCATGTTTGATTTTATTTTTTTGAAAATGTTACTAAACCGAGGAGCAAAAGAAACTATACCTCTCAGTTGGTTTTATATGTTTGATTTTCAATTGAAAATAAGTTAGCGATAGTGTTTCAAAAAAATGAACAGTACTGCGGTTTTGTTAGCACTCAAAGAACACTTCTACATGGTTTTATTTTTTAAAATATAATTTGATTTAAAACTTTTAAAAATTAAAATAAAAAACACATAATGCACAAATGTTAATGGGTATCTTGTACATTTTTTTTTTAAATCAATAAATTTACAACATTTTGAACATGGAATGAGTTCGGTTTTAAGCCGCTTTAAGCAATGTTCCAGCAATATCACGGCGGGGGACACCAGAAATGGGCTTCAAACATTGTACCCATGTCGGGAATCGAACCCGGGTCTTCGGCATGACGAGCGAACGCTTTAACCACTAGGCTACCCGGCCACCCCTCAAACATGGAAGGGGTCATGTGGCTGCAAATTCTCTCCTTACCCTTGTTTTCATTTGAACCAAATTATTGTGACACAAAATTACCCAGCCACAAATTACTTTTTACAAGCTGTTGCAGGAATGAAGGATGGTTAAATAGACAAAATCAAATTTAACAACAGCTCTGTCAATTTTCAATTACATTAAAAACGTAAATGGTTTGGTTTCATCTGCCCCTTGGTTTATGCTACAAAATATTTCTAGGCAACTAACGGGATCAGGTGGTCAGCCTCGCTGACTTGGTCGATGCATGTCATCGATTCCAATTGCGTGGATCGATGTTCATGATATTAATCACTGGATTGTCTGGTCCAGACTTGATTATTTACAGACCGCCGTCATATAGTTGGAATATTGCTGAGTGTGGCGTTAATCAACAAACCAACCAACCAATCTATGTAACTTGAATATTTCTATTCTCTATTTCAGATCTGACCGTTACCACGGGTAAGATTACCGTATGTCATAATGCCAGCCTTCAGGGCAGGACGGAATGTTACAAACCAGGTCAAATACAACACATGTTAATACACAAAAATAATTGCTTCTTGTCAGTTACAGAAACCAAAGAAGTATGTTGCATACTTGAACGTGTTTAAGAAGAAAGACATTGTCAGGATTAATGTTTGGCTAAAGGGACCAGTAATTTTTTAAGAGTCCGATTGGCCGTAGTGGATAATAAAAGATAATGAAAAGACCTGGCGAGGATTGTGTCAAACTGTATATGCAGTTTGTCTTTGATAGAAATGGACGTTTGTTTCCGTAAAATATGACATGTGATTTTCATTATAACAGTACTGATGGAATCAGTTGCAGAAATATATTTGTAGTTTGAGATGATCATCAGATATTGGAGTTGTAGGTGCCACGCACATGAACAGTAATCAGCATCCTTGCTCAGTCCATGTGTCCTTGGTGCTGCAGATGCTACTTGTGACTTCGCCACCATCAGCACGGAGATACAGGCGCTCTTCACCTCGACCTCCAGCAGCCAACTCACCACCATGTCCTGCAGGTAGGTGTCTGTACCATGTCTGTACCATGTCTGTATCTCTGTACCATGTCTGTATATCTCTATCATGTCTGTATCTCTGTACCATGTCCTGCAGTTAGGTGTCTGTACCATGTCTGTATCTCTCTGTACCATGTCTGTATCTCTCTGTACCAGTAGGTATCTGTACCATAGCCTGCTTGTATCCCTTAAAGCCAGATCTTTTATTCTCATACGATACCGTCAGGTCTACTTTCAAATCAGCTAATCATGACAAGGCTTTTAAAATCTGTATGTCAAAATGAATTTATTGGAGAGTTCCTAATGCAAACAAAAATAACTGTACTCACATATTGATGTGGATATTTTATACACATCCTTCCTTTTCTGAGCATATGGGTGTACGTTTGAGGGCATATTTGTGTTGTTTGGGGTCTCTTTTGCTATAAAGATGTCCAAAGGGTTACAGATATGAAGCCAAATCATTTTAGAAAGCTGACATCTGATTGGCTCAAGAACCCATGCATCCTTGCATCCTTCATTCAGCTGTCAAAGTGGTCAAAGTCTGCACAGTGTCATCTTCCCGAGGCAAGCGTGTCCACTAGCCTCTATCAAAGCCTAGTTTATACACTTGCCACTCTAAGGCATCTTCCCGAGGCAAGCGTGTCCACTAGCCTCTATCAAAGCCTAGTTTATACACTTGCAACATCAAAGCCACTTTTCTTGGCTCGACCCTGGCACCTACTCATGTAGATCACGAATTGTGCCCCTTGTAATGAAAACGTGATATCCAATCAGATTGCTGTTCTTATGTAATATAGCTTCACAAAGATGGCGACTATCATAGGCGACAAACAAGTCGATCAGATAACAAAAATATTTGCGATTTCATCCCTGAAACCAAAACATAGGCACCGTTGGGGGGTTCAAAAGATGAAAAGACAAATTTGTATCAACACAGACAGGCAGCAGCAAATCACTTTCATACGAAGATGAACCAGTCGTGTATGTTGATTTTGTGAAACGTTCTCTGATTAGACCATCGATATAGTCCAATCATATTTAGCACAGGAAAGTAGGCTTGATTTTGCAAGACTTTGATAAAAAGCCTAGTGGATGCTCTTCCCTCAGGAAGATGTCACAGTGTTCACCCGAAGCAGCCTCAAGCAGAACCACTGCATCAGAGTAAACCATCAGATTGTAATGAGATTGTATTTGTATCTCTGTGTACCAGGCCCTGTCCACCTCTGTACCATCCGTTTACATTGTCTATTTCAGGTCTGTTACAAACACTTTCATCCACATCAAAGAGAAGCTGCAGACGTGTTCCACTGGAACGAGGGAGTTGATGACATCCCTGATGCTGCAGATGGGGGTGACAGTGAGCTCCGTCTGTGCAAAGGCAACATGCAACATTGAATACTCCAGATCGTGTGTCAGTGACGCCTCCGCAGTCATCACCAACGTTGCAGCGGAGGGATACACCCAAGCTGTCTGCAAGTATGTTCCTGTACAGTTAGACCTTGTCAATCCCGACACCTCTAAACAGTATGCTCCCGAGAAAACATAGAACTTTGTGGATAACAACTTCTGGCTTGTTGCATTTAGCAATGTTTCGATGTAGATTCTTATGCCATTATCAAGGTGTAAGAATCTAATTCGAAATATCACTATATGAAATAAATCAGATGTTATCCATAAAGTTGTACATTTTCTTATTTAGGCACCAACCTCAAGAATGCAGATTAAACAGTTAGCATGTTCCTGTTCTATACAGTTGAACCTTGTCAATCAGAACCCTGACAAAACAGTATGTTCCTGTTCTACAAAGTTAAACCTTGTCAATCAGAACCCAGAAGACAGAAGCGTCTGTCCAAAGTCTGACAATCCTGTCCACAGCCAAACCCAAATTATACATATTAATCCATTGAAACCCTGGCATGAGAACAGCATCAGTGCAGGGTGATATGTATTATAGTTGGAGTGTTGTGAACTGCAACCATGTTTTGCTCTTGAGTGCTGTGGACCCGTGAAGATCCGGGGTAGAATAGGTCTTCAGCAACCCATGCTTGCCGTAAAAAGGCGACTATGCTTGTCGTAAGAGGCGACCAACGGGATCGGTTGATAGGGCTCGCTGACTTGGTTGATGCATGTCATCGTATCCCAATTGCGTGGATCGATACTCATGATGTTAATCACTGGATTGTCTGGTCCAGACCTGATTATTTACGGACCAAACATCGTCATATAGCTGGAATATTGCTGAGTGGGGCGTAGAAATAACAAACAAACAAAACAAACAAATCTTGAGTGCTGTACTTCGTTTGTGAGCAAATGATAGAACATGAAGCTATATCTTGCTTATCCAGGTTATTAAAACAGATGTAAGATTAACCTTCTTAGTGAACAGTCTCAAGAGGACAGCATGGAAGACAGTAGGTTAAATACACTCTGATGAAGGAGTTGATGCAAATTAGGTGCCAGGTTTTTCTATTTAGAGACATTCAACACATTGTTCTAACCTGTGAAGATCCTGGTTAGAATAGGTCTTCAGCAATCCATGCTTGTCATAAAAGGCGACTAACGGGATCGGGTGGTCAGGCTTGCTGACTTGGTTGATGCATGTCATCGTATCCCAATTGCATGGCTGGATGCTCATGACATCAATCACTGGATTGTCTGGTCCAGACTCGATTATTTACAGACAGACATCATATCGCTGGAATATTGCTGAGTGTGGGATCAGACAACAAAGAAACAAAACAAAACGTTATTCCATTTAGAGACATTCTACATGAAAATTGTCTTCCTTTTCTGCTGAAATGGTTGCATGGTCTTGATGAAGCCCACTTGCTTGCCATGAGTGTTGCTCACATGAGTAACCAACTGTTTTCCTTCATTCCCTGTCCACTTGCATACAGCGATCTTAGCGCTACAATTATGGTAAGTCTATGTTAAAGTATGGGAGTTGCGATCATCTTAGCGCTACAATTATGGTAGTCTATGTTAAAGTATGGGAGTTACGATCATCTTAGCGCTACAATTATGGTAAGTCTATGTTAAAGTATGGGAGTTACGATCGTCATAGTGCTAAGGTCGCTGTGTGCAAGTGGACCCTTGTTTCAATAATGAAACAGATTGCAGCCCTTGGATTGACTTCAGGTGTGAAATCTGTCTCGTCTGGAAGCACTCATAAATTCCCCTGATACGTTTGCAGGAAGCTGAAGCAGTCCCTGTCCTGCGTTACCAACCACACCATCGACTGCAGAGGAGACACCTACGGCAAAATCTCCTCCAGTGTGGAGGAAGTGCGTAAGGTTTACTACGAGAAGTGCTTTGGCAAGTCCCCCAAACCATCTGCCCCTGAAGACTGTGAGAGCCTGGCGATGGACGAGGTGGACACCCTGGTCAGCCTCCAGGCCTTCATCGGCAGCAAGCTCCTCACACAGGAGGCACTCTGCAGGCAGGTCTTTCCCTTCATGTTGATTCTGTGATGATCCAGTGTGTATCATGCCAGTCTCTGTCTCAGTGTGTATCATGCCTGTCTCTGTCTCAGTGTGTATCATGCCAGTCTCTGTGATGATCCAGTGTGTATCATCCCTGTCTCTGTCTCAGTGTGTATCATGCCAGTCTCTGTGATGATTCAGTGTGTATCATGCCTGTCTCTGTGATGATTCAGTGTGTATCATGCCAGTCTCTGTCTCAGTGTGTATCATGCCAGTCTCTGTCTCAGTGTGTATCATGTCAGTCTCTGTGATGATTCAGTGTGTATCATGCCAGTCTCTGTGATGATTCAGTGTGTATCATGCCAGTCTCTGTCTCAGTGTGTATCATGCCAGTCTCTGTGATGATTCAGTGTGTATCATGCCAGTCTCTGTCCCAGTGTGTATCATGCCAGTCTCTGTGATGATTCAGTGTGTATCATGCCTGTCTCTGTGATGATTCAGTGTGTATCATGCCAGTCTCTGTCTCAGTGTGTATCATGCCAGTCTCTGTCTCAGTGTGTATCATGCCAGTCTCTGTGATGATTCAGTGTGTATCATGCCTGTCTCTGTGATGATTCAGTGTGTATCATGCCTGTCTCTGTCTCAGTGTGTATCATGCCAGTCTCTGTGATGATTCATTGTGCATCATGCCTGTCTCTGTCTCAGTGTGTATCATGCCAGTCTCTGTGATGATTCAGTGTGTATCATGCCAGTCTCTGTCTCAGTGTGTATCATGCCAGTCTCTGTGATGATTCAGTGTGTATCATGCCAGTCTCTGTCTCAGTGTGTATCATGCCAGTCTCTGTGATGATTCAGTGTGTATCATGCCTGTCTCTGTGATGATTCAGTGTGTATCATGCCAGTCTCTGTCTCAGTGTGTATCATGCCAGTCTCTGTGATGATTCAGTGTGTATCATGCCTGTCTCTGTGATGATTCAGTTTGTATCATGCCAGTCTCTGTGATGATTCAGTGTGTATCATGCCTGTCTCTGTGATGATTCAGTGTGTATCATGCCTGTCTCCGTCTCAGTGTGTATCATGCCAGTCTCTGTAATGATTCAGTGTGTATCATGCCAGTCTCTGTGATGATTCAGTGAGTATCATGCCAGTCTCTGTCTCAGTGTGTATCATGTCAGTCTCTGTAATGATTCAGTGTGTATCATGCCTGTCTCTGTGATGATTCAGTGTGTATCATGCCAGTCTCTGTCTCAGTGTGTATCATGCCAGTCTCTGTGATGATTCAGTGTGTATCATGCCTGTCTCTGTCTCAGTGTGTATCATGCCAGTCTCTGTGATGATTCAGTGTGTATCATGCCAGTCTCTGTCTCAGTGTGTATCATGCCAGTCTCTGTGATGATTCAGTGTGTATCATGCCAGTCTCTGTCTCAGTGTGTATCATGCCAGTCTCTGTGATGATTCAGTGTGTATCATGCCTGTCTCTGTGATGATTCAGTGTGTATCATGCCAGTCTCTGTCTCAGTGTGTATCATGCCAGTCTCTGTCTCAGTGTGTATCATGCCAGTCTCTGTCTCAGTGTGTATCATGCCAGTCTCTGTCTCAGTGTGTGTCATGCCAGTCTCTGTCTCAGTGTGTGTCATGCCAGTCTCTGTCTCAGTGTGTATCATGCCAGTCTCTGTCTCAGTGTGTATCATGCCAGTCTCTGTCTCAGTGTGTATCATGCCAGTCTCTGTGATGATTCAGTGTGTATCATGCCAGTCTCTGTGATCAGTCAGTGTGTATCATGCCAGTCTCTGTCTCAGTGTGTATCATGCCAGTCTCTGTCTCAGTGTGTATCATGCCAGTCTCTGTGATGATTCAGTGTGTATCATGCCAGTCTCTGTGATCATTCAGTGTGTATCATGCCAGTCTCTGTCTCAGTGTGTATCATGCCTGTCTCTGTCTCAGTGTGTATCATGCCAGTCTCAGTCTCAGCATGTATCATGCCAGTCTCTGCCTCAGTGTGTATCATGCCAGTCTCTGTCTCAGTGTGTATCATGCCTGTCTGTTTGATGATTCAGCCTGGTGACAGCCAACATGAAGTTGTTCACAGCCCTACCCACCAGCCTGACTGGGGACAGACTGGAGAAGTTCATCAACGCTCGCGACTTTCTGGCAGCAGTTGCTGCACCATGTACGTAAATCTCAATCAAAACAGCACCACTTACATCAGGTTTTACAGGACTAACACTCCGTCGTCTACCCATTCAAATTATGAATAGACACACGTTATTTTCATTGTGAGTCCTGGGAATACAAAAAAGTATTCTTTCCTGGCAAGAAATACCGCCAAAGTTCACAGTGTCAATGGCTGGTGAGCATTAAACGGTGAACTCACCATCTACACAACTCAACAATTTGTAGGGGTCCAGGAATTATTTATCCTGTTACAAAACAAGTGGACAAAATATTCATGAATCGTTTACAATGAAGTCAGACATGATTCAGTGCCCCTGCAATATGACATACTATTTGTATGATAACACTTCCAAACAATTAGTCTTGTTCAGTCCCAAACAGGGCACTCAGAATATCCTTATAAAAAATTTAGTGGTATATTATAGATTAAAGCCTTTTGAGCATGTGCAGTGATATGACAACAGCAATATCGAGGAAAGTGTGCCTCTTGTCACCAACCTGGGACTTCATGCCTTGATTCTCCTATAACAATAACTGAAGTCTCATAGACTCAACAACAGATAGATCCAGGTACATACATCACTGGGTAGGTCATAGAGGCCATACCATAGGGGAGATAGATCCAGGTATATACATCACTGGGTAGGTCATACAGGCCATACCATAGGGGAGATAGATCCAGGTACATACATCACTGGGTAGGTCATACAGGCCATACCATAGGGGAGATAGATCCAGGTACATACATCACTGGGTAGGTCATACAGGCCATACCATAGGGGAGATAGATCCAGGTACATACATCACTGGGTAGGTCATACAGGCCATACCATAGGGGAGATAGATCCAGGTACATACATCACTGGGTAGGTCATACAGGCCATACCATAGGGGAGATAGATCCAGGTACATACATCACTGGGTAGGTCATACAGGCCATACCATGGGGGAGATAGATCCAGGTACATACATCACTGGGTAGGTCATACAGGCCATACCATAGGGGAGATAGATCCAGGTACATACATCACTGGGTAGGTCATAGATGCCATACCATAGGGGAGATAGATCCAGGTACATACATCACTGTGTAGGTCATAGAGGCCATACCATTGGGGAGATAGATCCAGGTACATACATCACTGGGTAAGTCATACAGGCCATACCATAGGGGAGATAGATCCAGGTACATACATCACTGGGTAGGTCATACAGGCCATACCATAGGGGAGATAGATCCAGGTACATCCATCACTGGGTAGGTCATACAGGCCATACCATAGGGGAGATAGATCCAGGTACATACATCACTGGGTAGGTCATACAGGCCATACCATAGGGGAGATAGATCCAGGTACATACATCACTGGGTAGGTCATACAGGCCATACCATAGGGGAGATAGATCCAGGTACATACATCACTGGGTAGGTCATACAGGCCATACCATTGGGGAGATAGATCCAGGGACATACATCACTGGGTAGGTCATACAGGCCATACCACTGGGGAGATAGATCCAGGTACATACATCACTGGGTAGGTCATAGAGGCCATACCATTGGGGAGGAGTTTATGAGGAATACTCCCAGGAAAGCCTTGAGTTCCTTCTTTGGGTCAAAAGTTGATGTTGTGTGGAGTGTTTAATAATAATTTGTCTAGTGTAAACATGATGAACTTCGATGAATTTAAAAATGATTTTCAATGTGATCAGTTTATGATCATTATTTAATATGCATTAATATTATATTTATTTCTAATACGGGTATATGATATTTGTGATATTTGGTAAACACATAGCTAACCAAGGGTGTATTGAGACCTGCTAAGAGTCCGATATTTGGCACCAAGTCTGCAGCAAGTGACGGTAAATATTCCAGACTTTTCCCAAGTAATGCTGTTATAGTTATAACTAATGGCATGTCTTTGTAGAGGTGACTGCCTCCGTGGTCTAGTGGTAGAGCATCCGTTCAATTTCCGGTAGTGTCATACCAAAAGACGTTAAAAGATGGTACTTGTTGTTTCCCTGTCTAGCCCTGGTCATTAAGGGACGAAGACAAAACCGGTAGGCTTGGAGTCAGTACAGTGTCTGTATGGGGTGTTAATGATGCACTATAGCACTATAAAGTTACCATTAATCCAGAATAGTACAAGCACACACGAAAATATGAACTTTTAAAAAAATCCTAATTTTGAACAAATGAATGATTTTACACAATTGCCCTACAAAGGGTAGTTAGGAATCCTATATACATCCCTGCTAATAACCTCTATTGTTTAGCAACTTGAAACTTATCATGTGTGACAGGCATTTCAAAACCCCAAGTATCACGGCCAAAGTAATTTAGTTGGAGGTACGGTTATTGTGTATGTCGATGCTTTACTTTAATTTTCCAGGTTTGTCAGCTGCAGCAGCAACAACTACATGCACCTGCAACTTCACAATTGCACAGGCATGTGCAGAGGATGCACTGCAGCTCCTGGATAACAGCACGTCACCATGCAGGTTTGTCATCCCCTCCGTACACAGGTGCTCCTAACCCATAGACAGTCCAGGGTGTCACCCCCTACACCTCCGTACACAGGTGCTCCTAACCCATAGACAGTCCAGGGTGTCACCCCCTTACACCTCCGTACACAGGTGCTCCTAACCCATAGACAGTCCAGGGTGTCACCCCTTACACCTCTGTACACAGGTGCTCCTAACCCATAGACAGTCCAGGGTGTCACCCCCTTACACCTCCGTACACAGGTGCTCCTAACCCATAGACAGTCCAGGGTGTCAACCCTTACACCTCCGTACACAGGTGCTCCTAACCCATAGACAGTCCAGGGTGTCACCCCCTACACCTCTGTACACAGGTGCTCCTAACCCATAGACAGTCCAGGGTAAACACAGATTCTCATCCTTGTGTTTTTATTTCAATACTTCGGTACAATGTGTGAAGCCCATTTATGGTGTCCCCCGTTGGATATTGATGGAATATTGCTAAAAGTGGCGTAAAACAATACTCACTCACTTAATCATGTATTGCTGACTTGTGTTGATGAGTGTTGATATATTTCGTACATGACATGAGATGAGATTCTATATGTCATCCAAAATAATTCTTCCAACTTTCTCAGTTCATAAACGGTAATAAATAGTGTCTCGAGTGTAAAAAGCACAGCCAACCTTTAGTCTTTAGTGGCTGAGTACTTTCAACAGTATTCCTGTGATATCACGGCGTGTCAGCTTGACGTGGGAGGAAAGGCTGAAGTGATGCAGGTCTTAGACATTTACCACAATCACAGGTTTCTGGTGTGCCCAAGGGATGCCACTCTGCACAGCGATTGCGTCACCTTAGATGACTGGGCCACCCGTGCTTCCCCCCCCCACCATGTGATATAAAATTTACGGACTATTGGATCAGATTTAAAGAATAAGATGGATAATTAAGGAGATGTATTTGGCTGGTATATGTTTCAGTGAAATTCAAGCCGCTGTTACCTGTCTGCGCACAAACTCAAACTGTACTGGAACCGAACAAGTTTTTGTTGACGCAGCACTCACAAAAGTGACAGACAAGTTGAACATCAGCAGATGCTACAACCTGGACCCTGGCAGTGACATCTGCCTGGGTTCTGCATCGTGTGCTACCGACATCAGAGACGTGTGCACAGATCCAATTTGCTCGTAAGTCATTGTTTAATACAAACACAGAGTGATTTCTTATCCCCCTATGATAGTCTCAATTTGTAGTCCAAGATCAGAATAGACCCCAATACACCTTGTCTCCCGGGATGTTTGGTCAGAATAGACCCCAATAGACCTTGTCTCCCAGGGATGTTTGGTCAGAATAGACCCCAATAGACCTTGTCTCCCAGGGATGTTTGGTCAGAATAGACCCCAATAGACCTTGTCTCCCAGGGATGTTTGGTCAGAATAGACCCCAATACACCTTGTCTCCCAGGGATGTTTGGTCAGAATAGACCCCAATACACCATGTTTCCCAGGATGTTTGGTCAGAATAGACCCCAACACACCTTGTCTCCCGGGATGTTTGGTCAGAATAGACCCCAATACACCATGTTTCCCGGGATGTTTGGTCAGAATAGACCCCAATACACCTTGTCTCCCGGGATGTTTGGTCAGAATAGACCCCAATACACCATGTTTCCCCAGGGTTGTTTGGTCAGAATAGACCCCAATACACCTTGTCTCCCGGGATGTTTGGTCAGAATAGACCCCAATACACCTTGTTTCCCCAGGGTTGTTTGGTCAGAATAGACCCCAATACACCTTGTCTCCCGGGATGTTTGGTCAGAATAGACCCCAATACACCTTGTCTCCCGGGATGTTTGGTCAGAATAGACCCCAATACACCTTGTCTCCCGGGATGTTTGGTCAGAATAGACCATATAGCTGGAATATTGCTGAGTGCGGCGTTAAACAACAAACAAGCAAGCACTTCTAAATGCCATTCAAAGACTCTATATTCATGATGCTGCATGATGAGAATGCTTGGGTAAGAAAGATGCCATGATGAGAATGCTTGGAGTAAGAAGGATGCCATGATGAGAATGCATGGGGTAAGAAGGATGCCATGATGAGAATGCTTGGGGTAAGAAGGATGCCATGATAAGAATGCTTGTAGTAAGAAGGATGCCATGATGAGAATGCTTGTAGTAAGAAGGATGCCATGATGAGAATGCTTGGGGTAAGAAGGATGCCATGATGAGAATGCCTGTAGTAAGAAGGATGCCATGATGAGAATGCTTGTAGTAAGAAGGATGCCATGATGAGAATGCTTGGGGTAAGAAGGATGCCATGATAAGAATGCTTGTAGTAAGAAGGATGCCATGATGAGAATGCTTGGGGTAAGAAGGATGCCATGATGAGAATGCCTGTAGTAAGAAGGATGCCTTGATAAGAATTGTTGGGGTAAGAAGGATGCCATGATGAGAATTGTTGGAGTAAGAAGGATGCCATGATGAGAATGCTTGGGGTAAGAAGGATGCCATGATGAGAATGCATGGGGTAAGAAGGATGCCATGATGAGAATGCTTGGGGTGAGAAGGATGCCATGATGAGAATGCTTGGAGTAAAAAGGATGCCATGATGACATTTATCGCCTGGTGAATTTGGTTTGTCATTTCAGGGATTCTTTCTTGAGATGTGTGGAATCTCAAACTGGTTGTGGATCGTACCAAAGGCTGTTCAACGCCTTACAGCTCCGGTCCCTGAGGTGTTCCACTAACCTGACCGACACTCTAGCCATCTACAGAGGAAGCAGCTACCAACACACTGACCTCGAGACTTGTCTCTCCGCCGTCGAAAAGTCAAGGAGAACAAACATGGATGACTTGTGCAATGACATCACTGACCTCAAGGCATGTCTTGATGGCAGTGACCTTGACCCTGCATCCCATTTCCTTGTGGAGGCCATGAAGGCGACAAGTCAGTCATTCATCGATAGCGTGTGCTCGGCAGATAATAGACCAAGTAAGTTGGAGGCTGGACCCCATGGGGCTTTCATTGTGCGTCATCCCGAGGCAAGAGAGATAACTGACTATAAAAATCCAGTTTCCATCCTTGCCAAACTAAGCTGGTATTATTCAGTTACATTTTGGCTGGACTAACGAGTCTATGCATAGTCCAATCAAAACCGTGCACCGAAATCGAAATCCGGTTCGTAAACTGTCGTACAGATTTCAGTCGATTGCAGGATTTGCAAAGCATGTGCACCACCAACTCGTTTTCAGCAGATATTTTCCAAATCTTTTCATGTTTTTAATCAATGTGCTCACGTGATTTTATGCATTTCGCGATGTAAGAGCCGTTTTATCACAATATAGACCTTGATTACCGATCACATTGTCCTGACTGGGCGCCACCATTTTGTGTGAAGCAAACACAAGTAAAACGAGTGGTGGAATCTGATTGGTCCTTAGGAGAGGCTTAGAAGGGACATAGCTGGTAATAGCCACTGGTGGCGCTACTATCGAGCCCAGTAATCCCAGCCTAGTTCAGCAAGGGAGGAAACTGGACTTTTAAAGTCAGTTAACTCTCTTGTCTCGGGAAGATGACATTGTGTAACAACATGGCAACGACTATGATATTGATATCTCGTAGGTGAACTATGCCTAGTGTTCCTTTAACATGAAAGCTGTCGACCACAACATGTCACTACAATCAGATGTTAGTGCTTACCATGGCTACACATAGATCTGTCGACCACAACATGTCACTACAATCAGATGTTAGTGCTTACCATTGCTACACATAGATCTGAGGACATCCCATTGTAGGTCTTGCCAGAACAACCTTTCTTCCGGCTAGTCAGAGCATTTCTTATGAATTTGTGAAAGTCTAAATATGTTTTCTTATCATGCAACTTTGAAAAGGCTATCACAAGGTATGTCGAACGACAGTGACATGCTGTATAACTGATTCCGTCAAAATCATTGTCAATCTCCCACCCTGACTTCAGTGGGATAAACATTTGAAACATAAATACTTTCCATTGCCCGGAGGGTTGTCATATAATCGCGGCCATCTATTGGACATTACAGAATGTCTTTGTTCAGTTTTAAAATTTTGAGTGAAAAATCTTTGTCAAAATATTTTTCAGAGCATAGTCTTGAATGGAAGTCACCATTTTCAAACTAGTGCAAAAAAGCTGAGGAAACCTGCTTTCTGATTGACTAATGTTGACTCCCTGCTAGTCATTTGTTGGTCAGTCAAAGTTCGCCCCTCACTAACTCGAACAATCAATCACCAATTCAGACGTCCACTCACTTATCCACCCACACACCCACTCATCTACCACTCACACACCAAATCACACACCAAATCACCCACTCACTCACTCATCCACCCACTCATCACCCACTCACCACCCACTCTCCACCCACTCACCACTCACACACCCAATCACCCACTCACACACCAAAGTCACCCACCCACTCACTCATCCACCCACTCACCACCTACTCATCCACCAACACCACCACTTATCCACCCTCACTCACTCATCCAAACACACACCCAATCACCCACTCATCCACTCACATACCCAATCATCCTACACACCCACACCCACACCTATCCGCCCTCAATCACTCACTCATCCACCCATACACACACTCATCCACCCACTCACCTATACGCACACGCACGCACGCACACACACACACACACACACACACACACACCCAATCACCCACTCACTCACTCATCCACCCACTCATCCACCCACTCATCCACCCACTCACCACTCACACATCCAATCACCCACTCACTCACTCATCCACCCACTCACCACCCACTCATCCACCCACACCACCACTTATCCACCCTCACTCACTCATCCAAACACACACCCAATCACCCACTCATCCACTCACATACCCAATCATCCTACACACCCACACCCACACCTATCCGCCCTCAATCACTCACTCATCCACCCATACACACACTCATCCACCCACTCACCTATACGCACACACACACACACTCTCTCTCACACACACACACACACACACACACACACACACACACACACACACACACACACACACACACACACACACACACACACACACACACACACACACACACACGCAATCACAATCACACACACACACACACACGCAATCTCACACACACACACACACACACGCAATCACAATCACACACGCAATCACAATCACACACACACACACACACGCAATCACAATCACACACACAAGCACCTGCTCACCGACTTCTGTTTCTTCTTGCTGATGTCATGGAATACATGCCTTGTTTCAGATGTCAGTGACTGTTCTCCCAGTGATAATCATGCTGGCTGCATCCAGGATATTTTAACCAGAATGCTTGTGGTAGACTGGCCAGGTACTGGGAACACCATATGTTCGTAAGTATTGTTTTCCTAAACTCAAGCCCATTGATGACCTGGGGTCCTCCCACACCCCACTGCTAATCATAAGAGGAGACTAAATGGTGTTATTCCAGAATAGAACTGTTCCATAGCAACCCTATATCATTGCAGCCTGTAAATAATTGAGTGTGGACCAGAAAATCCAGTGATTGATAGTATGAGTAACAATCCACTCTGTAGGGGTACATTGCCAGGCCATGAACCAAGTCACCGAGCCTGACCACCCACTTCATTTCGTCGCCTCTCACTAAACAAGCTCAGATTGATTCATGACATATATATGTACGTATTGTCTGAACACATTTATTGAAACACATCAGGCACTGTCGGACACTGAAGGACACCATAGACGCCTGCCATGATGCAAGGATAATAATTAAGAAGTGTGTTGGGTTCAAGGTTATAGGTGTGGCAGTACATGAGGGCTCCACATTTCTATTGTACCTTGTATAAAAAGATCAGAAGTTAGATTGGGAAACTTGTGTTAACTGGAGTAGAGCAGCAGCTGCAATGGGCAAATATGTTACCAGCAGAGAAATATAAAGTTTTTGAAAAGCAGGCATTAATTAAGTTACGCCAAAAGGTTCTCTCCACCCACTCATCCACCCACACACCCATACACCCATACACCCACTCACTCACTCACTCATCTACCAACACACCCAATCAAGATTTGGGGTAGAATAGGTCTTCAGCACCCCATGCTTGCCGCAAAAGGCAATCGGGTGGTCAGGCTCGCTGACTTGGTTGATGCATATCATCGATCCCAATTGCGTGGATCGATGCTCATGATATCAATCACTGGACTGTCTGACCGCCGTCATATAGCATGAATATTGCTGGGTGCGGCGTTAAACAACCAACCAACCAACCAACCAACCCACTCATCCACCCACTCACTCATCCACCCACACACCCAATCTCCTACTCAGCCAAAAGGTCCGCTCCTTCTGAGAATCAGGAAGATTGACCAGTCCTTCTGATGGTCAGTGACCTGATAATGTTGGATGTCTGGTTGGTGATTTAAGTGAGTTTTACATTTGCAGCCCACAAGAACCACGGCCACCTAGAACAAATGTTTTGAATAATGGGGTTTTTGTACACAGCATTTTCACACAGATGTACAAAGCATTTGAGGGGGTTGGGCTGCCCAGTCGTCTAAGGCTCTGCAATGTGCTGTGTAGAGTTGCCTCCCTTCGGCACGCCAGTAAGCTATGATCATGGGTTTGAATCCCGGGTTCATCTTGATTATGTTTCTAGGTTTGTCAGCACTTTATCAGTCTTTCCTCACACATGGAGCTGACACGCCGTGATATAACTGGAATACTGTTCAAAGCGGTGTTAAACCCAACTCACTCACTCACTCACTCACTCACTCACTCACTCACTCACTCACTCACTCACTCACACACAAAGCATTTGAAGAAGAGAGGAAGAATGTGCAAGGTGAGGGGAGAAACTGAAATGTAGAACAATATACAATGAAGATCCGGTGCCGTTGAACAAAACAACCTCAGCGCTAAGACTGTCGTAAGTCTATGGTAAGGTATGGGAGTTACGATCACCTTAGCGCTAAGATCGCTTTGTACAACGGCACCCAGGAAATTATGATGGTGATGAGGAGAGGGACCGAATGTACACAATAGTATAAGTCTCGTTATTTCCCAGTGATTGAAGGAGAGAGTGAGGTAAGGTAAGTAAACAACAAATTACCTCAGGTTAAAAAACACATTTAGTGTGAAGCACTCAATGAAATTACAGTGGCAGAGGATACCGATGACTTTCCCGTCTTGTTTGTTTTTTATAACCTAGTAAATCCTGTTTGTTGCCTGTGTTGATCCAGGGAGAAGAGAGGGTTTGACGATGCTTCTATCTGTCTTGCTGGCGTCTCCTGTGGCGATGAAGACAACAACCGGAGACTTGCCTCAGTTCGATCATCGTTGCATCAGACTTACCGGAATGTATGTAGCATAGCCACAACCGAGCAAGTCAACAAGGGCTGCAATGTCGCCAGGGCAACAGAGTGCATCAGCACACTGGCCACCAGAATTTATGGAGGAGATGATCATGTTTGTGGGTACGTAGAAACATGAATGTGATTCAGTCAACTTCAGGACAGATGGGGCACGTTGTCAAATTTACTACCCGGGTACGCGACCCCACATTACCCGACCCTACCCGGGTACCCGACCCCATATTACCCGTCCCTACCCAGGTACCCGACCCCATATTACCCGTCCCTACCCAGGTACCCGACCCCATATTACCCAACCCTACCCAGGTACCCGACCCCATATTACCCGACCCTACCCAGGTACCCGACCCCATATTACCCAACCCTACCCAGGTACCCGACCCCATATTACCGACCCCATATTACCCATCTCTCAGATAACTTTACTGCCGACAACATGCTACTTTTGGTTTTCAAAAGGATATGTGTGTGTGTGGACCCCTAGGACCCCCCTCTGGATCCGACGGGAAACAGATGGAATTTTTCTGGTCGCAGCATTAACAACAAATTTCGTTATACATTTACACAATGCACTTATCCAGACATCTCTGTTCAAATGTGGTTCACATTTATCCACTGATCAGTGGATCCGAATCCATGCCAGTTACAATTCTCAACTCCCTGGGGAGTATTCAGCCCAAGCTAAGGACAGTAGAGGGTTTTTACCATTTTCACATATCTAAGACCCATTCCATGCTAGGTGAACAGAGGCACATATGAGCTCAGTCACATGCTCAGGGTGACAATCATACGCTTTGACACTTGTGTTTTGGGTGTTTTAACGTATTTGTGTTTCCACCATCTGGTCATCTACCAACAAATGAGTGGGTTCTTTGAGTGCACAGGGTGAATGCACAGTACACTAGGGGTAGTGACAACACTGTGAAAGAGCTGTTAACATTGCTGGTCCATAAGCTGAATAGCCATTGGTCACTTGCAGGATATGATCTCAGCATCTGACTCCAGGTGCTTCAGACTGCCCGGCCAAAGTGAACTTTAGCATGTGGTTTGTCTTATTAAGACATGCATCTTCAGAAACACTTCTTTTATATGAGTTGAATGAGCAAGTGTTGTGACGTAACCTTTCTGTCCATGCAGTGCGGTGAGTTCAGCGAGGGACTGCGTCAGGACCCAAGCATCGCAGTGTCCAGAAGCCATCAAGATGAAGCTCCACACAGTGTTGATGAAGTTGACCAAGTTGACTGCTAAGGACTGTTGTTTGAAGGGTCAGTCGAAGACCTGTGACCCTGCCGGCGCTGTCACATGCATCATGGACATTCATCACTGGGCCAAGATGCCGGCGCCAGACTGGGAGGGAATCTGCGAGTGAGTAACTCTAAAACTCAACTTACAGTAGGTATTTGAACAAACATGGATATATGGCTTTCCTGAAAAGAGAATTGAGGGAGCATAGACGTTTTAAGAAGGTGGGATGCAATGCTAGATAAATGCAAATAATTAATTTGGGAAACAGTTTGAATGTGTGTGCAAAAATTAGTCAAATAATGTTTTTTTGTTGAAACATGTCACCATATGATACAGTTACATGTGTTATTAGACCCGTGAAGATCTGGGTTAGAATAGGTCTTCCGCAACCCATTCTTGCCGTAAAAGGTGACTATGTTTGTCGTAAGAGGTGAATAACAGGATCGGGTGGTCAGGCTCGCTGACTTGATTTGATGCATGTAATCGTATCCAAAATGCGTGGATTGATGCTCACGATGTCAATCACTGTATTGTCTGGTCCAGACTCGATAATTTAGAGACCGTCATATAGCTGGAATATTGCTGAGTGCGGCATTAAACAACAAACAAACACACATGTAATATTATACGATGGCATGAAAGACTTGGGGTGACGCACCATTGTGATGTAATATGTTCATGCTCATGTTCCAGGATAACTTGCAATGTTTAGGTACCGTTTGTGAGCGAGGAGTACATTTTTTTCAATGACAGAACTTTAAAAAATGACATGATATTTTTGGATTGTAAATATCCTATATTATGTATTCAGCATGCCTGGGTTCAATTTACTTCATGTCAAATATGGCATGCCTCACACACCGTTGTGTTTGTCAGGAAAGTGGACTCGTCCCTGGAGTGTATGAGGGGCTTCACGGACACATGTGAGCAGTGTGAGAAGGACACGGTCCATTACATCGTGGAGCGACTGAACCGGGACATCGTGGACACCTGCAGGCGGCCTCCAGAGGGCAAGTGTAAGGTGACCAAGGCCCTCACCTGTGTCGAGACTCTCAAGACCTTCGCCGCACTCCAAGACTCTTCTGAAAACTGGGACTTCACCTGTCTGTGAGTAGATTATAGGACTTCACCTGTCTGTGAGTAGATTATAGGGCTTCACCTGTCTGTGAGTAGATCATGGGAAGACTTCACCTATCTGTGAGTAGGTTATAGGAGGACTTCACCTGTCTGTGAGTAGATTATAGGACTTCACCTGTCTGTGAGTAGATTATAGGGCTTCACCTGTCTGTGAGTAGATTATAGGACTTCACCTGTCTGTGAGTAGATTATAGGGCTTCACCTGTCTGTGAGTAGATTATAGGACTTCACCTGTCTGTGAGTAGATTATAGGACTTCACCTGTCTGTGAGTAGATCATGGGAAGACTTCACCTATCTGTAAGTAGATTATAGGACTTCACCTGTCTGTGAGTAGATCATGGGAAGACTTCACCTATCTGTGAGTAGGTTATAGGAGGACTTCACCTGTCTGTGAGTAGATTATAGGACTTCACCTGTCTGTGAGTAGATTATAGGACTTCACCTGTCTGTGAGTAGATTATAGGGCTTCACCTGTCTGTGAGTAGATTATAGGGCTTCACCTGTCTGTGAGTAGATTATAGGGCTTCACCTGTCTGTGAGTAGATTATAGGGCTTCACCTGTCTGTGAGTAGATTATGGGAGGACTTCACCTGTCTGTGAGTAGATTATAGGACTTCACCTGTCTGTGAGTAGATCATGGGAAGACTTCACCTATCTGTGAGTAGATCATGGGAAGACTTCACCTATCTGTGAGTAGGTTATAGGAGGACTTCACCTGTCTGTGAGTAGATTATAGGGCTTCACCTGTCTGTGAGTAGATTATAGGACTTCACCTGTCTGTGAGTAGATTATAGGGCTTCACCTGTCTGTGAGTAGGTTATAGGAGGACTTCACCTGTCTGTGAGTAGATTATAGGACTTCACCTGTCTGTGAGTAGGTTATAGGAGGACTTCACCTGTCTGTGAGTAGGTTATAGGAGGACTTCACCTGTCTGTGAGTAGATTATGGGAGGACTTCACCTGTCTGTGAGTAGAGTAAGGGAGGACTTCACCTGTCTGTGAGTAGATTATGGGAGCAGTTCACCTGTCTGTGAGTAGATTATGGGAGGACTTCACCTGTCTGTGAGTAGATTATGGGAGGACTTCACCTGTCTGTGAGTAGATTAAAGGAGGACTTCACCTGTCTGTGAGTAGAGTAAGGGAGGACTTCACCTGTCCGTGAGTAGATTATGGGAGAAGTTCACCTGTCTGTGAGTAGATCATGGGAAGATTTCACCTGTCTGTGAGTAGAGTAAGGGAGCAGTTCACCTGTCTGTGAGTAGATTATGGGAGGACTTCACCTGTCTGTGAGTAGAGTAAGGGAGGACTTCACCTGTCCGTGAGTAGATTATGGGAGAAGTTCACCTGTCTGTGAGTAGATCATGGGAAGATTTCACCTGTCTGTGAGTAGAGTAAGGGAAGACTTCACCTGTCTGTGAGTTGCTAGATTAATGGAGCTGTTCACCTGTCTGTGAGTAGATTATAGGAGAAGTTCACCTGTCTGTTAGTAGGTTACTTGCCTTTTGATAGTTTGGCATTTTTTTAAACAATATTTTTCCATGACAACGACTTTGATTTAGACTGAAAATGGCAGTAGTCCTCGATTCCCGAGCAGATCTTGAAAACCAAACCATTTTTCTTCACCTTATTTTGCACATTGATAGGTCTAGTGGCGAACTGGTGCCTTTGGATAGTTTGGGATTTTTTTTTAAAGTTATTTTTCGAGTTTCCAGACTGAAAACGGAGGTAGTCCTCGTTTCCAGAGCAGATTTTGAAAAACGTACTATATTTCTTTACAAAAAGGCCCAGTGAACATAGTTCACAGGAGCTAATGCATTGCACACACCCAACATGTCATATTGGCGGGGGATGTGAGTATTTCATGCTTGTTTTAGGATATATTGAGATAGTGATGATAGTTGCATTGTCCCCCATTCTCTCACCTCCCCCATGAAGATCCAGGTTAGATTTGATCTATCTTAGGTGACAATTGGGATCGGGTAGTCCATCACGCTGACTTGTTTGATGAATTGCATCCCAAATGCGTAGATTGATGCTCATGATGTCAATCTCTGGATTGTCGGGGATGCAGACTTTATTATTTAAGGACCGCACTCATATGCACATTCCCTCACTCACTCGTTTATTCACTTGTTCACTCTCTCGTTCTCTCACTCACTCACTCACTCACTCACTCACTCACTTACTCATGCTCCAGGAAGGTTCAACAGGCTGAGACCTGCATCTCGGAATATATGGAGGAGTGTGTGAGCGATGTCAAGTTCACCGTGGACTACGAGCTGAGCAAGGTGGTGCGACTCATGGAGGCCGAGAGTTGTAGGAAGGTGGACACCACTCAGAACTGTGTCGACATCTTCCGCCAACGCATCCAGGATATCATCAACTACGACCCCAGGAATGCCAGCAACACCAGATGTCTCATCCCCGGCATGAAGGCTCATGGCGACATGGAGCTGGAAGAGTGCCGACCCAGCATCATGTGTGCCAGCGGGTCTGTAGCCCGACCCCAAGCAGCTCTTGTGGAGGAGGACACGGTCTTCGGCTTCACCAACTGGACCTGTGTCCCCAAGTGCAGTGATGGCGCCACGCTCAAGCTGGTGGGAGGAAAGAAGGGATCTAGCGGATCAAGCCAGAAAGACAGCAAGAAGTCTTGGCAGTGTGTTGATGACAAGGACAGCAAGGAAAGCGGAAAGAATAGCAAGGAAAGTGGAAAGAATAGCAAGGAAAGCGGAAAGAATAGCAAGGAAAGTGGGAAGAATAGCAAGGAAAGCGGAAAGAATAGCAAGGAAAGCGGAAAGAATAGCAAGGAAAGTGGACAGAATAGCAAGGAAAGCGGAAAGAATAGCAAGGAAAGTGGACAGAATAGCAAGGAAAGCGGAAAGAATAGCAAGGAAAGCGGAAAGAACAGCAAGGAAAGTGGAAATAATAGCAAGGAAAGCGGAAAGAATAGCAAGGAAAGTGGGAAGAATAGCAAGGAAAGCGGAAAGAATAGCAAGGAAAGCGGAAAGAATAGCAAGGAAAGTGGGAAGAATAGCAAGGAAAGCGGAAAGAACAGCAAGGAAAGTGGAAAGAATAGCAAGGAAAGCGGAAAGAATAGCAAGGAAACCGGAAAGAATAGCAAGGAAAGTGGGAAGAATAGCAAGGAAAGTGGGAAGAAGAGCCAGAGTATGAAGAAGGTACTCTACAAGACCCGCCTGGAGAAGCTCTGTGCAGAGGCGCGTGTGGCCTGGAGCTGTGTGGAGCATGAGCTGAAGGACAAGGCAGACAGCAGGTCCACCATCTTGTTCCAGACAGTGTCAGGGTTATGGGAGATTGCTCTGAAGATGTGTGATGGTGAGTACTTTATAAACCTAGTCATTGGAATCGCTATTAAGTAAGAGACTTCTTTCTATAGGCATTAAAACCTATTGTGAGGTTTTACTTTCCAGTCGGGTTAAATCTCATAAACAGGGACGTTGTAATGTCCCTGGGATTTTATAGGATATTCAAGTCATATTTGCTATAATATCCCAGGGATTTTATATAATGTCCTGGGTATTTTATTAATGTAACTTCCGTTCAGATTGTAACATGTTATGAAATGTAAAATCAAATGACAAAAGTTTTCTTTATATTCCCGAGGAACGAACTCGCAACCTTCATATCTGTAGCCCAGTGAGGCTACAGAGGTGTTGATAAGCCACAGTGGTTTTTAGAATGTCCTTTTCAAGATCTGTACGCCAGCAACAGATATTTTACACGCGTTTCCTAAGGCTCATGGAAAGTATGTTCGAAACATAAAAATGTTGATAAATGTTGTTTTAAGTTTCTTTTTTCGGTTTATAAGTTTGGAAAAACACTTTCCATCAGTTTTACCCCCTCGGTTTTTCCCTCTCCCCAGCACATGCTCCGTCTACCAAAACCTCGTAAGCGTGTTTTCTCCAATACGCAATGCATCTTCCGTAGATCGCATTGTTTTCACTTTTAGAGCAGTGAGTGGGGTTGGTGGAAATCAGAGTGAGTGAGTGAGTATGGTTTTACGCCGCTATTAGCAATATTCCAGCAATATCATGGCGGGGGACACCAGAAATGGGCTTCACACATTGTACCCATGTCGGGAATCGAACCCGGGTCTTCGGCGTGACGAGCTAACGCTTTAACCACTAGGCTACCCGACCGCCCCGGTGGAAATCAGAGGGTGGGATACCTGGGTGTGTTTGGTTTGCCAGAGAACTGCATAAGTGAGTGAATACTACTCACTGCCTCGTCCATCATACCACAGCTGTTCAGAGTAGGGATGTATTGATAAAGTATATCATGATCATTGCAATACTGTATTTGACGTAATAAGCGCTCAGGGCGCTCTCAAAATTAGAAATCGGGGGCTCTTATTGGATTATTATTTTCTGGTGAAAAAAACTGAGTTGAAAGATAAATTTTGTGGTTGATGCTGACAGCCTAAAATATTTATGTACAACAGATATATTTTTCCAGAATTTAATTGCCCATAATTAATTTGCATATAACACATGAGTGCGTATTATACGCGAATAAATAAGTCTTGTGTACATTGATCAATTGGAAGGCGTGCTAATTGGGATTGTTCAACGGCCAATATATCAGCAAATATCGCCGTGGGCACTTATTAGAGCGGGGCGCTTATTACATCAAGTATGGTAGTTGATATCAAGATTGCGAAGAGGAGGACGTGTTATCTAAAGATATGCTGGGAAATTATGGCACTTGCCGATGGCAACCAAATACTATGTTAGGTTTATTATAAAACTTGTTGGCAAAGGCAAAACCAATATACGTTGCTACATGACATCGTAATATGGTTGTTTCCCTTATAAACTGAACTTAACGCCTTAAGCACAAATATAAACATTGCAGAAAAGGAGAATATTTGTATTTTCTTGTCAAATAACATGTTTGCCTCACCTGACCAGGTAGATACTGAGAGGGGCATCTATCTGTCTGTTTCATGATTATCATTCATTTATGCAAGATCAAATCAGTCCCACACATTTCATTGTTTTGATAAGTACCGTATTTGACATAATAAGCGCCCAGGGCACTCTCAAAATTAGAAATAGGGGCTCTTATTAGAATATTATTTTGGTGAAAAATAACAGAGTTGAAAGATCATAAATTTCGTGGTTTATGCTGACAGCCTGAAATGTTTATATACAACAGATCGATATATTTTTCCAGTATTTAATTTCCCATAATTACGGATGCATATAACACAAGTATTATACACGAATAAATAAGTCTTGTGTACATTCATCAAATCAGAAGGTGTGCTAATTGGGATTGTTCACAAGCCAATATATTAGCAAATATCGCCGTGGGCGCTTATTACGTGAAATACAGTAATCAAAATGGAGCTATTGCCAATGTGGAAGGTGTTCATTTCAGAGCCAAAGGCCGCTGCCCGGTGCTACACTTGTGACAACGCTCTCACCAACGATGCATGTAACCTGAACATGGAAGAGTGTAACTCCACACAGTCTGTAAGTATACAAAAAACATGTGCAACCCAAATGCATATTTACAATATGTTTTACGGGGTATATCAGAGCTCCAGATAAGCTTTTGGTGTTGTGGGTATTTTACCCATGCATTTTAAAATCATTGGGTATCAGTAATTCTATTTGGGTATTCAAATTTCTGTTACCCACTAGTTTTTACACATGTGGGTATTTAAGTTAAATATTTAAAGACACTATTCATCTAGACGCAGCAAACTGGTGTGGTGTGGGTTCGAGAGCCTATAGGACTAAAAAATACCACGATACTTCCACAAGAAAGTGTGATGGCAAATGATCATGATGTGACTGTCATCGTGGAGTTTGGCAAGGTTGACGGAATGCCCGTTTATAATTTCAAAAGAAGTTGCTGATTTGCTAATCGAATACGCAGGGCTACTTCACAATATATTGATAATACGCACAAGTTTTTTTTTGTAGCATATCTGTAATGATCGTTGTGTATTTGATGCGCTTGGATTATATTTTACTGCATATTTCTGCATTTCTGATGCGTATTTCACGTAAATATCTGGAGCTCTGGTATATTCTACATTTTATTACTCCACAAAGAGGTCAACATTAAGGGATGTCCCCCAGTCCTCGAGGTTTGCACATATGCTATGTATGGGATAAAACACGCCTCTGAGGTTTTGGTTGAAAATGTAAAACCCCGAGCAGGAAAAGCCCGAGGGCTTTTCGCGAGGTCAAGGTTTTATGTTTTCAACCAAAACCGAGGAGGTGGGTATCCAATATATGACCTGACTAAATGCAAGAAAAAAACAGAAAAATAAGAAAACACTGACCTACCTTATAGTGAAAAAATACAGTGTATCGCGGTATAAAGGGAATGTCCCCCCAGTCCCAACTTTCAACACATTAAAAAACGTAAGAACATGGTTTTAATTCTTTCAACGTCATGTTCGATTGAAATGACATCATCTTTGAATTAACTTCTTTGATCTACACATCATTCACAAAAGGATCATTCACAATTTTCTCTCTTTTTTGTGTGAATATTTCAAGACTAAATTGCATATATGTTTAACCTCAAAGCAAAGCAAAATGTTATTTCCCTGCACTGCAAAATAGACAACGGGGAAACCCTGATGGTAACAGACGAGCTGACTTACAACTCTAACAATATACTTATTTGAATATTGCCAAAGTTTTGTTCAACAACAAGAAAATACTTTAATTAATTTAGTCACATAAATTACCGGTCCAAGCCTAATTTTAGCGGTAAAAAACATGTAATTCCCGGTAATTGGGAACACTGGGTCGGCCTGTCTGGACACACCTACTCCAGACTAAGTCAGTGCAGCCATCTTGAACAAAGTGTTGTCTTATTCAGGTGTGCATGACACGAGTTAAACACGACGAGTCTAGAACAATCACATCCTTGTCCAAGGGGTGCATGGCGGAAGACAGATGCAAGCCTGGTTGCGTTGATGGCATCTGCACCTACTGCTGCAGCGGGCAGCTGTGCAACGCCCGGGCCGAGGGGCCCATCAGTCGTAAGTTGGGGGATTCATCATGTTCATGGGTAAAAAAATTCTCGATACTCCCTGATTCTTGGGAGCCAAATCAGTCGTAAGTTGGGGGATTCATGGGTAAAAAAATTCTCGATACTCCCTGATTCTTGGGAGCCAAATCAGTCGTAAGTTGGGGGATTCATGGGTGAAAAAATTCTCGGTACTCCCTGATTCTTGGGAGCCAAATCAGTCGTAAGTTGGGGGATTCATGGGTGAAAAAATTTGCGATACTCCCTGATTCTTGGGAGCCAAATCAGTCGTAAGTTGGGGGATTCATGGGTGAAAAAATTCTCGATACTCCCTGATTCTTGGGAGCCAAATCAGTCGTAAGTTGGGGGATCCATGGGTAAAAAAATTCTCGATACTCCCTGATTCTTGGGAGCCAAATCAGTCATAAGTTGGGGGATCCATGGGTAAAAAAATTATCAATGCTCCCTGATTCTTGGGAGCCAAATCAGTCGTAAGTTGGGGGATTCATGGGTGAAAAAATTCTCGATACTCCCTGATTCTTGGGAGCCAAATCAGTCGTAAGTTGGGGGATTCATGGGTAAAAAAATTCTCGATACTCCCTGTGATTTGGAGCCAAATCAGTCGTAAGTTGGGGGATCCATGGGTAAAAAAATTATCAATGCTCCCTGATTCTTTGGAGCCAACTTTCATGGGAATTGGTGCCCCATGTCTTGAAATCTTGTTTGAAGAAAATTTTATGAAAATGATGAGGTGGGCATGAAATTGAATAATTACTTCATTGCAGCATTTTTGTCCAAAATTATTTCACAGTATGGATATACATGCTGATGTATATCACTGCTTCTTAACAAGCAACTGGACATGTCACCATGATAACTGGAAGGCAGAGAATGTTTTGACCACCCAATGTATGATATATTTTCAGCATGTCAATACTCTATTAAACACCAGCTATGATGGCTGGAACATGCGGACTGTCCAAGAATTGTTCTACATTCCAAATGTATTTCAGTGAAATTCATGTTGTAATTCCTGTAATGGTTATTCTCCAGCCGTCTGTTCCGTGAGCTATGCCGCCAAGTGCGCCTTCAGACTCGCCACCAGCCTCTCCGCCAACAAGGAGATTCAGTGCAGGTTTGTCTTCATGCTTGCCTGAAATGTGCCATTGGTGCCATACATGTCCCATGTGTGGACTCTAGTTGTTCTCAGATGTATCCATGTTTGGGTGTGTTTCTCATCTCCAGTCTTGGTGTATGTATACCGTATTCCACGTAATAAGCGCCCCACTCTAATAAGCGCCGACGGCAATATTTGCTAATATATTGACTAGTGAACAATCCCAATTAGCACCCCTTCTGATTGATCAATGTACACAAGACTCATTTATTCATGTATAATACAAACTCGTGTGTTATATGCACCCTTAATTGTGGGAAATTAAATTCTGGAAAAATATATCTTTCGTATATACACATTTCAGGCTGTCAGCATAAACCACGAAATCTTTCAACTCTGGGGGTTTTTTTCACCAAAATAATATTCTGATAAGAGCCACCTATTTCTAATTTTGAGAGCTACCTGGGTGCTTATTACGTTGAATATGGTATATCAGGGGAGTGGAAGATGAAAGTTTTAAAAAATGAAAATATAGAATACCTGTTTTGTTGGGAATACAATTGATAAGATACTGTAGGGGTAGGGGGGTACTAAAATTAATCTTTGGACTGTATCACTACCACCACCCCCATATTCTACATCCAATATTTGCTTTAGCGCTTTAAAGACAGAAAAAGTGGAGGGCTAAAATAAGACAAAAACAGTTCCCTTCTTTGCATATCCCTACTTTAAACAGTGCAGATATGTGCTTATGTGTTTGAAAAGGGGATTTCTGTTTTCCTCCCTTGATTTCACAGAATTGCATTGATGTCATAAAATTGTGCATGTTCAAAAGCATTATATACAAGACAATTATAAAGGTAGAATTCAATGTTAGTTCCAAGAAAATCGACCATTGACATGCTGAACTTTGAATGTATTTCTTACCAGAATAAAAATGGCTGTTGTATATGACATAATTACAATTTTCAAACTGCCATTTGTTTTGCATCCTGCAGGACTGTCAACGTAAATTAATTTTCTACCCGTGGTAGAATAGGTCTTAGCAGTCCATTGCTTGCCATAAAAGGCAACTGTGCTTGTCGAAAGAGGTATCGGGTCGTCAGGCTTGCTGACTTGGTTTATGCATGTCATTGTATCCCAATTGCGTGGATCGATGCTCATGATCACTGGATTGTCTGGTCCAGACTTGATTATTTACAGACCCCCATCATATAGCTGGAATATTGCTGAGTGCGGCGATAAAAAATAATCAATTTCATCCATTTAAAATTGGTGTATGTATGGACACATTTAGTGGCCAGTAAGACCCTGATGATTGTCGTGGTCCGAGTCTTACACTGACTTGTGTCTCCCATGTTGCAGTGTGTTTGAGGCTGAGCTAAAATGCATGAAGGAAGTCCGGCAGCAGTGTGTCTCGGACACCCAGAGCAAACTGTTCCAGCTGACTGAGGTTCTGTACCAGTCTGTCTCCTTCAAGAAGTGCCAGGTGCTACTAGCGCCACCTACCTGCAGCATACACAGTGTTGTCTCCCTTGGGCTGCTACTCTCAGCCCCAGAGGCGAGGAAGGAGGATGTTTGCAGGTGAGTGATCTTCCATGTGCATTTGGACCGCCTCTGTAGTCTCGTGGTAGAGCGTCCGCCCGGAGAGCAGAAGGTCCGGGGTTCGATCCCCGGCCGCATCATACTAAAAGACGTTTAAAGCTGGTACTTGTTGTTACCTATAACCTATATAGTCTGAGTGGGGTATTCATGTTAAACTGCGGCATGGTATCTCAGTGGGCTAGCTCTATAAATCGGCATCAGTCCAGACAAGTACAAGCAGCCACACACACACATGTACATGCACGTCGCTATATAAGTGCAATAATCTTGGACGCGACATTGAACCCCATTTTACTTCACCTCCAAATGCATTAGAGTTTTGATTTGGTTCTTTATATTTTTTTATTTACCAGTTTTTGTATCTATGGATTTCTTTTATTTCACTTAAACTGACAATGCTTAAAAATATGTTTCTGATATTTTAGTTAAATTCACCTCTATTTTTAAAAATAGAAACCGTAAACTAAGTGATGACAATAGTCGGCCTAGTCAACTGCATGCAAACAAAAAGACAATTAACCAAATTTTTCATTTCTTGTCTGTCCAACTCTATGCTCTAGTGGATAGAGCATATAACCGGAGAATGGACGGTTGTTGGTTCATTCATTCCATGGCCATGTCATGCCAAAGATGGTACTTGTCGTTACCCTGTCTGGCGCTCGGCATTAAGGTGCTAAAACAAGGACTGGTCGGCTCTGAGTCTGTATACTGTGTCTGAGTGGGGTATTCATGTTAAACTGCGGCATGGTATCTCAGTGGGTTAGCACTATTAAACATGCATAAGTAGGGACTAGTGCAAGCAGACACACACACACACACATACACACACACGTGCATGCATATCACTATGTAAGTGCAATAATCTTTGACATGAACTTAAACCCATCCCCCCGCCGTGATATTGCTGGAATATTACTAAAAGCGGCGTAAAACCATACTCACTCACTCACTCACTTAAACCCATCACCTCACCTCACCTCACCTCACCTCACCTCACCTCACCTCACCTCATCTCACCTCATCTCACCTCACCTCACCCCTCCCCACCTCATCTCACCTCGTCTTGTCTCACCCCACCTCATCTCACCTCGTCTTGTCTCACCTCACCTCACCTCACCATGTACTGACACTGATGACAAATTGTGATTGCAGAAACTTTGATGCAACCATGTTGGCTGTGACACATGCTAAGAAAACCTCGGGATGCTCCGCAGACGCCATTGAGCGAGTCGATGGATCCATGACCTTGATCCGGACACAGCTCCGTGGTTACGGTTGTCAAGGAGTTGATGGATACCATCTCAACTGTGACAAAGAGAAAGAGTGCAGTATTAAGAAGGCCACTGAGTGCTTCAAGGGCGTTGGCCCTCTAGTGGCCACACAGAAATGGACCGATAAGAAGGAGGTCTGCAGGTACGATTTCTATTACTTTGTCGACCCTATTGGGATTCTGAGTAAGGGTTGGTCTTCGTTAATAGTGTGTCACTATACCCTGAGGTTGTGGGCCATTGCTCATAATATCGATCACTAGTGTGTCCTCCCATACATGATTATTTTCAGCCCGTCGTCATATGGCTGGAATATTTCTCAGTTCAAACAAAACTCTGTTGTTGTCAGTTGATGCAGTAGCTTTGAAGTGGGACCTTGCTCTTAGATCAGTTTCACATCTTTAGCAGTTGTCAGGGCCCTGTCCACACAGTGATTTTAGCACTAAGATGATCTTAAGTCCAATACCTGAACATAGACTTACAATAGTTGTAGCGCTAAGATGATCGTACCTCTTATACCTTAACATAGACTTACAACAGTTATAACCTTGGATGATCGTAACTCCATACTTTAACATAGACTTATGATAGTTGTAGCACTAAGATGATCGTAGCTCCAAACCTTAACATAGACTTATGACAGTTGTTGTGCTAAGATGATCGTAACTCCATACTTTAACATAGACTTATGACAGTTGTAGCACTAAGATGATCGTAGCTCCAAACCTTAACATAGACTTATGACAGTTGTAGGGCTAAGATGATCGTAACTCCAAACCTTAAGATAGACTTATGACAGTTGTAGCGCTAAGATGATCGTAACTCCATACTTTAACATAGACTTATGACAGTTGTAGCACTAAGATGATCGTAGCTCCAAACCTTAACATAGACTTATGACAGTTGTAGGGCTAAGATGATCGTAACTCCAAACCTTAACATAGACTTATGTCAGTTGTAGCGCTAAGATGATCGTAACTCCAAACCTTAACATAGACTTATGACAGTTGTAGCACTAAGATGATCGTAACTCCAAACCTTAACATAGACTTATGACAGTTGTAGCGCTAAGATGATCGTAACTCCAAACTTTAACATAGACTTATGACAGTTGTAGCACTAAGATCACTTCGTGAACACAACCCTGGATGTTGCCCTGCCCCGTGTGAAACTGAGACGTTTGTGATGATATTACCCATAATACTAGAACGATCCAGTGTGATAAATTACTGTTATTCACACATCGGTGTTACGTTACAAAAGTTACGTTAAATCACAATTCACTCTTTCCCTTTGCAGGAAGTATCTGGAGATCCGGTCATGTCTGGAGAACAGTCGTGATGGATGCACAGAGAGGGTGCCGATGACCCTCGCCAACAATCTTTGGAAACAGTTTGAGTCCGCTACTGAGATTGTTGCTGACCGATGTGAAGCAGAGGTCAAGGCTGCATCGTGTGACCCTGACGATCACGAGGTCAAGTGCAGACCAATGGCTGCTCTCACCAAGTGCTTCAATAACTTCCGTATACGCAGTGTGTTCTCAGAATGCCAGTAAGTTTCAACTGTCACATTGCTAATGTTAGGATTGAAATTAATCTGTGAATAATTCAATGGTGGAAAAAATAATGTGTTTGTGTAAACTTTGGTTTTCTTTCCCTTTAGTTGTCAAAATTAAGAGGTGGTGGAAGTAGGCCAGTGGTTAAAGTGCTTATCACAAATAAATTCTGGTTCGATTCCCGACTTGGGTGCAATGTGTGAAGGATATTGGTGATGTGTCTGCATGATGATATTGCTTGATTATTGCAAAACATTGTGCAAAACCATACACACTCCGCTAGATGTGGTGCCTACAGTTGAAATGGTTCAGGAAAACTGAGAGCAATGGGGTAGCCTAGTGATTAAAGACCCTAGTTCGATACCTCACATGGATACAATATGTGAAGCCCTTTTCTGGTGTCCACTGAGGTGATATTGCATGAATATTTCCAAAAGTGGCGTAAAACCATACTCACTCACTCTGGTAAACTAAATGGATGTGAATGTCCAACAGGAACCTGAAGCTGGCCCACACCTGTATCATGAGGGAGACTGCCAACTGTCTGCCCATCCAGAGGAAGCTGGCCATGACGCTGCTGTATCTCCAACCCGACATGCCTGCTGTCATGGCGCGCTGCGGCAAAATGCCTGACACTGACGACAAGATCACTCCCTACACACAGGTACATACAAGCTTATAGTGTTTATAATTACGGCCCCTAGGCATCAGATACTTAATTACACCATCAAATATTTAATAACACCATCAAATATTCAATAACACCTTCCAATATTTAATAACACCATCAATTATTTAATAACACCTTCAAATACTTAATAACACCATCCAATATTTAATAACACCTTCAAATACTTAATTACACCATCAAATATTCAATAACACCATCCATTATTTAATAACACTTTCCAATATTTAATAACACTTTCCAATATTTAATAACACCATCAGATACTTAATAACACCATCAGATGCTTAATAACACCATCAGATACTTAATAATACCAGCAGATACTTAATAACACCCTCAGATACTTAATAACACCATCAGATACTTAATAACACCATCAGATACTTAATAACACCATCAGATACTTAATAACACCATCAGATACTTAATAACACCATCAAATGCTTAATAACACCATCAAATGCTTAATAACACCATCAGATACTTAATAACACCATCAGATACTTAATAACACCATCAGATGCTCAATTACACCATCAGATGCTTAATAACACCATCAGATGCTTAATAACACCATCAGATACTTAATAACACCATCAGATACTTAATAACACCATCAGATACTTAATAACACCATCAGATACTTAATAACACCATCAGATACTTAATAACACCATCAAATGCTTAATAACACCATCAAATGCTTAATAACACCATCAGATACTTAATAACACCATCAGATACTTAATAACACCATCAGATGCTCAATTACACCATCAGATGCTTAATAACACCATCAGATGCTTAATAACACCATCAGATACTTAATAACACCATCAGATGCTTAATAACACCATCAGATACTTAATAACACCATCAGATGCTTAATAACACCATCAGATGCTTAATAACACCATCAGATACTTAATAACACCATCAGATACTTAATAACACCATCAGATGCTTAATAACACCATCAGATACTTAATAACACCCTCAAACCTGAAAACATGTAAAGATGCTCTCCTGGACATGCCGTATTTAATGTGACTTTGATTTGTTACAGGTTATGTCCTGTATGGGCGAGTTTGCCATGAGTCTGAAGACAGTGCTGATGTCTCCGAGTGAATCTCTGTCCGCTGTGTGCACCAAGACTATCGATGTGGTCCAGAGATGTGTGTCTCGCCTGAACCTGGACAGGCAGGCCAGGTTGTCTCCCCTTGAGAAACTCTACCTCAGGAATACACTCATGACCTTGCAATATTTCGAGGACGCGGTTTGTGAGGATGTGGAACCCAAGTCAGCCCTGAATGGTGGGTAACAACTATTGTGTTTTTGGATTAGCTGCCCATGGTCTTTATTTCAAATGCAAGGTACTCCCCGTTAAGATCCAGGTTAGAATTGGTCTTCTGCAACCCATGCTTGTCAGAAAAGTCAAGTAACGGGATCGGGTGGTCAGGCTCGCTGACTTGGTTGATGCATGTCATCGTATTGTATTGAGCAGATCAAAGCTTATGATGTCAATCACATGATTGTCTGGTCCAGATGTGATTATTATCAGAATACTGTCATACAGCTGGAATATTTTTTAGTGCTGTGTTAAACAACAAAAAGCAAATACAAATAGTGAAACAATCTTTATACACCCAAACTTTTTTATCATTATTTGATTCTTCATCACATAACTCAGGTAGCCCAAATGGTCTTATTATTTTACTTACAACCCTAATGTTCATATCACAGCCATAAGGAACCCTTATTTTAAATTTGGAAAGAATCAGTTGTTTCCACTTATTATCATTATTAGGTTTTGCCCTGATGCAGCCAACCTGTGTATTGACGCAATCTAAGTAGAAACTATGCAGCATTATTTCCCCATTGCATCAGCCGTGATGCAGATCATTCAGTCTGTCGAAATCCATAAGTCAATTGCACTATTCTGTCGGAATATTAAAATCTGAACAGACATATCCGTTGACAACAAAATAGGACCGATATCAGCTTTGTTTAATGCTGGAAAACCAGATGTCTATAAACAGGACAGCCTGTGTGGCAGGCTATCCACGCCAACCAATCAGAATTAAGTTCAATACTTGCCAACTGGGTGCTTGTATTTGTTACATCACATGGAACTCCCACATCAAGCCAATCAAGAAAATATACCTCAGAAAATCCAAATATATGCAGCATAATGCTTACATAAAAATGCAGGTATCTCTTCCTGTTTTATGTCAATTAATTTCAGAAGTTTTCCATCACACAATGCTATTACATTGAGAAAATCTGGTTCTGATTTTAAACCGAAAAAACATCAAGGATTCCATTTAACAACAAATAATAACACCTCAAAGTGCGAGACAACAGGCTGACCACTTGAACGTTGATGTTTGAGAGTCGGTTGAGTTTGTTATTGTTCTAGATTATGCTTTGTGGTTAAAAAAACAACAGGTAATATATCGTCACAAAGCATGAATCATGACATTGTTATTGATAGAATATTGAGGTTTTTCCAAGCTGTTTGGAATTTGTTTTAATACAAGCTCCTTGAATAAAAGATTAAAAATATTTTTAATAACTGTTGCTGTGTTCATTTACCTATCTAAATAACATTTTAAAACTCATGTTCTTTAATTTTGCTAAATAAAATTACAACTGTCAACTGACCACCCTCATCAGGACCCTCCGAAATGCTCCGACTCCCATACAGACCACCCCATCAGGACCCTCAAAATGCTCTGTTCCCCATACAGCAGACCACCCCATCAGGACCCTCCAAAATGCTCTGTTCCCTGTCCAGCAGACCACCCCATCAGGACCCTCCAAAATGCTCTGTTCCCTGTCCAGCAGACCACCCCATCAGGACCCTCCAAAATGCTCTGTTGCCTGTCCAGTAGACCACCCAATCAGGACTCTCCAAAATGCTACATTCCCCATACAGCAGACCACCCCATCAGGACCCTCCAAAATGCTCACATTTCTTGTTATTTTTCAGTTTCTGACATATGTCTAAGTGGTTATGAGAGAGCCTCCACATGTCTGTCAGTTCAGACCATCGGCCTGATGACCCGTCCATTCCTGCCGGCTACTGATGTTGCCTCCTTCTGTGGGTGAGTAGAGTGCGGGATGAGTTGAGTAGTTTTCCTCTGCAGTAAGATGAGATTTGAGGAGCATTGTGCACACTAAGAAACAAAAGGCAGCCAGCCTTACGAATGTCTCAAGTCAATTGCATGGATCGAAGCTCATGATGACCCATGAAGATCCGGGGTAGAAAAGGTCTTCAGCAACCCATGCTTGTTGTAAAAGGCGACTAACGGGATCGGGTGGTCAGGCTCGCTGACTTGGTTGATACATGTCATCGATCCCAATTGCGTTGATTGATGCTCATGGTATCAATCACTGGATTGTCTGGTCCAGACTCGATTATTTACAGACCGCCACCATATAGCTAGAATATTGCTGAGTGCTGCGTTAAACAACAAACAAACAAACAAACAAACATTTTCTAAGAACCAACTTAACAAATGGCATCATCAACTGTGTGTAAGTATTTCTACTTTATGAAAAAGGGGGCACGGGTGGCCCAGTCGTCTAAAGCACGCCAGAAACCTATGATTGTGGGTTCGAATCCCGGTTTGCCCCGATTATGTTTCTAGGTTTGTTAGCACCATACCTGTGCTCATGGGTTTCACCGAAGTGGTACACTCTGAGACCTGCATCACTTCGAGCTTTCCTCCCACATTAAGCTGACACGCAGCGATATAACTGGAATACTGTTAAAAGCGGCGTTAAACCCAACTCACTCACTCACTCACTTTATGAAAAGTTCAGACACCCACCACCCCAGTTCTTCATTCGCCAATGCTTATTGTCCCTGAATAGCACCAGCTGCTTCTAGATCCAGGGTGTGATGCTACCACCTGCTTGGTTTCAGCCACTTCTATGAGATCGAGACGTGCGTGGAGACGAGCCTGGAGTCGTGTGCAACAGAGGAGAGAGGGGCTGTCGGACAGTACCTTGAGGTCGTACGCGAGAAGTCTATCAGCGTTTGCATGTCTCAGATCCGAACTCGACCAAAGTGTTCCCTGCGGGTAGCTGGTGCTTGTCTGTCGAGTCTGTCGGCCTACATGGAGAGTGGGAACATCACGCTGTCCGATCAGTGCATGTAAGCTTGCGACATTGTTATGTCTCCATGGATTCATCTAGACCTGCTCATAGTCTGTTATTCGGCCTCAAGTCTTACAGCATATGCCACTGAAAGTTCCCAAACTAGAAGGAAATATTTCCCAATTCATGTTGTTAGTCTTTTAATAAAATAAAAGAATTGGTTCTCAAGCAATGTTTTTTTTTAAATTTAGTGCAGGCGGGCGGTGTCTTTTTTTTTTTGAGGGGGGTGGGGTGTGTGTGTGTGTGTTCAAACTAGTATGTAACCAAATAAACAGTTGGGTACCCAAATAAAAGGTTGTGTACAACCAACCTGGGAAAGGGCCTCCCTACATAGTTGTATTCCTTGATGAGTAAAATAGTGGAATACAGTATTTGACCACTGTTGGATTTGGAATATTAAGGATTTTTTTTTTTTAAATTGAAATAAAAACGAAACATGCAGCGGACTTTGTGATGAAGCGGGCGGTGCCTGAGAACCAACATTTGTTTAATTTCTTTTAGCCTTATAGTTAAAATTAATGTTATGCCTTTGTAGAGGTGACTTGTATATCACAGATAACAGGACCATTAAGGAGGAAGAGGCTTTAATGTTCTGTTTAATATCAGCTACGCAATTTTATACAATTTGTGACTGTTATACTTCCATGCATGCACAAAAAAATGTTTATTGTTTTTACGGAAGCGCTTAATAAGCGGGGCTATTTTCTGTTTAAAATTGGATTAAGGTAAGGTTAAATTAAGGTATAAAGATATGTATCATTCCACTGGGGCCGGGGGGGGGCATTGTGGGGAGGGGGGGGGGAGTGCAGTCGCATGAATATGGAGTTACATTTTTGGCTAGGGATCAGCAGTTGTAAAAATTTGGAGAGGCATTAATTTCAAGATTTACAGTATTGCTAGATCACTGCAGAATTTCAAAGTCATCACACTGTCTATATATGGTATCCATGTTACACTGGGGCATGGAAACTTGGGCGAACATTAAATACTGGACTAGTATATGCAGTTTTATCTTGAATTACTTTTCTGTTTTGCAGGATGGTTGAGACTGTCCTTGCTTGTGTGAAGAGCCACATGTTCGGATGTGAGGAAAACACGACACAACACATTAAACATTCACTGAAAATTGTCATTGCCAAATATGGAAGCGCATGCCCTGCCCAAGTGAGACCACTGATCTGCCACGATGCCGAAAACTCCACCTGTGGGCTGACGGATGCAGCTGCCATGGCAACCTGTATTGCCCCCTTGGCCTCCCTAGCAGTACAGTCCAACCAGTACTATGAGATACAGTCGTGTTGGTGAGTACACTCCAACCAGTACTATGAGATACAGTTGTGTTGGTGACTGGACCAGGTCTACAGAATGTTACTTGTATATTACCCAGGGCACTGGACCAGGTCTACAGAATGTTACTTGTATATTACCCAGGGCGCTGGACCAGGTCTACAGAATGTTACTTGTATATTACCCAGGGCACTGGACCAGGTCTACAGAATGTTACTTGTATATTACCCAGGGCACTGGACCAGGTCTACAGAATGTTACTTGTATATTACCCAGGGCGCTGGACCAGGTCTACAGAATGTTACTTGTATATTACCCAGGGCACTGGACCAGGTCTACAGAATGTTACTTGTATATTACCCAGGGCACTGGACCAGGTCTACAGAATGTTACTTGTATATTACCCAGGGCGCTGGACCAGGTCTACAGAATGTTACTTGTATATTACCCAGGGCACTGGACCAGGTCTACAGAATGTTACTTGTATATTACCCAGGGCACTGGACCAGGTCTACAGAATGTTACTTGTATATTACCCAGGGCGCTGGACCAGGTCTACAGAATGTTACTTGTATATTACCCAGGGCACTGGACCGAGTCTACAGAATGTTACTTGTAAAATACCCAGGGCACTGGACCAGGTCTACAGAATGTTACTTGTATATTACCCAGGGCGCTGGACCAGGTCTACAGAATGTTACTTGTATATTACCCAGGTCTACAGAATGTTCCTTGTATATGACCCAGGGCACTGGACCAGGTCTACAGAATGTTACTTGTATATTACCCAGGGCACTGGACCAGGCCTACAGAATGTTACTTGTATATTACCCAAGGCACTGGACCAGGTCAACAGAATGTTACTTGTATATTACCCAGGGCACTGGATCAGGTCTACAGAATGTTACTTGTATATTACCCAGGGCGCTGGACCAGGTCTACAGAATGTTACTTGTATATTACCCAGGCCTACAGAATGTTACTTGTATATTACCCAGGGCACTGGATCAGGTCTACAGAATGTTACTTGTATATTACCCAGGCTACTGGACCAGGCCTACAGAATGTTACTTGTATATTACCCAGGCCTACAGAATGTTACTTGTATATTACCCAGGGCACTGGATCAGGTCTACAGAATGTTACTTGTATATTACCCAGGGCACTGGACCAGGTCTACAGAATGTTACTTGTATATTACCCAGGCCTACAGAATGTTACTTGTATATTACCCAGGGCACTGGATCAGGTCTACAGAATGTTACTTGTATATTACCCAGGGCACTGGACCAGGTCTACAGATGTGTGAGGAAGCTGTCAGGGGACTGCTCGGACACAGAGTTGACCACAGCATGGTCTACCATCCAGAGTTCAGTGGCTGCCCTCAGTAGCATCAATCTACCATGTGCAGCTGACCGAACAGTGGACAGCATCAGGTCAACCTGTCCGATACGGGCACCCACGTGCTCCATCATGGCTGCCATGTCTTGTCTCCGGGATGCCAGGGAGAAGTACACAGGTTCTGATATCACAAGGTGTGTGGTCATTGGATCTTCTGAAGTGTATATAATATTGTATTACTTTATTTACGTAATGCCATACACCGTATAATACATACATTATATCATTACATCATACCCGGTTACCATCAGTCCCCAGCAACCTATGCTGGTCATAAGAAGTGGCTAGTAGGGCTGGGACGAGTCCAGATTTACTACCCAGCTACCCTACCCCGCAATTACCGACCCTACCCGGGTACCCGCTGTAGGTCTCAAGAGTTAGGTACAAAATGTCTGAATAGTTTCATCAGAGCCCTGGCAAAATGTATTCAGATACAGTACACGCATTAAACAATCTGGTCCTGCATACACTGAAGGTGACTGAAGTTTTATCTTTCTTCAAATCTTCAAGGTCAGAATGAATGGGTGCATAAGTGGCTTGTAGAGTTTTAGATAATGTTTGTCATTAAACAATATATCACGTGACCAACCACGGGTCCGGGTAGTCCTGTGGGTACCCAACTCAGTACCCCCTGGACCCGATTACCCGATTTACCCATCCAAGCCCTAGTGGCTGAATGTATCAGTGGCAAGGTTTGGTGTCTTGCTTGATAGCATGTCATCTTTCCTCCATTTGGATCGATGCCCACACTATCAATCACTGGATACCAGGGTAGCTTAGTTGTTAAAACCATAAATATAACCATTCTTGCTCTTTCAGTCATTCTACATTGGATACCCATGAAGATCTGGGGTAGAATAGGTCTTCAGCAACCCATGCTTGCTGTAAAAGGCCACTATGCTTGTCGTTAGAGGCGACTAACGGGATCGGGTGGTCAGGCAAGTCATCGTATCCCAATTGCGTGGATCGATGCTCATGATATTAATCACTGGATTGTCTGGTCCAGACTCGATTATTTACAGACCGCTGTCATATAGCTGGAATATTGCTGAGTGCGGCGCTAAACAACAAACAAACAAACAAACATTCTGCATGGTCCACACTATTTACAGCTAGACTATTGCACTCCAGATATTGTTTTCAACCACTGTGACCAATCTGTTGCCAGCATCGCCCGGGACAGCTCTTCCTGCGTGTGGGGCAACGTCACCGGCTGCAACACTCTCCAGCGAACTATCTTCAGCCTCTCCATCACAAACATCTTCCAGACAAGTCTGTCGCTCACCCTCCAAGACACCACAAGGATGCCCTTCTATGACCTCATCATCAACTTTAACTCCAAGGTCACTCTGGCCCTCACCAATCCCACCTACAATCATCTGGATCTGTGTTTCGCTGCCAAGGCAACGGCGTCCGAGTTCGAGCGGGTGTTTGTGACGGCTGGAGTTGATGGTCTCGGGTTTGAGAAAGTGCTGGTTCAGCGAGGAAGGAATATGTTGAAAAAGTTCACGAGCCTTGCTTGTAATGACTTTGGTGAGTTATCGTGTTGGGTGAGAGTGGCATTGAGAAATTGTAATACTCATATCCAGAGGAGTACAGCTGGCACCACCGTTAGCTATGCAGAATTGCATCCTGTATGATTGTGGTTGGAATACCAGTTGTCCTAAACATCCAAGACCTGCATCAGGTCAGGTTTACCTCCTACATCAAACTGGTGTTACTACTAGAGGGTGGGTCAAAGGGTAAATTGGAGCCTGTCAAGGGTAAATGGGTGCCTGTCAAGGGTAAATGGGTACCTGTCCAGGGTAAATGGGTACCTGTCCAGGGTAAAAGGGTACCTGTCCAGGGTAAAAGGGTACCTGTCTAGCGTAAATGGGTATCTGTTGAGGATAAATGGGTACTGTTGAGGTTAAATAGGTGCCTGTCCAGGGTATATGGGTACCTGTCTAAGGTAAATAGGTGCTTGTTGAGGGTACCTGATACGTGTCGAGGGTAAACTGGTACCTGTCGAGGATAAATGGAAACCTGTTGAGGGTAACATGGTGCCTGTCATGGGTAAACTGGTACCTGTCATGGGTAAATGTCTTCCTGTCTAGGGTACACAGGCTCCTGTAGAGGGTAAATGGGTGTCTGTCAAGGGTAAATGGGTGTCTGTCAAGGGTAAATGGGTGTCTGTCAAGGGTAAATGGGTGTCTGTCAAAAGGGTAAATGGGTGTCTGTCAAGGGTAAATGGGTGTCTGTCAAGGGTAAATGGGTATCTGTCAAGGGTAAATGGGTATCTGTCAAGGGTAAATGGGTGTCTGTCAAGGGTAAATGGGTGACTATCAAGGGTAAATGGGTGTCTGTCAAGGGTAAATGGGTATCTGTCAAGGGTAAATGGGTATCTGTCAAGGGTAAATGGGTGTCTGTCAAGGGTAAATGGGTGTCTGTCAAGGGTAAATGGGTGACTATCAAGGGTAAATGGGTGTCTGTCAAGGGTAAATGGGTGTCTATCAAGGGTAAATGGGTGTCTGTCAAGGGTAAATGGGTATCTGTCAAGGGTAAATGGGTGTCTGTCAAGGGTAAATGGGTGTCTGTCAAGGGTAAATGGGTGACTATCAAGGGTAAATGGGTGTCTGTCAAGGGTAAATGGGTATCTGTCAAGGGTAAATGGGTGTCTGTCAAGGGTAAATGGGTGTCTGTCAAGGGTAAATGGGTGTCTGTCAAGGGTAAATGGGTGACTATCAAGGGTAAATGGGTGTCTGTCAAGGGTAAATGGGTATCTGTCAAGGGTAAATGGGTGACTGTCAAGGGTAAATGGGTGTCTGTCAAGGGTAAATGGGTGACTATCAAGGGTAACAGGTACCTGTTTGTGTCTGCAACCTTGATCTTATTGGTATCATTCAATCTCAGTCTGGGTTAGAAAGTTTGTTGACAGTGGACAGTGTCTCGTGGTTTATTTCCACAGTAGCACAAATTTGAAGCAGAATAACATTCTCTTTCTTTCTTTCCAGACATCATTGATAAGGTCCTGACATACGAGGAAAGTGAGTAAACGTTTTGTACATGTAAAGTTCAAAACACCTTCCCAATATTCTTGATAAAGTGTGGGACTAAACTGATATTTGGTCATGAGATATTTATTATTGTTTAAACAATCTAATTATGTCAATAAGTATATCAAATATATATATGAAACAAATATATTGGTAACTTTTTTTTTCTAAGTTTTGACTTATTTTGAAAAAGGGAATAAGATATCTTCCTCAAGAAAGCAGTAACCTGCTGCCCTAGAATGGATGTTAAATAACACCCTGATTATAAGACATCGTCAGATATATATATATGGCCTGTCATGGATGTTTCTCCTGCAGCATCCTATGAGTGCAAGAAGTACATCTACCACTACAGCTCCATCCTGGTACAGAGCATCTTCAGTGGATTCCTGTCCATGGACGATACGACTGCCCTCTGCAGGTACAAACTTACATGACGAGTGTAAAGCCTTTGTTTGTTCAACGATGCTTTATTTCGGTATGTTGCCATATACGTACATAGTAAGAAGGTGAAATAAACAAAAGCATACTCAGCATACATGTACTGATAGTGATACATTATTGCTTCATAAAATATTTGTGCAAAGTTACGTTTACACTGAAATCTGAGAGACTGAGAATTTACCAAGTTTGATTACCAATCCATTTAATTTATAAAATAAACAATTCTACGTCACGTCATTTGCTTTGTGCACACAACCCAATTTCTAAAAATACAGGTAACTCCATGGCCTATGTGACTCTATATATGACCTTGACATTGTTTCAATAAACAACATATAATTGTGCATAAAAGTACATTAAACAAACAAATCATACTTTCACACATGCGATGTGTTAGAAAATCAATCTTTCTTTATGATATTAAACGCAAACATTTATGACACTTACTCTATGGGGCGTCAAAGGGACGCACAGTGAAAAACATGTGGGCTGCCTTGCAGCGCGAACTAAACGGGAAATGAGCTCAGTCTAAAAATATGGCTGATCAATTCACAATGCAAGAGAGATTACTCTAACGTAAATTATGCACCACTACAACGAGGGGAGATGACTCTCTTTGTGTATGAAGCTGCAAGCTCTTTCCCAGCGTGTGACACCCTCTCTGCGTACATCGCTGCCACCAGTGTGCATGGTTCCATTACAAGAATCTTGAAATTTCCCCCTCTTGCCCAAAAAAGAACGACAATATATTTTTGAATGGAATTATTGTGAATTGAGGACCAATCAAAACAATTTATCTAGGGAAAGAGACAGTCAACATTTGTTTGTAAATGTTTAAGTTTAAGTCAATGAATGGATGTGGCCACTTAACACTGTAGGGAGCTGTGGCTGGTGGCAGTGATAGTATAGAGAGCTCTGTGAACTGGCAAACACTGTGGGGAGCTGTGGCTGGTGGCAGTGATAGTATAGAGAGCTCTGTGAACTGGCAAACACTGTGGGGAGCTGTGACTGGTGGCAGTGATAGTATAGAGAGCTCTGTGAACTGGCAAACACTGTGGGGAGCTGTGACTGGTGGCAGTGATAGTATAGAGAGCTCTGTGAACTGGCACACACTGTGGGGAGCTGTGGCTGGTGGCAGTGATAGTATTGAGAGCTCTGTCAACTCCTCCATTGACCCCTGAAGATCCGGGGTAGAACCCATGCTTGCCGTAAAAGACGACAAAGCTTGTCGTAAGAGTCAACTAACGGGATCGGGTGGCGACAAAGCTTGTCGTAAGAGTCACCTAACGGGATCGGGTGGTCAGGCTCACTGACTTGGTTGATGCATGTCATCGATCCCAATTGTTTGGATTGATGCTCATGATATCAATCACTGGATTGTCTGATCCAGACTTAAATTTTTACACACTGCCATCATATAGCTGGAATATTGCTGAGTGCGGCGTTAAACAACAAACAAACAAACAAAAAAACAAACTCCTCCATCCTCAGCAGGATGTAACTGAAAACTAGCATGAAACCAAACTCACTATCTGGTTTTTCCAACTGTTTCAGAGCTGCCTCCATGATGGAAAGGGCCAACCACACCTTGGTGATGGCGTCCTGCTCAGCAGGTTTCCGACAACAGATGCAGTTTGCCAGCCGCCTCCTCACATCCACCGTCTCGGGGGTGTGCAAGAAGCCCAGGGTCTGCAACCTCATGCGTGCTCGTCACTGCGTCTCAAAGCTCAGCATCACTGTGTCCCACTATGGCCTCAACACCACCCAGGAAGATGTCTGCATGTACGTGAGGCCTGTGTGTCTGTCTTATAACACAACACCCCCTGAAGATCTGTGTCTATCTTATAACACAACACCCCCTGAAGATCTGTGTCTATCTTATAACACAACACCCCCTGGGAAGATCTGTGTCTATCTTATAACACAACACCCCCTGGGAAGATCTGTTTCTATCTTATAACACAACACCCCCTGAGAAGATCTGTGTCTATCTTATAACACAAAAACCCCTATAACACAACACCCATCGAAGATCTGTGTCTATCTTATAACACAAAACCCCTTGAAGATCTGTGTCTATCTTATAATTTAAATGGAGGCATGGGGGTTGCCCAGCCATCTAAGGACTTCTCTCTGGGTGACAGGCATACCAGAAACAGATCATATGATTGTGGGTTCAAATCCCGGTTCGACACAATTATGTTTCTAGGTTTGTCAGCACCATACCCATTCTCGTGGGTTTCACGGAGGTGGTAAACATCTAAGTTATACATCACTTCGGGCTTTCCTCCAACATTAAACTGACACACCATGAAATAACTGGAATACTGTTGAAGGCGGTATTAAACCCAACACACTCACTCACTACAAGAGAACAAATGTCTCTTTGAACAGAAACAATCTTCTTCAGCTTCTTGTATTATTAAGTAGTTGATTGATTAATAAAATTATTAAATAAAAAAATAATGGCATAAGAAAATTGAATAAGTGAAAGACTGAATTGTTTCCACTCAATGTGAACAGCGCCCTGCGTTCCACGGACAAGTGCATCGAGTACAACACCTTCCGCTGCATGGACGTCATGGAGGACTCCTTCAAGGCACGCTACACTCTGGAGCGGAGTGTCGCTCTGGACATCTGTGGGGGAGTGGACGAGAGTGCATTCATACCTCGATGCAAGGTGGGTTCCTTTGCTAAATTATACAGTTCATTATTTCTAGATTCAAGGCAGGTTGGTTTGTCTAATTAAGTAGTGTATGATTTCTGGATTCATAGATGGTTTATCTGAATAAGTAGTGTATGATTTCTGGATTCATAGATGGTTTATCTGAATAAGTAGTGTACGATTTCTGGATTCAAGGTGGTTTTATCTGAATAAGTAGTGTACGATTTCTGGATTCAAGGTGGTTTTATCTGAATAAGTAGTGTATAATTTCTGGATTCAAGGTGGGTTTATCTGAATAAGTAGTGTACGATTTCTGGATTCAAGGTGGGTTTATCTGAATAAGTAGTGTACGATTTCTGGATTCAAGGTGGATTTATCTGAATAAGTAGTGTATGATTTCTGGATTCAAGGTGGGTTTATCTGAATAAGTAGTGTATGATTTCTGGATTCAAGGTGGTTTTATCTGAATAAGTAGTGTATGATTTCTGGATTCATAGATGGTTTATCTGAATAAGTAGGGTATGATTTCTGGATTCAAGGTGGGTTTATCAAAATATGCAGTGTATAATTTCTGGATTCATGGTGGGTTTATCTAAATAAGTAGTGTACGATTTCTGGATTCATAGATGGTTTATCTGAATAAGTAGTGTATGATTTCTGGATTCATGGTGGGTTTATCTGAATAAGTAGTGTACGATTTCTGGATTCATGGATGGTTCCTATGTACAGATCTTCAGATTTGGAAAAATTACCCATGTGAAACACATAAAGAAGTACTTGAACTGTTTATGAAAATTTCTTAAAATATTTCAATATCTCTGTTACTGTAAAATTATTTTACGAGAGGTGTAGAGACATATAACTACAAGTTATTGCAGGATATTACAGCGATGGCCCACCTCCCTGAGGAAGGTGGGCTATGTTGAAAGAATGACAAAGACGCAACAGTGGATTTAATGGCCGAGGGTGTGGAGGTTCTAAAGGGCTACCCCAATTTAGAAATGGAATAAATAGTATTTATGTGGCGACTTGAGTCGCCAAACATATTTGTTAATATATAATTAATGGTAAGGCCCAAATGGCGGAAACGTCACAACCCGACCACAGCTGCGGGTCTAAATGGGAGCGAACGCCGCCAGGCCAAATTTAATTGTTAATATATACTTAATGCTACGGCCCAAATGACGGAAACGACGCAACCCGACCACAGCTGCGGGTCTAAATGGGAGCGAACGCCGCCAGGCCAAATTTAATTGTTAATATATACTTAATGCTACGGCCCAAATGACGGAAACGACGCAACCCGACCAACGCTGCGGGTCTAAATGGGAGCGAACGCCGCCAGGCCCAGCTATGTGGCAACTTGCGTTGCCAAATATAATTGTTACTAGATTCCCGAGTGAAAACCCGGGAAAGACTGGGTTCCAACTGGTAAGAAGGTAACCCAGTCTGGGTTCCCGCTGGAAAGCAGGTAACCGGAAACCCTAATTAGTATATATATCAATATAAATTATGATGATATAGGAGGTAGCCCAGAAGAACCACGCCACTCCACGACTTGTTTTATTCACATTGTCAAGATATGTACAATCTTAGAGAGATATATAATTAGATATGTACAATTTGTTGTGCCTGGTACCTGTCATAGACAATAAAATTGATGTACAATGGAAATGAGATAGATGGAGGCAAACAGGGCGGGCGGGTGGGAAAGCGGAGAGTGACAATGTGATGTACCACGGATTGACAGCTGAGTGAAAGTGAAGAGTAGAGACGGTTACGTAATGAAAAACCCAGTGATTACGTCACCACGAGATGGTTACGTAACTTCCGAGGACACGCGCGTGCGATGACGTAGCAGGAAGTAAGTAAAATTGTAAACATAAGATGATATACCTGCAATAAAAACATTTAGTCGCTAGTACTAAATGTAAATATATTTGGATGGCTAATTCTCCTCTCACCGCCATAAAGCTAACCAACGCTCTTGTAATATTGTTGGTTTGTTTGCCACCGCACTCAGCAATATTCCAGCTATATGATGGCGGTCTGTAAATAATCGAGTCTGGGACAGACAATTCAGTGATTGACATCATGAGCATCGATCCACGCAATTGGGATACGATGACATGCATCAATCGAGTCAGCGAGCCTGACCACCCGATCCTGTTAGTCGCCTCTTACAACAAGCATGGACACCTTTTACGGCAAGCATGGGTTCTGAAGACCTATTCTACCCCTGATCTTCATGGGTCTCTTGTAATATTGCCTGGAGGGAATGGCCTGATTAACTCTGCTGGTGAACTCTCCTGGTGATTAGTTAATTGTTACAAATCAGTTGTCATGTGTTTGAGGTGGCATGCGTTCCTGAGTTATCTACACAACCGTTAGGATATTGCGACTGTAAGGTCAACTATGTCAATCTACTGACAGGTGAAGAGCATGGAGTACGCTGATAAATGTTCCCCGAGAAAAGCGGAGAGATGTCTCAGGAAGTTTGTACGAAACGTTGTCACCTGGCCAATACTGAGACGAGGAAGACAATGCTCGTAAGTGTACCTACCCACTAAATGGTGTGACCCTGTTTCTGTATGTCCACACTATTGAGTGTTTTTAAGTGGTCACATAGGGACCGACCATTTGATAAAAGTTACTTCGTTGCAAGGTGTGTTTCTTAAAAAAATATTCAGGCTCATCCTATCAAAATTTTTGGCTTCAAAGATGGGCCTATGACCCCAGTTTTATGAGTTATGAATTTGCCATAATAACCACCCTGGTACTTGGAAAGTTGACAAAGGGCTGTGCTTATCAAAACCATAAATGACGAGTTTATTTTTTTAGATTGAGCGGTAGTGATCACTCAAAAGTCAATGAAATCTCTTTGATAATAGTTACTAGGCAACTATTAATAATGTAAAAAATGTGTGATATGCACAAAAATATATGGACTGTCATGTATTTTTTTCAGTTGAATATGGGGGCACTTATAAACATTGCTCATAAATTGGTGTAGAAGTTGTTCAGGGGTGCTTATTGGAGATAGAGCTTAAAAAGGCCTCTCAGGAGGTAACTCTAATTAGGTACTATTCCTTGTCAGATACCAAGTACGTGTTTGTAGGGAGTTCAACTGGGCCCAACACTGCCTCTAGAAGGGAGGTTACTCTAATTAAATATAATACCTTGTCTGATACAAAGTTTGTGTTTGTAGGGAGTTCACCCAAGCCCGACACTGCCTCTAGAAGGGAGGTTACTCTAATTAAATATAATACCTTGTCAGATACCAAGTACGTGTTTGTAGGGAGTTCAACTGGGCCCAACACTGCCTCTAGAAGGGAGGTTACTCTAATTAAATATAATACCTTGTCTGATACAAAGTTTGTGTTTGTAGGGAGTTCACCCAAGCCCGACACTGCCTCCTGAAAACTGCCCAGAGCTGTGTGGAGCGAGGAGACCAACTCTCCTTCAACGGCTACCTCAACAAGATGACAGCATTCTTTGGTGAACGTACCTGCAATGTTGCTGAGTACGAACAAGAGTGTTTTGAAGGTTGTGAGGTACAGGAGGCAGAGGAGTGCATCTCAAACCTGCACGTGCAGTTGAAGTCTGCGAACATGCTCGATGGATCTGCAGCTTGTGTGTAAGTAAACTGGTTCAAGGCCTTCATGGTTTGCGCAGTGAACTTAGCACTTGCAGCCAACAGACGGTGGCCAAAATTTATGGTACAGTTTCAGATGTGTTCATTACGAATGTAAATTTTTCAGTGCTACAACTCATAACAACAGCTCAGCTGACTCAATTTTTATGGTGTCTATCAAGGGTTCAGTGGATTGACTTGGGACTTTGGGTAGCCAATGTTAAGTGTTTGCTCTTTGCTCTGAATGCCAGGGGTATTTATGGCCATTCTCAGTCATTTTCTCCTCCCATACTAAGCTGACACACCGTGATATAATGGGAATACTACTCAAAATGGCGCTAAACCCCACCCACTCACTCAAGTGATGCAGGTCTCATATGCTTACCACTTTGGTGAAACCCACAAGCAAGGGTATGGTGCTGACAAACTTAGAAACATAATCGGGGCGAACCAGGAATCAAACCCATGATTATAGGTTTCTGACATGCCCAAGGGATGCAATCTGCATGGCAAATCACATCTTCCCGAGGCAAGTGAGTTAAATGACTATAAAAGTCCAGTTTCCACCCATGCCGAACTAGGCTGGTATTATGGAGTTACATTTTGGCTGGGCTAACGAGTCTATGCATAGTCCAATCAAAATCGTGCACCGAAATCGAAATCCGGTTTGTAAAATGTCGTGCAGATTCCTGTCGATTGCAGGACTTGCAAAGCATGTGCACCGCCTACTCGTTGTCAACAGATATTTTCTGAATCTTTTCATGTGATTTGATGCACTTCGATATGTAAGACCCGTTTTATCACAATATAGATCTTGATTATCAATTAGATCGTTTTGACTGGGCGCCACCATTTTGTTTGAAACAAATGCAAGTGATATGAGAGGTGGAATCTGATTGGTCCATAGGATAGGCTTAGAAGGAACATAACTCGTAATAACCACTGGTGGCGCTACGGTCGAGCCCAGGAATTCCACCCTAGTTCGGCAAGGGTGGAAACTGGACTTTTAAAGTCAGTTAACTCCCTTGCCTCGGGAAGATGGGCAAATCACAACACATTAGACAATAATTCCACCCGTTCCACCAATGTAGAATGAAATTTGGTACATGTGAAGCTAGTAGTAGGACTCCTTTTTAGCAATATTTAATTTATTTTCTTCGATTTGGATCCACCTGACACAAACCTTCTACTCTTTGTCCTATGTTGAATATGTTATTGCTCAGCTTTGCTTACAGTGTCATTACTCTGTGTTCCATGGTACCAGGGCCATCTCTGATGCCAGGATGTGCCTAACATCCAAGATGTCGCGGTGCCCAAAGTCACTGCAACTCCGTCTGCAAGGGAAACTGGACACCGTCCTTCGTGTCGCCAACCTCCACAATGTGGACTGCATCAACGTGTATAGATGTATATCTGACTTTGAGGGCTTGGCAGCAAAGATTTTTGGATTTTCCAAAAATGAACCAGAACATGACAGCAAAGAAGGTGGAAAATCAAGTAAAGAATCTGGACCATCTAGCAAGGAAAGCGGAAAGAACAGCAAGGAAAGCGGGAAAAATAGCAAGGAAAGCGGAAAAAATAGCAAGGAAAGTGGGAAAAATAGCAAGGAAAGCGGGAAAAATAGCAAGGAAAGCGGAAAGAATAGCAAGGAAAGCGGGAAGAATAGCAAGGAAAGTGGAAAGGAAAGTGGAAAGAATAGCAAGGAAAGCGGAAAGAATAGCAAGGAAAGTGGAAAGGAAAGTGGAAAGAATAGCAAGGAAAGCGGACAGAATAGCAAGGAAAGCGGAAAGAATAGCAAGGAAAGTGGAAAGAATAGCAAGGAAAGCGGAAAGAATAGCAAGGAAAGTGGAAATAATAGCAAGGAAAGCGGAAAGAATAGCAAGGAAAGTGGAAAGAATAGCAAGGAAAGTGGACAGAATAGCAAGGAAAGCGGAAAGAATAGCAAGGAAAGCGGAAAGAATAGCAAGGAAAGTGGAAAGAATAGCAAGGAAAGTGGACAGAATAGCAAGGAAAGCGGAAAGAATAGCAAGGAAAGCGGAAAGAATAGCAAGGAAAGTGGAAAGAATAGCAAGGAAAGCGGAAAGAATAGCAAGGAAACCGGAAAGTCAAGCAAAGAAGCTGGAAAAGGCAGTCATGAACATAGCAAACCGGACATTGACCTTGACCTTTCATCTTTGTGCCTGAAAGCTCGTGAAGCATGGGAATGTGTGAAGACAGGCCTACATCTGGTACCCAGCAAACACCGCCATCTTTTCAAGACCACACTGCAGGGGATATGGAACATTGTTGAACACCGCTGTGCCAATACAGGTAGGTAGAGAAATATATACCCTGTGATGTCAGTAGGAAGAGAAATATATACACTGTCATGCCAGTAGGTAGAGAAATATATACCCTGTGATGTCAGTAGGAAGAGAAATATATACACTGTCATGCCAGTAGGTAGAGAAATATATACCCTGTGATGTCAGTAGGAAGAGAAATATATACACTGTCATGCCAGTAGGTAGAGAAATATATACCCTGTGATGTCAGTAGGTAGAGAAATATACACACTGTAAAGCAGTAGGTGGAGAAATATACTCACACGCAAAAGAAGTCGGGTATGCAGTATACATGTTATTTATTTTCAACAGTAAAGACAAGAAATACTAATAGGGCAAGATTGAAAAATATTTGACTGAAGACAGTTTAATGGATTAAATGGAAGATGACATAATTGTTTTTTTCAAATGTTAAGGGCTTAAAGAGTTTCGGGTCAATACCCAAAATGTCAGTCAGTACCTTGTGTTACCACCATTAGCATTGATCACTGCCACGCATCTCCTGTACATTGAGTGGATTAGACGATTTGTGAAGGTCCTAGGGATCCTCCTGCACACATCCAGAGCAGCTGTGCGTAGTTCATCGGCAGTTGTAGGGACTGGGCGCACATTGTGCAGACGCCTTTGAACCTCATCCCACAAGTGTTCGATGGGGTTCAGATCAGGGCTGAGGGCTGGCTACGGTAGAACAAGGATGTTGTGTTGTTGCAAAAAGGCCATGGTAGCTCTGGCAACATGGGGACAAGCGTTGTCCTGCTGGAAAATGTGTTGTTGATGTGCAAAAAATGGAACAACGTGGGGTCTGATCACTTGGTCGATATACCGGTGAGCAGTGACGCTGTGTCCCCGGCCTTGACCAACATTCAGAAAGCACATGGGTCCAAGTCTTGCATTCTGTCCAATCCCTGCCCATATCATGATGCTAGGTCCACCCCATGGATCCCTTTCCAAAACATTTCTGTTAGCGAAACGAACACCTCGACGCCACCAAATTCTGACTCTTCCGTCTGCATGGGAGACACAAAAGCGACTTTCATCAGAGAAGATGATACGCCTCCACGCCTGATGACGCCATTTGCAATGACCCTATGCCCACTGAAGTCGTGCTTGTCGGTGCCGTGGTTGGAGAACAGGACAACGTGCTGGTTGGCGACATCTGAGGTTGTTGGAACGGAGATGTCGGATCACAGTGTCCCGGCTAATGAGTCGATTATGTGTTCCTATGGTCTGTCGAGCAATTTCACTTGCAGTTAGGAATGGATGTCGCTGGTGTTGACGGGTTATCTGCCAATCTTGTCGAGGTGTGGTGGCCCTAGGACGACCGCTCCAAGAAAGGTCCTCGGTGGTCTGGGTAGCATTGTATCGATGCAGGTGACGGTAAATTGTGGTTATGTTAACGTTGAAATGACGGCAACATCTTGGACAGACTCTCCAGCTTCCAAACGTTCAATAACCTAGTTTCTCTGAATTTGAGTTAGGCGTGGCATTGTCGACCAAGGAGTGGTAGGTCCAAGAATCGGCCACAGTGTTATACCCACAACAGTTCGTGACAGTTTGTGCATTTTCGATTTCGCAAGAAATAGCTGCATGATACCCACATATTCATTGAAATGGTGTGTTTTGGTGATTCATTTTTTATGTTGCGTTTTTACTCGGGGCTTCCAAAATGCAACCAAAAATATTCATAACACCATCAGGCTTCACTACATGCTAAAACTCTTATCAATTTATGGTTCCGTGTTTGTTACCTATTTGCTTAAAACCACTTGCGTTTCTTTTGCGTGTGAGTATATAAACCCTGTAATGTCAGTTGAAAGATAAATATATACACTGTCATGCCAGTAGGTAGAGAAATATATACACCGTCATGCCAGGAGGTAAGGAAATATATACACTGTCATATACGTAGGTAGAGAAATATATAATCTGTGATGTCAGTAGATAGAGAAATATACACACCTTCAAGCAGTAGGTATGGAAATATATACCCTGTGATGTCAGTAGTAAGAGAAATTTATACACCGTCATGCCAGTGAAATGTATACACCGTCATGCCAGTAGGTAAAGAAATATATGAATCTTATTTGATAGAAAAAATGGGCCAGCCATAAGGAAAGCGGCAGTCACCCTCTTTTGTGGATATGTACAGTGGTCCCTCACTACAACGCTACCAATGGGGTCCAAATAATTGTAATTGTAATATTGTTGAGGATCTAAAAAAGTCAGTTGAAGGACAATACAGGCATACCAAATAGAAATATGATATCGTCAGGTGTCTATTTTTGCACTCTAATTTGATATAAATTTGGGACCCTCCCTTCATCTCATGGACCACAGATGATGCCTTGTTTATTGAATTCTGTATTCATTCTGTTTGTAGAGATCCTGATCCCGCATCTCACCCCGCGTTATTAGTGTACTTCTGTGGTTACTTTGCCACTACGCATACTACCAATGGGGGATGGTTCACGCGACAATACATCACCATCTGACCCTGCGTAACCGCGCACACAGTTATCAGTGTACTGTTGAGGTTACTTTGCCACTACGCATACTACCAATGGGGGATGGTTCACGCGACAAAACATCACCATCTGACCCTGCGTAACCGCGCACACAGTTATCAGTGAAATGCTGTGGTTACTTTGCCACTACGCATACTACCAATGGGGGATGGTTCACGCGACAATACATCACCATCTGACCCTAGAACCGCGGACACAGTTATCAGCGCACTGCTGTGGTTACTTTGCCACTACGCATACTACCAATGGGGGATGGTTCACGCGACAATACATCACCATCTGACCCTGCGTAACCGCGGACACAGTTATCAGTGTACTTCTGTGGTTACTTTGCCACTACGCATACTACCAATGGGGGATGGTTCACGCGACAATACATCACCATCTGACCCTGCGTAACCGCGGACACAGTTATCAGTGTACTACTGTGGTTACTTTGCCACTACGCATACTACCAATGGGGGATGGTTCACGTGACAATACATCACCATCTGTTGGCTGTGAGCTGAAGGGCATCGTCTTTGATCATGGGTCAAACAATGATAGAATTGTGCATAGAAATATTCTGACTAAATGTTTATCAATGTCAACTTGTTTTTGCCACCAGTCCGACAGAGTTGCTACAGCTGCGATGGAGCACTGACTGATGAGGAATGTAACACCAAAACCATGCGATGTGGCCACCAGGAACAGGTAGGAACTTGCACAGGAGTGGCTGGTCTGGATGTAAACTCATTCCTGATTGGCTGGTCTGGATGTAAACTAATTCCTGATTGGCTGGTCTGGATGTTAACTAAGTCCGGATTGGCTGTTCTGGATGTTAAATAATTCCTGATTGACTGGTCTTGATGTAAGCTACTGGTAATTCTTGATTGGCTGATCTAGATGGACACAAATTCGTGATTAGCTGGTCTGGATGTAAACTCATTCCTGATTGGCTGGTCTGGATGTAAACTAATATATGTGATATCGATTGACTGGTCTGGATGTAAGCAAATTCCTGATTGGCTGGTGTGGATGTAAACTAATTCCTGATTGGCTGGTGTGGATGTAAACAATTTCTTAACAGCAGGTTTGGATGTAAACTAGTTCTTCATTGGCTGGTCTGAATGTACCCGGTAAACTAATCTGTGATAGGATGTTCTTATTGACTGGTCTGGATGTAAGCTACCGAAAATTCTTGATTGGCTGTTATGGATGTAAACTTATCTGTGATTTGCTGGTCTGGATGTAAACTATTTCCGGATTGGCGGTTCTGGATGTAAGCTAATCTGTGATTGGCTGGACTTGATGTAAATAATTCTTGATTGGCTAGTCTGAATTATGTTGCCCAGTGATGGTAATTCGTTTTTGTGACCAATGAAACCATGGAAGGAGAAGAAATCGTGGCTTTGTGTAATATGTGTGATCTGTTGCACAGATGTGTGAGAGTATCTTGAAGCGGGATTCTGACAACAAACTCCGCTTCTACAAGTCCTGTGTGCGGCCATCTTTCTGTACAATGACGTGTAAAGGCAAGGGAGACGACTGTCGCAGCTTCTGCTGTGTCGGGGACCTCTGCAACAAAAAGTACAACGTTGAGAGTCCCGTCGGTTTGTACTTTCAAATGTTCCAAATTACCAACACACAACTTAATAAATTTATTATAGAAGGAATGGATCAAGGAAACTATCTGAATATTTTGTTTCATATTTTGTATGACATGGTTAAATGGAAAATATCTGGGTATTTTTTTGTTTTTTGGTTGTGACATTATGGGCTGAAAGGAAACTTACTGAATATTTTGTTTCATATTTTGTATGACAAGGGTTAAAAGGAAAATATCTTGATATTTTGTTTCATATTTTGTATGACATGGTTAAATGGAAAATATCTGGATATTCTTTTGTTTTTAGGTTGTGACATTATGGGCTGAAAGGAAACTATCTGAATATTTTGTTTCATATTTTGTTTCATATTTTGTATGACATGGTTAAATGGAAAATATCTGGATATTCTTTTGTTTTTTTGTTGTTGTGACATTATGGGCTGAAAGGAAAATATCTGAATATTTTGTTTCATATTTTGTATGACAAAGGATACACATTGTCATTGAAATGTTTAACTTGTTTTACAATTGCAAGTGATTATTCTATGCGTTTTTTCGGTTGTATGTTTTGTTGCACATTACTGAAAACAATCCCCATGCTTAGCAGACAGGACAATAAGTAAATCTAATTCACCCCCATGTTTAGCTCACCTGACTGAAAGGGAAGTACTGTTCCTGTTTGCGATATATTTAGGTTTTGACAATGCTCTTTCAATTCTCTCAAAATGCTCTGAGAGAGCTCAACTTCACCATCACTGTTTCTCCTTATGCCAACATCATATTTTGTACAAATTATTGGAGTTTTGTATGTATGCAGAAAATATTTTCGAGTATCAGTGCTGACAGCTACTTTTGTTCAGTGGCTGTCATTGTTGACATTCTAGACTGTTGTCTACATATCCAGGTGAGCTACAGTGCTGGGACACTAGTTTTAATGATTGGAGGTTTTTGCTGTCGTCTGCAGATCAGTCAATAAAATTGAAAGTGTGGCCCTAGACCTGATAGAATCAGAAACTTATTGGTGCAAGTAAAATGTACAATATCATTTTCCAAAATGCATTTTGTGAAATTATGATATCAAATCCATACTTACGAGTAGTTACATGTAGCCTTTACAAAATTGACCTCTTACTTTTTATCATGCTCAGTGAAGCTGGTAACAAGGAGGCTTGACATGAAGAACATGGTTGGCTTTGATGATAAAATATGCTACAGTCAAACACCTCTGTGTCAAACTTTGATATGTCAAACTTACGAAATCTCATCTCGAAGTAAAAGCTTGGACCCAATTTATTCATCATTTTCGGTTGTGTCAAAGTATTTAAGCAGTTCCCTTCGACACAACACTGTTCGACACAACACTGTTTGACTGTATCTTCTTGTTAAATGCTTACAGAGCCACTGACGTGCCGTGTCGATAGATCTGTGTCATGTGCCCTCAGCCTCGTCAGGAACATCGTCAACTATGGGGAAGTCAAGTGCAGGTACATAGTTTAAACAAAATGATCTGTAATTTGTTTGTTTATTTTCATGCTTGAATCTTCTGTAGATAACTTAGATTTGTTGGCAGAAAATAGTTTTTATTTACATGTGCCTGCTGTATGCAATGAAGAATAAGACTTTCGAAAAAATATTACATTTGTCTGTATTTTGTTTCTTGTTTTAATTTATTATGTTTATTCATTGAATCTGATACGTAAAATAGGGGTGGCCAGGTAGCCTAGTGGTTAAAGCGTTCGCTCGTCACGCTGAAGACCCGGGTTCGATTCCCGACATGTCTACATTGTGTGAAGCCCATTTCTGGTGTCCCTGGCCTTGATTTTGCTGAAATATTGCTAAAAGCGGCGTAAAACCATACTCACTCACTCACTCACTCACTCACTCACTCACATAAATATATTTTTTAGTTCAAGTCGACGTGACCTTGAGTGTATGGGGAAGAACACCCGCGAGTGTCGCACACCAACGTTCGTGAGCCTCAGTACAACGGCGTTCTCTGTCTTGTCCTCGATCGCCGAGTCGACCTGCCTGGTCGAGGTCACATCCTCGTCATGTGGCTCAAAGGCCATTCTGTCCACATACGCCATCTTGAAGTCTGGGTTTGCAACGCTCGATAATAAGATCTGCAGGTAAGTGAAGGTTAAGCTTACTCTGAAACTTTATTTTTAATAATTAACCTAAGATTATAAAAATTTCCTGTGATCTTTATAAATTTAGACTTCATTTTTGCCCCAAAAAATCAGATTAAATTCAGATTAAATTAAAGACACGGTTTTTCATTCACAAGACAATTTTTCTGTTATTTGATTGTTGGAAAGAAGAAGCCTCTAAACCACCCCTGCGACTGGCACTTGGCCCAAGCGTTAAGAAAGTTATCAATGGGGGGACACTTAATAAAACAATGCACAATGAGTTAAATTTCATTCAGAGATTGAGCAGTTCTGAAATTTTTTAATTCAAACATCGATGAACATTGTTTTCTGATAATAATTATAAGGCAATTGTAAAACCCTGCTACTATGTTCAACACTGTATTCTCCCATGGTGTGTTCACCTGTCCAACACTCTATTCTCCCATGGTGTGTTCACCTGTCCAACACCCAATCTCCCATGGTGTGTTCACCTGTCCAACACTCTATTCTCCCATGGTGTGTTCACCTGTCCAACACTGTATTCTCCCATGGTGTGTTCACCTGTCCAATGCTCTATTCTCCAATGGTGTGTTCACCTGTCCAACACTCTATTCTCCAATGGGGTGTTCTCCTGTCTAACACTCTATTCTCCCATGGGGTGTTCTCCTGTCTAACACTCTATTCTCCCATGGGGTGTTCTCCTGTCTAACACTCTATTCTCCCATGGGGTGTTCTCCTGTCTAACACTCTATTCTCCCATGGGGTGTTCTCCTGTCTAACACTGTATTCTCCCATGGGGTGTTCTCCTGTCTAACACTCTATTCTCCCATGGGGTGTTCTCCTGTCTAACACTGTATTCTCCCATGGTGTGTTCACCTGTCCAACACTGTATTCTCCCATGGGGTGTTCTCTTGTCTAACACTGTATTCTCCCATGGTGTGTTCACCTGTCCAACACTGTATTCTCCCATGGGGTGTTCTCCTGTCTAACACTCGATATTCTCTTTTCCCAGGGGTGTGAATGAAACAATCCAGAGTCTTCAAAGAATTGAGGACAAGGGAGTGTGCACTTTGTCCGAGCTAATCCCAGTACGACAGTCGCTCAACCTCATCAAACACCAGACTGCTGGATTCTGTGGAAGGGCACCCACATCTGTCACATCGTGTCAGCGAACCTCGAGGGAAGTCTCCGGATCAAGAACCGGGAAATGTGGTGGCCAGTTTTTGAGCACTGCCTATTGTGTTGCCCAGGCCATCAGGAAGTTCAACAGTGATGGGGCCACATTCTGTAGGTAGGTTTAGCCTTTGTCAATGCGTCATGGACTGTGGGGTAGGCTGGTAGTTAAAGTATATGCTTTGCACACAAGATAGGTAGGTTTTAGCCTTTGTCAATGTGTCATGGACTGTGGGATAGGCTGGTAGTTAAAGTATATGCTTGGCACACGAGATAGGAAGGTTTTAGCCATTGTCAATGTGTCATGGACTGGGGGGTAGGCTGGTAGTTAAAGTATATGCTTGGCACACGAGATAGGTAGGTTTTAGCCTTTGTCAATGTGTCATGGACTGTGGGATAGGCTGGTAGTTAAAGTATATGCTTGGCACACAAGATGGGTAGGTTTTAGCCTTTGTCAATGTGTCATGGACTGTGGGGTAGGCTGGTAGTTAAAGTATATGCTTGGCACAGGAGATAGGTAGGTTTTAGCCTTTGTCAATGTGTCATGGACTGTGGGGTAGGCTGGTAGTTAAAGTATATGCTTGGCACAGGAGATAGGTAGGTTTTAGCCTTTGTCAATGTGTCATGGACTGTGGGATAGGCTGGTAGTTAAAGTATATGCTTGGCACACGAGATAGGAAGGTTTTAGCCTTTGTCAATGTGTCATGGACTGTGGGGTAGGCTGTAGTTAAAGTATATGCTTGGCACACGAGATAGGTAGGTTTTAGCCATTGTCAATGTGTCATGGACTGTGGGGTAGGCTGGTAGTTAAAGTATATGCTTGGCACAGGAGATAGGTAGGTTTTAGCCTTTGTCAATGTGTCATGGACTGTGGGGTAGGCTGTAGTTAAAGTATATGCTTGGCACACGAGATAGGTAGGTTTTAGCCTTTGTCAATGTGTCATGGACTGTGGGGTAGGCTGCTAGTTAAAGTATATTGCTTGGCACACAAGATGGGAAGGTTTTAGCCTTTGTCAATGCGTAATGGACTGTTGGGTAGGCTGCTAGTTAAAGTATATTGCTTGGCACACAAGATGGGAAGGTTTTAGCCTTTGTCAATGTGTCATGGACTGTGGGGTAGGCTGTAGTTAAAGTATATGCTTGGCACACGAGATAGGTAGGTTTTAGCCTTTGTCAATGTGTCATGGACTGTGGGGTAGGCTGCTAGTTAAAGTATATTGCTTGGCACACAAGATGGGAAGGTTTTAGCCTTTGTCAATGCGTAATGGACTGTTGGGTAGGCTGCTAGTTAAAGTATATTGCTTGGCACACAAGATGGGAAGGTTTTAGCCTTTGTCAATGTGTCATGGACTGTGGGGTAGGCTGTAGTTAAAGTATATGCTTGGCACACAAGATGGGAAGGTTTTAGCCTTTGTCAATGTGTCATGGACTGTGGGGTAGGCTGTAGTTAAAGTATATGCTTGGCACACGAGATAGGTAGGTTTTAGCCTTTGTCAATGTGTCATGGACTGTGGGGTAGGCTGTAGTTAAAGTATATGCTTGGCACACAAGATGGGAAGGTTTTAGCCTTTGTCAGTGTGTCATGGACTGTTGGGTAAGCTGGTAGTTAAAGATTTTGTTTGGCACACGGGAATGACTGAGAGATATGAGGAGACCGGGATTGCCATCACCTGGCTCAGTGGAAGAAATTGTGAGCACATTGCTGGTGTCCCCTGTCATGATATTGCCAGAATATTGATGAAAGCAGCCTAAAACCAAGCTCACTGTCTGTGAGAGGTCCTCGGTGAGATACCAGAGCAGAACACATCGTCCCAGCACCCCATGGTGTGGAATTGTTACAATGTGTGATCTGTTTTGTGTTGTTTTGGGGCTTTTGGGTAGCCTTGTGGTTAAAGTGTTCGATCATCACACCGGAGATCTTGGTTCAATGTGTGAAGCCCATTTCTGGTGTCTCTTGCCGTGATATTGCTGGAATATGGCTAAAAGCGGCTTAAAGCAATACTCAACAATATTTGGGTTGATTTCATAACAGACTTTTTGATCATTGAAAACATAGAGAAAGCAAAGTCTGAAATGTCTAATATTGGTTCCTGTTTCTGTGAAGAGATACTATTTTCATGACAACAGTAAATTATTGCTTATTTATTCTGTGTCATCAAAGGTTAGTCGTACCTTCAGTAAAATCCACAGCATTTCATGACTTCTCATGCTTATGGCTAATGTGGAGAATCATCAGAGGGGGAAGACACTGACATACCCTTAAAAGACACACCAACATTATTCCATTAACTATTACCACAGTGTATATACACTTGTAATTTATCACCATTGTCGTGACATTACGTACTTTAAGGTGGAATCAAAATGTTTAAAAATGATTTATTTCTTCCTTTCTGAATTATAAACTTCTGTGATCAAATTCTAAAAATCTCATTTTTATTTCCGTAATTATTTAGCAGACTTATTTCTGTGCTATATTTGTGAAATTTGGGGTCAGGAATATGCTGGTGTCCTGTAACTTATCCAGTGTGGATCAGACAATCCAGTGATTGATATCATCCATCCGTCGCTACGGACACGCTATGAACCAAGTCACCAAACCTTTCTACCTGATCCATTAAATCACATTTTACGACAAGCAAAGATTGCTGTGGACCTATAATAAACTAGAATCCCCACAGGGTTTCATGGGGTCAGTGGATCCACGTAATAAAAAAATGTCTTTATGCCAATATTTGACCCATTCCTGTCTCTTCCTGTCAGCGCCTTCCGGTCAACAGCCTCGTGTCTGGACCCGCTGAAGCACTGTGCTGTCCCAGCCAGCCTCCGCACCATGAACAACACCCTCTCCAGCCTTGTGAAGGCCATCTGTACATCTCCCGCTGGGACCTCGGACACCGCCTGCCCAGCGGAAGTGTGTCACCTGGCAGCTGCCCGTGCCTGCTATGCAACGACCGTTGTGACTAATGTCACGTCTGGTGGATCTATCTGCGAGAACCTCCGAGTCAGCCGTGGATGTGTCTCGTCCCAAACCTCTGGCTGCTTCTCCATCCAGGAGGTGACTGTTGTTCAGGATTACAAGGCCACGGTGACTCGACTTGGGGCAGGATGCCAGCTGGAGGAGCTGACCGTGAAGCAGGATATCTTCACTGACCTCTCCACCTGCCTTGTGACATACTCTAACGTGAGCACAGTTTCTGTATCTTGTTTCTATGCTGTTGTTAGTGAGTGTTGTGTGTTTGTGCGTACTGACTTTGTCTGTTGTAGAGTTGTAGAGACTGACTTCAGCTGTTGTAGAGACTGACTTCAGCTGTTGTAGAGACTGAAATTGTTGTAGAGTTGTAGAGATTGACTTCAGCTGTTGTAGAGACTGACTTTAGCTGTTGTAGAGACTGACTTCAGCTGTTGTAGAGACTGACTTCAGCTGTTGTAGAGACTGACTTCAGCTGTTGTAGAGACTGACTTCAGCTGTTATTCTGATCCTCTTGTGTGGTTGTAGGATCTGACGGCAGCGTTCACGAGCTCGGACATGTTAGGGGAGATGTGTGCTGCCCATGCCGCCTCCAAGACATGCACCAACAGCACCTCCCTGCCTCTCCTCTCCTCCAACTTCACCAAGTCCGCTGTGAAGACATTCAACATGGGATTCGGGGCGTACCTGGAAGACAAGTGCCGTTCTGATAGCAGTCAACCAGGTATTGACCCTGTCTGTATTCTGGGGAAGATTCAAGCCCACTAACCAATGCTTGTCTCAGGAATGGTTTGTTTTTTGGTTCAGCGCCGCACTCAGGAATATGCTGGTGTCCTGTAACTTATCCAGTGTGGATCAGACAATCCAGTGATTGATATCATCCATCCGTCGCTACGGACACGCTATGAACCAAGTCACCAAACCTTTCTACCTGATCCATTAAATCACATTTTACGACAAGCAAAGATTGCTGTGGACCTATAATAAACTAGAATCCCCACAGGGTTTCATGACAATCAGGTGGTTACTGTTGGTGGCCTGGTTGATTGTGTGTCCAGCCCTGTGGATCATGTCTCGTGCTGTCATCCTTTTATTTGCCAGCCCCAGGTTAGAAGACAAACTAGTCCTTGAAACTCTCTGAAATGAAGCCCTTTTAAATTTTTGAAAATCTTTGAAGAGTTTATGAACTTGCTCTGTACTCATATTTCCATACAGTGTATGTTTGCACCAAACTACCTGAATCAAGATTAAATAGAGGATATTATATTCGTATTCATGTCATACTACATTTACGACACGAGTGCTTAAATACTGCAATTTAAGCACAATTATCGTAAACATAGTATGACATGAACACCAATATCATGTTCTATTTAATACCGAGGAAGATGTACAGAGACACATTTTAGTGTTTACCTTTAAGGACAGCAAGTTGCAACAGCTACGGAACCACAGTTTGTTGAGCGACGTCAACAATCTTCAGCTATGACGTTGTTTCTAGTGTGATGTCATCCCGACCACTCATCACAATACGATTCGTATGACGTCAACAATGTCCGGATTACGGAAATAATACACTGTTGTCTCGCAACGTGATATGACCGCAGGACACATTTGATTTTTATGAACCCTGATGTGTTTGCCTTCCTGGGTAATGCATACAGTTCAGCAGAATGGCAAGCTGTTACCAAAGGACGTTCTTAACATTTAGTTACCTGTATGTCCTCTTTATCTGCAGCGTCATACCAAGAGACGTTAAAAGATGGTACATGTTGTTACCCTGTCTGGCGCTCAGCATTAAGGGGCTAAAACAAGGACTGGTCGGCTCGGAGTCAGTATACTGTGTCTGAGTGGGGTATTCATGTTAAACTGGGCATGGTATCTCAGTGAGCTAGCACTATAAATCGGCATCAGTCCTGACTAGTACAAGCAGCCACACACACACACATACACGTGCATGCACATCGCTATATAAGTGCAATAATCTTGGACGCGACATTAAACCCCATTTCACCTCACCTCACCTTTATCTGCAGCTGCCCGAAGACGGCGACAAACTAATCCCCCTAATGCCTGCAACCTGCAACTCGCACAAGAGTGTGCAAATTCTTATCTCCTGGCGTCCTGGACTCTCCCGACCACCGAACTGTCTGACAGATCAGGAACTTGTAGGTGAGTTCAGAACTCAGATCACATAGGTAGTTAGATGGTAATATGCTTGAAAAGTAGGCCATATTTCCATTTTAAAAAATAAACCTAACGGTTGAAACAAAAACTGTATTTTTTTGTCAGTAAGATCTATGCAATGGACTACTATCTAGTATATTTTGAGGACCAAACCCTGTATAATTTGAGTGCTGTATTCTGTGCTGAGGCCCATACCCTGCATACTGTAAATTTTGAAATTAACATGAGCCTGAATTAAATGCGAAAAATGTGAGTGGTCTTTGTTTGCATTAATGAAACTTCGCATTTATGTCTCCGAAATGACTGTCAACAATACAATGGCCTCACTGCACACTTTGGATAGCAGAAATACCAATTTGAATATCAACACAAACATGGTTTATTGAGCAGTAGTTGTTACAAGTATATAACAATGTCATTCAAAGAATAGGAATGACACAATAGGCATCCGGTGAGTTATTTATATATCTAGAGGCCCATGCCCTGTATATATCTTGAGGCCACTACCATGTATATCTTAGGCCCATACCCTGTATATCTTGAGGCCCATACCCTGAATATCTTAGGCCCATGCCCTGTTTATATCTTGAGGCCCATGCCCTGTATATATCTTGAGGCCACTACCATGTATATCTTGAGGCCACAACCATGTATATCTTGAGGCCACTACCCTGAATATATCTTTAGGCCCATACCCTGTATATATCTTGAGGCCCATACCCTGTATATATCATGAGGCCTATGCCTTGTATATATCTTGAGGCCCATACCCTGTATATATCTTGAGGCCTATGCCTTGTATATATCTTGAGGCCCATACCCTGTATAACTTGAGGCCTATATCCTGTATATCTTGAGGCTGATGCATTCTCAAACATTAACCTGCATATTTCTTGTTCAATCCAGGGAATTGGAGGCCAAGTATCAATGTGTGACCGAAAATGTAGACAACTGTGCGTCTAAGGCCATAATCCTGAGCATGATGTCCAGCGCCAAATCCACATTTGACGAGTTCTGTTACTCCCGCCAATACAAGGAGGATGGCTGTGACAATGAAATGGTGACCATGTCCCTGGAGGGAATGAATCAACTGACCACTTCCGCCCTCGTTTCCACGGAAGACGTGTGCAGGTAGGCGTTTGTTTGTTTTGTACAAGCATGTAATACAAAGTGTGGTCAGATATGAAATAGCTTCCTGCTTCACAAACACACTTACTTATTACATCAGGCCAAAATAATTGTACTTCGTGAGTAAATCAATGAAAACGACTTTACAGTAAACTATGGTTATAACGAACACGCTTATAACGAACTGACTGATAAAACAAACTTACTTTTTTGGTCCCAACTATTTGCTGTAGTTAAGCTGTATATATATGCTTATAACGATCTATGGTTATAACGAACTAAAATTAGTAGTCCCTTTGGGTTCGTTATAACCGTAGTTTACTGTATTTTGATATAAAGTTTACAAATGTTCTCTTCACAATATGGCTACAAAAATGCCAATATGGCCAATTTTAAATCGCCTGTACAAAGCCAAAACATTAGTGTGAGTGAGTGAGTGAGTGAGTGAGTGAGTGAGTGAGTTGGGTTTAACGCCTCACGTCAGCTTAATGTGGGAGGAAAGCCCGAATTGATGCAGGTCTCAGACCTTTGCCACTTCGGTGAAACCCATGAGCACGGGTATGATGCTGACAAACCTAGAAACATAATTGGGGCGAACCATGATTCGAACCCATAACCATTGGTTTCTGGTGTACCCTAGGGACACAACTCTGCATAGCTAATCACGGAGCCTTAGATGACTGCGAATATGTACAGAATATCGGCCTCTGAGCAGGCCAACATGAATTTCTGTATTCAGTCCAAGAACAGGTCTATTTCTGGGGTCACTTTTTGTCGTCCTTTAATCGGAGCATTAAAGTTTTGTTTTAAGCAAAGCTGTATTTCATAGTCTATTTACGTTAAACGTTTGCAATACAAGTTTGACAAATTTTACACTTTCAATAATGTTTTGTAGTCGTTTAGTCAGTAAACCCATCACGACCCTCCTGTCTCTACAAGCTGCCCTCACATTGTAATAACTGATGGGTAGGCTAGCGGCAAGATTGTTTTCTTCTCATGTCAAAGCCCTGGATTTGATTCCGCACTTGGGAAACCCATCACTGGTCGGCCCTGCTATGATATTGCTAGAATAATGCTAAGAGCTGCGTAAAACAATATTCGCGCACCATTACTTTTTCAGTAATACCAAGAATGCTCTAGGCTGGCTGAAGAAGTTCTCTAGCGGATGCCCAGATGCCACCATTCTTCCCAGCTACACAGCCTACTTCGGGGGTATTGTCGGCAACAGCTGCCCCCGCCTCACCGTGGAGCTCTTCTGTGGTGACTCCGCGCCCATAAACAGGTCATGTGACTTCAAGCGGGCAGAGACCTGTGTCAGCAACATTGACTTGTCCATAGATGCTGAAGCTGATACCGAAAATTTCTGCAGGTATGAATTGGATCTCTGCTGGTCTTAAATTACCCACTTGAGAAAAGGGTTTCATATAAAATATATATCTGGCCACTCGGGATAAAAATGAACAAATTTCTCATTTTATAAAGAAGCAATACAAGTAATCACCTTCGACCTTGACAATTGTTTTGTGGTAGTTCAATCAGGTGAGCTTACCTTGATCATCTTTATCATCTTTGCAACCTCGTCCCTGAAGAGAATTCTGAAACAAACGTCAAGTCCCGTTAATCCGACGTGATTGGTTGCAGATGATTATGTCAGATTAACAAGTGTATCAGATAAACGAAATTAATTAGTATCAACGTTCGTGATCTAAATCGGACAACTACGCGATAGATAACTATACAAACACGTAATAAAAAAATAAAAATATTCTTATTGTCTATGTTACATTGTTAGCGGAATATGTTTCTTAATCATGCAACCTCAACGCAAAACAACTGTTATGGACTGTATGACTTATTCAAAATACTTTAAAAAGCATAGTCTGGAATGGAAGTCGCAAGTTTGAAACTGGTGCCGCAAAGCTTAAGAAAGCTGCTTTCTAAGGGGCTAACATTGACTTCCTGTTAGTCATTTCATGTCGGATTAACGGTGAGGTGATGTGAAATGGGGTTTAACGTCGCTTCCAAGATTGTTGCACTTATGTAGCAACATGCATGCATGTGTGTGTGTGTGTGTAGCTGCTTGTATTAGTCCGGACTGATGCCGATTTATAGTGCTAGCTCACTGAGATACCATGCCGCAGTTTAACATGAATACCCCACTCAGACACAGTATACTGACTCCGAGCCAACCAGTCCTTGATTTTAGCCCCTTAATGCCGAGCGCCAGACAGGGTAACAACAAGTACAATCTTTTAACATCTTTTGTTATGACGCGGCCAAGGATCATACCCTGGACCTTCCGCTCTCCGGGCGGACGCTCTACCACAAGACTACAGAGGCGGTTGTCGGATTAACAAGACTTGACTATATCCAAATTCATACAGTTTCCCTGCAAACTGATATCAAGATTGTTTTTTTCTCCAGTGGCCTGCTGCAAAACGTGACCTGCACACGGAACAATCTGGATGGATGCTTGTCGTCACAGATTGCTAAGGTTTCTGTTGAAGCTGCAGTTAATCGTGACACCATTTTAGCCAAGTCATGTAACATCGATGCGGACTTGCTAGAATTTGGTGACGTGTGTACTGCTCGACCTGTGTGTTCCCTCTCCGGCGCCTACCGATGTCTGGAAGATCTTCTCATACAGAACTATGACTCCAACGATTGCACGTAAGTGGTAGTAGTGGGACAATCAACCGATGTATCGGTGGATCACGATTTTTATTTTACTTCTCGATACAAGTATCGATCACAACCGCACACAAAGTAAAAAGTATCGATTCTTACCTTAAATGTATTCTTCAATAAATGTTACACTAAACACTAATTACTAGTGAAAATGAGTAGAGAAAACGTAAATATTTTCATCCATTACACTATACTTGACACTGCCAACTGTAAATCGTTAGTGTGCCAGGTATTTGGCCATCCTGTCAAAGAAAAACATGGCTCACTCACCACAGAAAAGAGCTCATGGAAGTGTCATGATACGTATCGGATTGTGAGCAAGGTATCGCGATACGTATCGGATTGTGAGCAAGGTATCGTGATACGTATCAGATTGTGAGCAAGGTATCGTGATACGTATCGTATCGCACAGTTGGTGTATTGTCCTAGCCCTAGTAAGTGGATGAAGTGTTTTTTAAGCAATCTGAGGCCACATCTGGGATGGGTCCCAATGAGTTAGACTGACACAGATAGGAATTTAAACAAGTTTGTTTATATTTTTTTCGTGACTTTTGGCTTCGGTCAGTTAAATCTCAAATCAGAAAAATAAAAGGTTTTACCACACCTGTTCATAGCATCCGGACAGCAAAGAAGAACTGCATGGCAACACACCTCCAGGGATGCAACCACATCCAGATTTCCCTGGCAACGGCTCTGTATGAGGTCCTGCTGCCAACCACATCCACCTGCACTGCTGTCGTCCTGGCAACCAGCCCCTTCAGCACCTCCCTCAGCACATCTCAGCAGGTGAGCAGACAAGGTGGACATCAGATCCCTGTAATGTAGTCTATGTGCAGTGGTCCGTTGTGTCGTTCAAGCGATGTAATCAGGAGATACATATTTCGTTGTGTAAGATTTGCATGATGTTATGCTGAATGGATGTACGGAAATTTCATTTGAACACAACGTCGTAAGGTTCTGACGTGACCGATAATGGAATGTCCTCAGATTTTTGTTTAGCGGCAGTGAGAAATTAGGTCTGATTTTAATGAGATTGCAGCTCTAACTCCTGTGTACATGTCCCAGCAATCAGTGCCATACAGTGCCCACCCTACACTCAGAATGTTCCTCTGAGTCCAGTTGTATGGTGACACATGTACTTTCCATTTTGACTTCAGCAAGAGGTTACATGTATGACAGACATGCTGACCTCCCTCGACAAGTTCACCAGTGCGTCGACACTAGCACCGCGGCACCACCTATGCCAAATCTTCAGGACATATTCTCTTTGTCGTGTTGGAGGAAAAGATCTTACAATTGATGTTGTGGAGGAGTTTATTTCAGCCAACTGTTCTGATGGTAAGCTGCCTTATTTTGTGCCATCTCCTTGTATAATGTATCTCCTCGTGTAATGTATCTCCTCGTGTAATGTATCTCCTCGTATAATGTATCTCCTCGTATAATGTATCTCCTCGCATAATGTATCTCCTTGTGTAATGTATCTCCTCGTGTAATGTATCTTCTCGTGTAATGTATCTCCTCGTGTAATGTATCTCCTCATCTAATGTATCTCCTTGTGTAATGTATCTTCTTGTGTTATGTATCTCTTGGTATAATGTATCTCCTTGTGTAATGTATCTCCTCGTGTAATGTATCTTCTTGTGTAATGTATCTCCTCCTGTAATGTATCTCCTTGTGTAATGTATCTCCTTGTGTAATGTATCTCCTCGTATAATGTATCTCCATGTGTAATGTATCTCCTCGTGTAATGTATCTTCTTGTGTAATGTATCTCTTCATATAATGTATCTCCTTGTGTAATGTATCTCCTCGTGTAATGTATCTCCAAGTGTAATGTATCTCCTCGTCTAATGTATCTCCTCATATAATGTATCTCCTTGTGTAGTGTATCTCCTCGTGTAATGTATCTCCTCATGTAATGTATCTCTTCGTATAATGTATCTCCTCGTGTAATGTATCTCCTCATGTAATGTATCTCCACGTATAATGTATCTTCCTCGTGTAATGTATCTCTTCGTATAATGTATCTCCTCATGTAATGTATCTCCTCATGTAATGTATCTCCTCGTGTAATGTATCTCCTTGTGTAATGTATCTCCTCATGTAATGTATCTCCTCGTGTAATGTATCTCCACGTATAATGTATCTCCTCGTATAATGTATCTCCATGTGTAATGTATCTCCTTGTGTAATGTATCTCATCATATAATTTATCTCCTCGTATAATGTATCTCCTCGTATAATGTATCTCCTCGTGTAATGTATCTCCTTGTGTAATGTATCTCATCATATAATGTATCTCCTCGTGTAATGTATCTCCTCGTATAATGTATCTCGTATAATGCATCTCCACGTGTAATGCATCTCCACGTGTAATGTATCTCCTCGTGTAATGTATCTCCACGTATAATGTATCTTCCTCGTATAATGTATCTCCATGTGTAATGTATCTCCTTGTGTAATGTATCTCATCATATAATGTATCTCCTCGTGTAATGTATCTCCTAGTATAATGCATCTCGTATAATGCATCTCCACGTTTAATGCATCTCCACGTGTAATGTATCTCCTCGTGTAATGTATCTCCACGTATAATGTATCTTCCTCGTATAATGTATCTCCATGTGTAATGTATCTCCTTGTGTAATGTATCTCCATGTGTAATGTATCTCCTTGTGTAATGTATCTCATCATATAATGTATCTCCTCGTGAAATGTATCTCCTCGTATAATGTATCTCGTATAATGCATCTCCACGTGTAATGCATCTCCACGTGTAATGTATCTCCTCGTGTAATGTATCTCCACGTATAATGTATCTTCCTCGTATAATGTATCTCCATGTGTAATGTATCTCCTTGTGTAATGTATCTCATCATATAATGTATCTCCTCGTGTAATGTATCTCCTAGTATAATGCATCTCGTATAATGCATCTCCACGTATAATGCATCTCCACGTGTAATGTATCTCCTCGTGTAATGTATCTCCACGTATAATGTATCTTCCTCGTATAATGTATCTCCATGTGTAATGTATCTCCATGTGTAATGTATCTCCATGTGTAATGTATCTCCTTGTGTAATGTATCTCATCATATAATGTATCTCCTCGTGTAATGTATCTCCTAGTATAATGCATCTCCACGTGTAATGTATCTCCTCGTATAATGTATCTCGTATAATGCATCTCCATGTGTAATGTATCTCCTTGAGTAATGTAACTCCTCGTATTATGTATCTCCATGTGTAATGTATCTCCTCGTGTAATGTATCTCTTCATATAATGTATCTCCTCGTGTAATGTATCTCCTCGTATAATGTATCTGGTATAATGCATCTCCACGTGTAATGTATCTCCTCGTGTAATGTATCTCATCATATAATGTATCTCTTCGTGTAATGTATCTCCACATGTAATGTATCTCCTCATGTAATGTATCTCCTTGTATAATGTATCTCCATGTGTAATGTAACTCATCGTATAATGTATCTCCTCGTATAATATATTTCATAAAAATAATTGTTTACGAGGACAGTAATTGTCTCTGGGTTGATAATGTGGATTGGGTGGTTACAGTATGTTACCTGCATGATTGTGTGCCAGGTGATTTATTGTCCACCTCATCCTGGCTACTGATTGGTTGCTGGATTTGTTCATAAACATGGCATATTTTCATGTGTAACCGAAAAACGTACATATTGACTGATAGTGTTGGAGTCTTACAATTTGTTGTTTGTACAGTGTTGCTATGACAACTATCAACTATGATTGCAGTTGTGGCTTGTGCAGCTGCAGAAAGTTACTGCAGCAATGGCAGCTGCTTCTCCACCACCGCCACATGTGACGGCACCTCTGACTGCGCTGACAGGTCGGATGAGGAGGACTGTGGTGAGACTTTCTCCATCCTTGTCTAACAGTGTCTCCGTCTCTAGAGTCTCTGATGCCCCAGCTGTCCTTGTCTGACATTGTCTCCATCGCTAGAGTCTCTGATGCCCCAGCTGTCCTTGTCTTACAGTGTCTCCGTCTCTAGAGTCTCTGATGCCCCAGCTGTTCTTGTCTTACAGTGTCTCCGTCTCTAGAGTCTCTGATGCCCCAGCTGTCCTTGTCTGACATTGTCTCCGTCTCTAGAGTCTCTGATGCCCCAGCTGTCCTTTTCTGACATTGTCTCCGTCTCTAGAGTCTCTGATGCCCCAGCTGTCCTTGTCTGACATTGTCTCCGTCTCTAGAGTCTCTGATGCCCCAGCTGTCCTTGTCTGACATTGTCTCCGTCTCTAGAGTCTCTGATGCCCCAGCTGTCCTTGTCTGACAGTGTCTCCGTCTCTAGAGTCTCTGATGCCCCAGCTGTCCTTGTCTGACAGTGTCTCCGTCTCTAGAGTCTCTGATGCCCCAGCTGTCCTTGTCTGACAGTGTCTCCGTCTCTAGAGTCTCTGATGCCCAAGCTGTCCTTGTCTGACAGTGTCTCTGTCTCTAGAGTCTCTGATGCCCCAGCTGTCCTTGTCTGACAGTGTCTCCGTCTCTAGAGTCTCTGATGCCCCAGCTGTCCTTGTCTGACAGTGTCTCTGTCTCTAGAGTCTCTGATGCCCCAGCTGTCCTTGTCTGACAGTGTCTCCGTCTCTAGAGTCTCTGATACCCCAGCTGTCCTTGTCTGACAGTGTCTCCGTCTCTAGAGTCTCTGATGCCCCAGCTGTCCTTGTCTAACAGTGTCTCCGTCTCTAGAGTCTCTGATGCCCCAGCTGTCCTTGTCTGACAGTGTCTCCGTCTCTAGAGTCTCTGATGCCCCAGCTGTCCTTGTCTGACATTGACTCCGTCTTTAGAGTCTCTGATGCCCCAGCTGTCTTTGTCTGACAGTGTCTCCGTCTCTAGAGTCTCTGATGCCCCAGCTGTCCTTGTCTGACAGTGTCTCCGTCTCTAGAGTCTCTGATACCCAAGCTGCCCTTGTCTTACAGTGTCTCCGTCTCTAGAGTCTCTGATGCCCCAGCTGTCCTTGTCTGACAGTGTCTCCGTCTCTAGAGTCTCTGATGCTCCAGCTGTCCTTGTCTGACAGTGTCTCTGTCTCTAGAGTCTCTGATGCCCCAGCTGTCCTTGTCTGACAGTGTCTCCGTCTCTAGAGTCTCTGATACCCCAGCTGTCCTTGTCTGACAGTGTCTCCGTCTCTAGAGTCTCTGATGCCCCAGCTGTCCTTGTCTGACAGTGTCTCCGTCTCTAGAGTCTCTGATACCCAAGCTGCCCTTGTCTTACAGTGTCTCCGTCACTAGAGTCTCTGATACCCCAGCTGTCCTTGTCTGACAGTGTCTCCGTCTCTAGAGTCTCTGATGCCCAAGCTGTCCTTGTCTGACAGTGTCTCCGTCTCTAGAGTCTCTGATGCCCTGTGAAGATATCCCCAGCTGTCCTTGTCAGAATATGTCCCCAGCTGTCCTTGTCAAAATATGTCCTCAGCTGTCCTTGTCAGAGGATGTCCCCAGCTGTCCTTGTCAGAATATGTCCCCAGCTGTCCTTGTCAAAATATGTCCCTAGCTGTCCTTGTCAGAATATGTCCCCAGCTGTCCTTGTCAGAACTGGCAACACAATATGTCACCTGACTGACATGAGAACACAATATGTGACCTGACTGACATGAGAACTGGGAACACAATGTGTGACCTGACTGACATGAGAACTGGGAACACAATGTGTGACCTGACTGACATGAGAACTGGGAACACAATGTGTGACCTGACTGACATGAGAACAGGGAACACAATGTGTGACCTGACTGACATGAGAACTGGGAACACAATGTGTGACCTGACTGACATGAGAACTGGGAACACAATGTGTGACCTGACTGACATGAGAACTGGGAACACAATGTGTGACCTGACTGACATGAGAACTGGGAACACAATGTGTGACCTGACTGACATGAGAACTGGGAACACAATGTGTGACCTGACTGACATGAGAACTAGGAACACAATGTGTGACCTGACTGACATGAGAACTGGGAACACAATGTGTGACCTGACTGACATGAGAACTGGGAACACAATGTGTGACCTGACTGACATGAGAACTGGGAACACAATGTGTGACCTGACTGACATGAGAACACAATGTGTGACCTGACTGACATGAGAACACAATGTGTGACCTGACTGACATGAGAACTGGGAACACAATGTGTGACCTGACTGACATGAGAACTAGGAACACAATGTGTGACCTGACTGACATGAGAACTGGGAACACAATGTGTGACCTGACTGACATGAGAACTGGGAACACAATGTGTGACCTGACTGACATGAGAACTGGGAACACAATGTGTGACCTGACTGACATGAGAACACAATGTGTGACCTGACTGACATGAGAACACAATGTGTGACCTGACTGACATGAGAACTGGGAACACAATGTGTGACCTGACTGACATGAGAACTGGGAACACAATGTGTGACCTGACTGACATGAGAACTAGGAACACAATGTGTGACCTGACTGACATGAGAACTGGGAACACAATGTGTGACCTGACTGACATGAGAACTGGGAACACAATGTGTGACCTGACTGACATGAGAACACAATGTGTGACCTGACTGACATGAGAACACAATGTGTGACCTGACTGACATGAGAACTGGGAACACAATGTGTGACCTGACTGACATGAGAACTGGGAACACAATGTGTGACCTGACTGACATGAGAACTGGGAACACAATGTGTGACCTGATTGACATGAGAACTGGGAACACAATGTGTCACCAGACTCATTAGACAACATCACACCTCCACTGCGTGAATTGTTCTTACTTACAACCTCTGGTGTGCCTGGCAGACTTGATTATTTACTTTTAGTTGCAGTTCAGCTGTCATATCACTGACTATGTCATAAAACAACATTCATGTACACATGCTTGCATTGACTTTACTGAATATTTCAATGAATTAATTGCTGCTACAATGTTAAATTCACTCACTCTTCTGATGAATCTATATTTAGCAAGTAGCAATGTTGGGATATCCCTTATATTTGCACACGATAGTTAGGATGAATGAAATGCTAATGTCAGGTGTTTGTAGACAAAAGACATCAATAAAAACATAAACATTCTGATTATCTATATCCAGGTGTGGCAATAGATTCAGCCTGTCAGATCCGAGAAGCCTCGTTCTGTGTGATGAAACAACTCAGCTCGGCCATCATGGGCAAATTCCTGCCTGTGGAGGACAAGAAGGACATGTGCGGGTATGTCCATGAATAGACACTGCAATGGACTCGTGAAGATTAGAATAGGGGTAGAATAGGTCTTCAGCAACCCATGCTTGCTGTAAAAGGCGACTATGCTTGTCGTAAAAGGCAACTAACAGGATCGGGTGATCAGGCTCGCTGACTTGGTTGATGCATGTCATCGATTCCGCTTGCGTGGATCGATGCTCATGATATCAATCACTATATTGTCTGTCCCAGACTGGATTATTTACAGTCCGCCGTCATATAGCTAGAAAATTGCTGAGTGCCACGTAAAACAAAAAATCAAAACCAAAAAACAACTTGGCACAGATGACCTCAGCCATAGATTTGTTCACGAAAAATTCATGATGTTTGAACAGTTCTAAACCTGACTAACTTTCAACTATGGACCCTAACAAAGTGAACTAGTCAATGTAGTACATCGTTTGAGTAGTTCATTGTAGTTCAAGTGTAGCTGGTCTGTTGAGGCCATTTGTATATTAGTGACAGCCATTTGAACGTGATAGGGGACCAAATGGACACAGAAATGGAAAAGAACAAGTACTGAGCAGTCATTAAGTTTTGGACTTTAGAGAAGAGTGTACTCCCCAAGAAATTCATGACGACATGTCACAAGTATATGGGATAAGTGCCAATAAGCGTTATCGATATGAGAAGTGTATAGAAAAGCAGGGAGATTTATGTTGGAAAATAAACTTAAAAACATTTTTTCACAATTGTTGGTTTTGTTTGTTAGGCTTAGAACTTTTTGACAAGTCCCTTGTATATAATCAATTCATATGAAAATTATTCAGTGTAATGTTAATGGCACAAGAATTTAGGTTCTCATTTTGTTTTCCTTTTTCGTTGAAAGCCTGCATGTTTTGCTGTTTCCAAGAAGGTCTTCATTTAAAAACAAAACATTTGTCTAGCCATGGTTATAATAATATTTAGAAGAAATATGCCAACACCATGATACTGATGCCACATGAATATCTGGGTTAGAATTGTCTTCAGCATCCTAATCAGGCTCGTTGACTTGGATGATGCATCCCAATTTGCATATTGGATAGATCAAAGCTCATGATGTCAGTCACTGGATTGTCTGGTCCAGGCCTGATTTTTTTATGCCGTCATAAAGCTAGAATATTGCTGAGTGTGGCATTAAACAACAAACAAACAAAGACATATCATTGGCATTTCGGGTACGACTGGCCGTATTTTCAATGGGCAGTCGAAAAACTTTCTTGATGTACGAGGTATGAATAATAATGACTCACAAGCATATATTTGAAATGACTATTATTGTGCTTCAGCCAACGTGTAAAGGCCTCCCAGTGCATTCAGGCAAGGACCAACACGTGCCCCAGCATGGTGAAGGCAGTGTTTGAGCAGACGCTGGCGGTATCGGAAGCCCTGATCGTATCCCAGGGTTCATGTGACAAGCCCAAGATGTGTATTGAAGAGCACACATTCACCTGTATCAACAAGCTGGCCGTGGTTGTAGCTCAGACTGACATCACCACGGGAACAAAGGATATCCTCTGCAAGTAGGTGTCATGGTATTGTGCTTGCTAGAGGTATGCATGTTACTTGATATGTAGAATTATCTCCCTTGATCTCCTGATACCAAGATGGATGGACCTGTTGTAAAAAGACCCATACTTGATGTGTACTTGACTTGAATGCAGATACATACAGAACTGAGCTAAGATTGTTAGCATTCGAAATTAACACTAGTCCGCTAGCCAGAGACTACTAAATGTTGCTGAGGGCAAGTCAAAATTTGATGATGGTAGTAATTGACTATAAGCATTTGAGGGCTGCAATTCTGATCCAGTTCTCAAGGCATAATTTTGAATTGACTGAAACTGAGAGAAAATGTAAACATAGTAAATAAAAAAGACTTGCTTCAAAATCTGAGGACGAGAGGAAGAAAGTTTACACTAAAAAAAACAACTGCAGGTTTTTTTGTAGGTGAGTGAGTTAGTGAATTCCCAGACGTATATATGTGTGTAGTGGGGGTAGCCTAGTGACCTTTAAGACGCAGGTTCAATTTCCATCTTTGGTACGACGTGTATGATGCTTGTGTTCTCTGCAGGATATGACAGGAATAGGGGAGGATCCAGATGGTCACAAGTCCATAGTCAAATCGGAGGCATTTAGTCAGTATTAATATCATGTTCTAGTGAACATTGCAAAACTTGTAACATTCTTTTCATAGGTTGAAATTGAAATGTGCCTTAAATAAAATCTTAGCTGTCTTTTCAGAAGAAAAGAAATTCAGCCCCTAAAAATGAGGGGGAAAACCATGACTCTACCCCCAAACTCCCTTGTCAAAGAAATCATTGTCACATGTGTGCTTCATAATAACTACACAGAGAATCTCACCCGCTTGTTCCTTGATATCAAATATATCAACATGATTCAATAAAAACTCATGTTATTATTTTTCATATCAAATGACAACAGGATGAGATTGTATTTATAATCCGTCATCATTCTTCCGACTTTTAGCTTGTACACAGTATAAGCAGTGTTACCAGTGTAAGATGTACAGCTAACCAGCTTCAGTGACAGAGAGATCAGTGATGTCATTCAATTGTTACATTATGAGTGAGTTGGGTTTAACACCGCTTTTAACAGTATTCCAGTTGTATCACGGCGTGTCAGCTTAATGAGGGAGGAAAGCCCAAAGTGATGCAGGTCTCAGACGTTTACCACTTTGGTGAAACCCACAAGCACGGGTATGGCGCTGACAAACCTAGAAACATAATCGGGAGGAACCGGGATTCGAACCCACAATCATAGGTTTCTGGCATGCCCAAGGGACGCAACTCTGAACAGCGAATCACGGCGCTTTAGACAACTGGGCCACCCGTGCCCCCATTACATTATGAGAATTAATGACATCACAATGGTTTGCAAAGCACTGTGCAATTTCATTAATATGAGAAATCAAAGCACTGTGGTGCAATTTCATTAACATGAGAAATCACTCCTCAGGAAATTTCGGTTAATCTCTCCAAAGCGATATCTCCTGTGGAAGCCAGCTTTGGATTATACATACCTTATGTGGATAATAAAAACTTGTATGCTATTATCCCAGACAATTCCTGGAGACCAAGTCGTGTGTGGAACAGTTCAGCGCCACCTGTACAGGCGGAGCGTTGAGCCGGATCACCAGTCAGTACAACTCGATCCTCGCCCTGGTCGACGGGAAGTGTGATGACTACACAGAGCCCACTGATGAACCAGAGACGCTGTGCCCCGACATCGCCCCAGCAGACAGGAAGTGCGAGGTCTTCACCGCCTTCAACTGCCTCCTCGGGTCCTACACCAACCTCATCAACTACAACCCCCGCAACAACCTTGAGAACAGCAAGTCATGCTTGTAAGACATTTTAGGTTTAGGTTTTCCAGCATTTATATAAAGAATTAAAGCCAAGGAGATTTATCTAGACTGGAAGCAGTTCCTGTTGCCAATAAGGTGAGTGAGTGAGTAAGTGAGTTTAACACCACTTTGAACAGTATTTCAGTTATATCATGGCGTGACAGCTTGATTTGGGAGGATAGCCCCAAGTGATGTAGGTCCCAGACACTTACCACTTGGTGAAAGCCATGATCATGGATAGGGTGCTGAAACATAATCAGGGGGAATCGAGATTTGAACCAACAATCAAAGAATCCTGGCCTGCTCAAGGGATGCAACTCTGCACAGCGAAATGTGCCACATAAGATGACCGGGCCGCCCATGCCCCCTTTTGTCCAATATGAATTTATAACTTAATTTATGATAAAAAAACATTCAAGACATGGCTCTTCCCTAGTGTTTTCCAAATGCATAAAAACTATTGTATAATTTTTTGGGAACAATGTTTCACTGGGTTTTTGGGGGGTTATTATAACACTCTTGCCATGACCCCTAGTGTTGTGTTTATGCGATTCATTCTATATAATTGGCTGGTGGACTGGTGCAGAAAGTGTGCCATGTCCATACACTCTAAGATTTGAAGACACCTCCCCTGTTGGTCATAGATATGCCCTTAATCATACACCCCCATTTGGATCCTTTTGTCAATGTGCGTCTTTGAGTGAGTGAGTTAATATTTAACGTCACATCGGCAATATTTCAGCCATATCGTGACGAGTGTGTCTTTGAAGGTCTTTGTGAGAATTGCTGACCCAAATAGATCCCCAGTACCTTATACTTGTCATTCGAGTCGACCTATAAAGTCAGGGCCCCATTCCATATCACGGTCTTTGTACTACGTCTGTCATAAGCCTATGTTAGAGTATGGGAGTTATGATAATCTTAGAGCTGAGGTTTCATTATATCAATCACTGATGTGTCTGGTTCAGACTGAACTATATATAGACTGTCGTCATTTAGCTGTCTTTGTTAAACATCAAACAAACAAATCGCTCACATTAAAGTGGAATGAATCTCCCTTCCAGTGCTCTGCAGTCCACGATCCGCTGCGTGGCGGCCAACATCTCTGGCTGCAAGGAGGAAGATGCTGCAGAGATCGTCAAAAGTCTCAACAACCTTCGTGACGGCGCCAAGGAGCGCTGTATGCTGTACGACACCAGCCTTTGTGGTAACCCCCAGCCTTGCCCAGTAGGTGGCGCTGGTTGTGTCAAGACATTCAAGCAGGAGTTATCCTCCCACCCAGAGAAGGATGTCTGCGAGTGAGTGCAATGGAATACATTTGAATATTGAACTGAATATTTCATATGGACAAACTGCATGGGTCATTGCAAGGCATTATCAATTATTTCACAGGGATGCAGGTCTAATATTGTAGAATACAGTTTAAGAAAGTAGTCTCTCTGGTATACTGGCCTTTTCATGCAGAATAAGTTATCAAGGGATTACCTGGTACCTCCTGCAGGTGGAGGTCAGTCCTACTTGTATGCATTCTCTGGAATGACTGATACAAGAATGAGGGTTTGGGGCTACCCGCAGGGCATGAATGTCAAGATCTAATCCTGGAATTCCCAACCCTCCTACCTAGAATGACTGATAGTTAAAAGCACCACTGCCATAATGGTGCTGTGAGTTAGTGAGTATGGTTTTACGCTGGCTTTAGCAAAATTCCAGCAATGTCATGGCGGGGGACACAAGAAATGGGCTTCACACATTGTACCCATGTCGGGAATTGAACCCGGGTCTTAGGCGTGATGAGCCAACGCTTTAACCACTAGGCTACCCGGCCACCCCCATAATGGTGTAACATAGGTAACACTCTTGCTATATATAACATAGCCACTCAAAGAACACTGAAGAAAAATGTGCGGTTTATTTCACAATAAAACATTGTTCTATCGTGTCATTTCTGGAGATTTGAATATGCCCTTGCAACTTGATGATGTCATATATTGGACACTGTTATGTTTCAGAGGGAAGTGTCTGGTGAGTTGTTTCCCCTTGATGTAGCAATGACCTCACTCACTCTATGATTTCAGAGACCCATGAAGATCCAGGGTAGAACAGGTCTTCAGCAACCCATACTTGCCGTAAGAGGCGACTAACGGGATCAGGTGGTCAGGCTCACTGTCTTGGTTGATGCATGTCATCATTTCCCATAAGCGTGGATCGATGCTCATGATAAAAATCACTGGATTGTTTGGTCCAGACCCGATTATTTACAGACCACCGTCATTTAGCTGTAATATTACTGAGCGCGGCGTTAAACAAAAAAAAACAACAAACCAACCAACAACCAATTGTGATTTCAGACTTATCACCACTGCACGCACATGCATCTCCGACAACACCGTCGACTGCTCACCACAGTCGTGGGCCATCGCCGACTACAACCTGAAGAACGCCATCAAGGAGATGAAGACCCAGGTCCGCTGTGACAGCAACAGCGCCGACTCCTGCATCCTCACCTTCCAGACGCAGGCGCACAGGATCCTCACCCGCCATGAGACGACGGCTCCGACTATGTCCCTGGCAGACCAGTGCAGTGCAGTGGAGATCACACGGATGTGTATCAATGATAAACTGGTGTCGACACCAATGGGAGGCGGCATGGACGCTATCGTCAACAGGCTGTGGAGACATCTGAATGCCAGTGTTGTAGCAGTGTGTGAAGGTGAGTTCTAGTCACATTTGTCAGAAAACTAGTTGTATGAATACAAACTGTCAGCATGACACATGTCTCTGCAGCTTGTATGTTCGGTAGATAATATTTTAACAAGTACACTGGATTCAAACTTGGATAATGTGTCTTAAAGCCTCACCCTGACTATAAATAGCCCACAAGGTGGCGGTGTTTCAGTTTCGACTGACCTTCTCTGGGTGGCTTCAAAACAAGACCTTGAAATTTACTATGATTTGTCTCTTTTCTTTATACCGTATTCGACGTAATAAGCGCCCACGGCGATATTTGCTTATGTATTGGCTAGTGAACAATCTCAATTAGCACCCCTTCCAATCAATGTACACAAGACTTATTTATTCGTGTATAAAACGCACTCGTGTGTTACATGCACCCTTAATAATGAGCAATTAAATCCTGGAAAAATATATATGTCGTATATAATCATTTCAGGTTGTCAGCATAAACCACGAAATTTACGAACTTTCAACTCTGTTTTTTTCACCAAAATAATATTCCAATAAGAGCAGCCTGTTTCTAATATTGAGAGCGCCCTGGGCGTTTATTACGTCGAATACGGTAACCATATTCACCGTCCATATGAAGCACCCTAGGCACTTCGAACATTGACGGGGGGTCTTGCTTATCAAAATCCTTCACAACAAGTTTTTGTTAGAGAGTTCTAAACAAACTCAGTTCATATTCAATGAAACTAAATATTTTTGATAATAATTATTTGTAGGGTGCAATGTATAGTAGGTAGGGCTGGGATGAGTCCAAATTTACTTCCCGGGTACCCACCATCCTATTACCCGACCCTACCCGGGTACCCACCACCCTATTACCCGACCCTACCCGGGTACCCACCATCCTATTACCCGACCCTACCCGGGTACCCACCACCCTATTACCCGACCCTACCCGGGTACCCACCACCCTATTCCCCGACCCTACCCAGGTACCCGCCACCCTATTACCCGACCCTACCCGGGTACCCACCACCCTATTACCCGACCCTACCCAGGACCTGCTGTAGGTCTCTGGAGGTTGGAAAAGCTTGACTGAACTCCTGTCAAAATACACTTAGATACACTTATAAACCAATCTGGTCATGCATACACTGAAGTTGACTGAAGTTTTATCTAATAGTAGGTGCATTTATCAGTACCCACCTGACCCGAGTACCCGAGTTACCGTCCCAGCCCTAATAGCAGGTGCATTTATCAGTAACCACCTGACCCGAGTACCCGAGTTACCGTCCCAGCCCTAATAGCAGGTGCATTTATCAGTAACCACCTGACCCCAGTTACCGTCCCAGCCCTAATAGCAGGTGCATTTATCAGTAACCACCTGACCCCAGTTACCATCCCAGCCCTAATAGCAGGTGCATTTATCAGTAACCACCTGACCCCAGTTACCGTCCCAGCCCTAATAGCAGGTGCATTTATCGGTAACCACCTGACCCAAGTACCAGAGGTACCGTCCCAGCCCTAATAGCAGATGCATTTATCAGTACCCACCTGACCCGAGTACCCGAGTTACCGTCCCAGCCCTAATAGCAGGTGCATTGATATAGATTACATCCAGATTGGTTTGTCAGAGGTTTGTGCTTAATACGGTATATGTGTTTTGTCAGAAAAAGGATGAATCGAGTAAATAAGGAAGGCCTTGAGAATACAAGTATTTGTTTACTATTGTTGTTTTTGTTTTTCTCCAGGCGCCATCCCCACATGTCCCCTGGGAGATCGGGTGGGCATCCTCCTGAATCTGCTGGTGAAGCTCGTCACAACCCCCGCCTACACACAGCAAGCCTTCTGCAGGTCCGTCAACACCGTAGTCACTAAGTAGTGCCTGTATGATATTGTGCCTTCTGCAGGTCCGTCAACACCGTAGTCACTAAGTAGTGCCTGTATGATATTGTGCCTTCTGCAGGTCCGTCAACACCGTAGTCACTAAGTAGTGCACGTATGATATTGTGCCTTCTGCAGGTCCGTCAACACCGTAGTCACTAAGTAGTGCCTGTATGATATTGTGCCTTCTGCAGGTCCGTCAACACCGTAGTCACTAAGTAGTGCCTGTATGATATTGTGCCTTCTGCAGGTCCGTCAACACCGTAGTCACTAAGTAGTGCCTGTATGATATTGTGCCTTCTGCAGGTCCGTCAACACCGTAGTCACTAAGTAGTGCCTGTATGATATTGTGCCTTCTGCAGGTCCGTCAACACCGTAGTCACTAAGTAGTGCCTGTATGATATTGTGCCTTCTGCAGGTCCGTCAACACCGTAGTCACTAAGTAGTGCACGTATGATATTGTGCCTTCTGCAGGTCCGTCAACACCGTAGTCACTAAGTAGTGCACGTATGATATTGTGCCTTCTGCAGGTCCGTCAACACCGTAGTCACTAAGTAGTGCCCGTATGATATTGTGCCATCTGCAGGTCCGTCAACACCGTAGTCACTAAGTAGTGCCTGTATGATATTGTGCCTTCTGCAGGTCCGTCAACACCGTAGTCACTAAGTAGTGCACGTATGATATTGTGCCTTCTGCAGGTCCGTCCACACCGTAGTCACTAAGTAGTGCCTGTATGATATTGTGCCTTCTGCAGGTCCGTCCACACCGTAGTCACTAAGTAGTGCCTGTATGATATTGTGCCTTCTGCAGGTCCGTCCACACCGTAGTCACTAAGTAGTGCCTGTATGATGTTGTGCCTTCTGCAGGTCCGTCAACACCGTAGTCACTAAGTAGTGCCTGTATGATATTGTGCCTTCTGCAGGTCCGTCAACACCGTAGTCACTAAGTAGTGCACGTATGATATTGTGCCTTCTGCAGGTCCGTCAACACCGTAGTCACTAAGTAGTGCACGTATGATGTTGTGCCTTCTGCAGGTCCGTCCACACCGTAGTCACTAAGTAGTGCCTGTATGATATTGTGCCTTCTGCAGGTCCGTCCACACCGTAGTCACTAAGTAGTGCACGTATGATATTGTGCCTTCTGCAGGTCCGTCAACACCGTAGTCACTAAGTAGTGCACGTATGATATTGTGCCATCTGCAGGTCCGTCAACACCGTAGTCACTAAGTAGTGCCTGTATGATATTGTGCCTTCTGCAGGTCCGTCAACACCGTAGTCACTAAGTAGTGCCTGTATGATATTGTGCCTTCTGCAGGTCCGTCAACACCGTAGTCACTAAGTAGTGCCTGTATGATATTGTGCCTTCTGCAGGTCCGTCCACACCGTAGTCACTAAGTAGTGCCTGTATGATATTGTGCCTTCTGCAGGTCCGTCAACACCGTAGTCACTAAGTAGTGCCTGTATGATATTGTGCCTTCTGCAGGTCCGTCCACACCGTAGTCACTAAGTAGTGCACGTATGATATTGTGCCTTCTGCAGGTCCGTCCACACCGTAGTCACTAAGTAGTGCCTGTATGATATTGTGCCTTCTGCAGGTCCGTCAACACCGTAGTCACTAAGTAGTGCCTGTATGATATTGTGCCTTCTGCAGGTCCGTCAACACCGTAGTCACTAAGTAGTGCACGTATGATATTGTGCCTTCTGCAGGTCCGTCAACACCGTAGTCACTAAGTAGTGCACGTATGATATTGTGCCTTCTGCAGGTCCGTCCACACCGTAGTCACTAAGTAGTGCCCGTATGATATTGTGCCTTCTGCAGGTCCGTCCACACCGTAGTCACTAAGTAGTGCACGTATGATATTGTGCCTTCTGCAGGTCCGTCCACACCGTAGTCACTAAGTAGTGCACGTATGATATTGTGCCTTCTGCAGGTCCGTCCACACCGTAGTCACTAAGTAGTGCACGTATGATATTGTGCCTTCTGCAGGTCCGTCAACACCGTAGTCACTAAGTAGTGCACGTATGATATTGTGCCTTCTGCAGGTCCGTCCACACCGTAGTCACTAAGTAGTGCCTGTATGATATTGTGCCTTCTGCAGGTCCGTCCACACCGTAGTCACTAAGTAGTGCCTGTATGATATTGTGCCTTCTGCAGGTCTGTCCACACCGTAGTCACTAAGTAGTGCCTGTATGATATTGTGCCTTCTGCAGGTCCGTCAACACCGTAGTCACTAAGTAGTGCCTGTATGATATTGTGCCTTCTGCAGGTCCGTCCACACCGTAGTCACTAAGTAGTGCACGTATGATATTGTGCCTTCTGCAGGTCCGTCCACACCGTAGTCACTAAGTAGTGCCTGTATGATATTGTGCCTTCTGCAGGTCCGTCCACACCGTAGTCACTAAGTAGTGCCTGTATGATATTGTGCCATCTGCAGGTCCGTCAACACCGTAGTCACTAAGTAGTGCCTGTATGATATTGTGCCTTCTGCAGGTCCGTCAACACCGTAGTCACTAAGTAGTGCCCGTATGATATTGTGCCATCTGCAGGTCCGTCAACACCATAGTCACTAAGTAGTGCATGTATGATATTGTGCCTTCTGCAGGTCCGTCAACACCGTAGTCACTAAGTAGTGCCTGTATGATATTGTGCCTTCTGCAGGTCCGTCAACACCGTAGTCACTAAGTAGTGCCTGTATGATATTGTGCCTTCTGCAGGTCCGTCAACACCGTAGTCACTAAGTAGTGCCTGTATGATATTGTGCCTTCTGCAGGTCCGTCAACACCGTAGTCATTAAGTAGTGCCTGTATGATATTGTGCCTTCTGCAGGTCCGTCAACACCGTAGTCACTAAGTAGTGCCCGTATGATATTGTGCCATCTGCAGGTCCGTCAACACCATAGTCACTAAGTAGTGCCTGTATGATATTGTGCCTTCTGCAGGTCCGTCAACACCGTAGTCACTAAGTAGTGCCTGTATGATATTGTGCCTTCTGCAGGTCCATCAACACCGTAGTCACTAAGTAGTGCACGTATGATATTGTGCCTTCTGCAGGTCCGTCAACACCGTAGTCACTAAGTAGTGCCCGTATGATATTGTGCCATCTGCAGGTCCGTCAACACCGTAGTCACTAAGTAGTGCCTGTATGATATTGTGCCTTCTGCAGGTCCGTCAACACCGTAGTCACTAAGTAGTGCACGTATGATATTGTGCCTTCTGCAGGTCCGTCAACACCGTAGTCACTAAGTAGTGCCTGTATGATATTGTGCCTTCTGCAGGTCCGTCCACACCGTAGTCACTAAGTAGTGCCTGTATGATATTGTGCCTTCTGCAGGTCCGTCCACACCGTAGTCACTAAGTAGTGCACGTATGATATTGTGCCTTCTGCAGGTCCGTCAACACCGTAGTCACTAAGTAGTGCCTGTATGATATTGTGCCTTCTGCAGGTCTGTCCACACCGTAGTCACTAAGTAGTGCCTGTATGATATTGTGCCTTCTGCAGGTCCGTCAACACCGTAGTCACTAAGTAGTGCCTGTATGATATTGTGCCTTCTGCAGGTCCGTCCACACCGTAGTCACTAAGTAGTGCCTGTATGATATTGTGCCTTCTGCAGGTCCGTCCACACCGTAGTCACTAAGTAGTGCCTGTATGATATTGTGCCTTCTGCAGGTCCGTCCACACCGTAGTCACTAAGTAGTGCCTGTATGATATTGTGCCATCTGCAGGTCCGTCAACACCGTAGTCACTAAGTAGTGCCTGTATGATATTGTGCCTTCTGCAGGTCCGTCAACACCGTAGTCACTAAGTAGTGCCTGTATGATATTGTGCCTTCTGCAGGTCCGTCAACACCGTAGTCACTAAGTAGTGCCTGTATGATATTGTGCCTTCTGCAGGTCCGTCAACACCGTAGTCACTAAGTAGTGCCTGTATGATATTGTGCCTTCTGCAGGTCCGTCAACACCGTAGTCACTAAGTAGTGCCTGTATGATATTGTGCCTTCTGCAGGTCCGTCCACACCGTAGTCACTAAGTAGTGCACGTATGATATTGTGCCTTCTGCAGGTCCGTCCACACCGTAGTCACTAAGTAGTGCCTGTATGATATTGTGCCTTCTGCAGGTCCGTCAACACCGTAGTCACTAAGTAGTGCACGTATGATATTGTGCCTTCTGCAGGTCCGTCAACACCGTAGTCACTAAGTAGTGCCTGTATGATATTGTGCCTTCTGCAGGTCCGTCCACACCGTAGTCACTAAGTAGTGCACGTATGATATTGTGCCATCTGCAGGTCCGTCAACACCGTAGTCACTAAGTAGTGCCTGTATGATATTGTGCCTTCTGCAGGTCCGTCAACACCGTAGTCACTAAGTAGTGCCTGTATGATATTGTGCCTTCTGCAGGTCCGTCAACACCGTAGTCACTAAGTAGTGCCTGTATGATATTGTGCCTTCTGCAGGTCCATCAACACCGTAGTCACTAAGTAGTGCACGTATGATATTGTGCCTTCTGCAGGTCCGTCAACACCGTAGTCACTAAGTAGTGCCCGTATGATATTGTGCCATCTGCAGGTCCGTCAACACCGTAGTCACTAAGTAGTGCCTGTATGATATTGTGCCTTCTGCAGGTCCGTCAACACCGTAGTCACTAAGTAGTGCACGTATGATATTGTGCCTTCTGCAGGTCCGTCAACACCGTAGTCACTAAGTAGTGCCTGTATGATATTGTGCCTTCTGCAGGTCCGTCCACACCGTAGTCACTAAGTAGTGCCTGTATGATATTGTGCCTTCTGCAGGTCCGTCCACACCGTAGTCACTAAGTAGTGCACGTATGATATTGTGCCTTCTGCAGGTCCGTCAACACCGTAGTCACTAAGTAGTGCCTGTATGATATTGTGCCTTCTGCAGGTCTGTCCACACCGTAGTCACTAAGTAGTGCCTGTATGATATTGTGCCTTCTGCAGGTCCGTCAACACCGTA